GCAGCCGACTGAAAAACAAACGGAAGTGTATGCCGGCCTTGATTTCAGGCGAGTTGGGCGGAATGCATACTGGGCGGCGAGTTTCGGAGCAGTGACAAGGATAGATAGAGTTGTCGAATGTGTATCACAAGAATGGCACGCACCGGGACTCGCAATTTGTTTACAATGTTTCTTACTTTGGTCGTCGTTGCATTTGCTCAAATAATGCCAAATCTTTTGTCGTTTTTCTTTTGTCGCTATGCTCTAGCCAACAGATTAGATAATTTTGGGCAATTCCAAATACGGGGTTCAGTTTTTGAATATTTAGATAACCTTAAGAGGTCTATCCGGTGGTGATAAATAAATAACTAATAAGGCCTTTGTCCAGCAGTGGACGTCATTTGGCTGAAAACGATATAAAGTTTCCGTGAGATAAACTGAAGTAACATAATGAATGTTGTCAAATCACACTCTACTTGAGAGCCTATAGAAGCCTATTGAAGCCTTAATTTTAGCACTTTTTTTATAGAGATTTTTATTTTCTACATGTTTTTGAAGACGTATTCTTATAGCTTTCTCTTGAATCAATTGAAACCGTATTAAATCCAATTCGTAGTTTAAAGATGTGGCAGACAGACGAAACAACCTTGTTTTATACTATGTAAAGATGTAGAGCTTTTAAGTAGCTATATTTTTTCATGTTTATTAGATGATCAGCTACGCCCCGTTAACATTATGTATAGCCGTTTAATTTTACACTAAAAACACGTACCAAAGGATGCAGTGTCGTTGTAAACTAAAAATTTACACGTGCGGAGCCGCAGTAAAAGGCTAGTTTATAAATAAACATTAAACATAGTAAGTCTGCCAGTCGGCGCACGCGCACACAAATAGCGCCGCGCTCCCCTACACCACACTTGCTCTTTTTGTGATCGCACACCGTATAATATTAAGCTAAAAAAAGACGCTTCCGTCTCCGCGGAAAGTTTTATTTGTTCATCCTTTATACATAGCTTTATACCGCGACTAAACCTGAATAACTCATGGTTTCTGCAGAATACCAGTAGCCGTAACGTGCTCCAGTGTATGTTATGGCCTCATACTGAGCAGAGACCAATTTGGTGCAACAATTTTATTATTTTTGTTCTGTATGTTTATTTGTATCATTCTATTTTAGTACCAAATAAATATTTTTTCTTTCTTTCTTTACAAATTGAAGGAAAACATTTTTCAACAAGTAGAGTGTAGACCAGTCATCATCTTTTCTTCTTCATCATCATTATTCTTGAGGGCAGGTTCAATGAGACGGTGGGCGGGAGCTTGCATCGTGCGGTCCACACAGCTTATGACCTCAGTCTGTGGAGGAACACTATCTGTGGTCGCGATCCCCATCAGTGAGGGACCGAGGAAGAAAAAGAAGATAAGGATACAAATATACAATCCAATAAAATTCCAAATCAAATATAGAAATACTACCAAAAAATTTTGCAAATAGCAACGCTTGGTTTCTCGAAGACAGTTCGAGGTAGGGACGCGTGGGTGATGGGAAACTGTATTTTGTTATAGCTTCCAGTACCTATAGTTATTTTTATTAAAGATCTTAGAAATTATTTCCAATGATATGGTAGAGCTTCTAAGCTTCACTCACACTAACGCCCTGAGATTTAATCTTAGCGTTCTTGCATCTTTGCAGCGAGCCATGCAAAAAAGACGATGGAGCAACTTTTTATAGTTTACGTATTTATAAAGACATTGTCTAGACATCCTATGTTTTTTTACAAAAGATTACCATGAACATGCAATAAAATCTGAAAAAACATATTACATTGTTGTTGTAATTACATAGTGTCTTTAAAGTATCACGTTTAGTTCCAAACTTAACACGAAAACGAAATTGAAATAATACGGATTTGCACATAGATTTAGAAAGAAAGAAAGAAAGAAAGAAAGAAAAAATGTTTATTCAGTATCATCGACAATACACTTGCAATACTTAACATTATTTAATGAGAAGGTAATTACAATGATACTGAAAAGGTATCCACTCAGCATGGTGTCGTAGCATCTCAGTAGATAATGCCACGACGCTGGTCTTCCGTGGACATAAAGGTATGTCGATAAACACGAAACAACTAATTTTGTGCAGTTTTACATAAAACAAATGTATTATGTTAACAGCAGATTGACTCTGCATATTCATTAAATACCATGTAAATAACACCCGTATTCACAAACGATGCTTGGTTAAGTGAAGCAGCAAATCGAACGCACAGCGTTGAATAGAGCTCTATGATTGGTTCATGTGTGACCCTGTGCGTCCACGCGCACTGTGAGACCTCATAGTAATGTTTGTGAATACGGGCGTAACTCTACCATTTGTTATGTTACATTACATGATTTACAGTATCAATACAACCTCAGATCATAGGATACAATGATCAAGAAAAATATAAACTTGCGAGCAAAAATGAAACGTTCGATCAAAGACTAATATTCGTATTGTTTAATCACGTTGTAACAACAATGCTATTATAATCATCTCGAATGATCCAATCGTCACGGTTCCGCGAACCGTACGTTACTCGATCCCTCCAAAGCAATGACTGGAAAAACCGTAGTTAGAAATGTTAATCAACAACAGTGTTACAGAATACGTAAACCTCTTTGAAAGCAGAAGTTTGAGCCTTGGAAACCAGTGTCCGGAGTATACCATTTTTAAAGCAGAAGTTTGGGCCTTGGGAGTTTCCAAGGCTCATGCTTTACCTAGTTAGGTATTGGCGTTTTCCTAGTTAATTTTTCTTGTCTGCTTTATTCTCAACTTATTTGAAGCGTTCTTGTACATCTGCACCTAAATAGTCTTAGATTGCTTCTCCATTATTATTTTTCTATAAATTGAAAGATTTCCCCAATGCATTCGCTTTTATTAAGGCTTTTATTTATTCATTCCAATTTGACTTTTTATTGTATCACAGATAATATAATTGTATTAAGACTAAAGATAAGCCCACTACTCTACTACTCTCATCAATATGAAACGTAGATAATTAATACCCAAAATATAACTTTAATAACATAATAATAATTGAAAACTGCAAAAAGACAATATCAACTCAAATACAGTTGTCTCGTACAGGAGAAAAGTGAAAACATGAATACAAATCGAGGTACACGCTGACACGGCTACGGTTGTCGTAGTTCTGTACCATGGCAAATCTCAAGCAACAATAGATACTTAACCTCATCTTCAATGAATACATCTCACATACGAGTACATACTTACTCTACATACATAGTAACAATTAAAAAAACTGTTCCAATAAATCTGTTTTACGTCCAAAATCCAAATAATGAATGTGTGTAAAAATGGAATAGTCTTTGTTTGATGTTTTACATTTTGGAAGCCTATTCAAAGTATTTTCTTTACTAAATCGTCTCAACCCGTCTGGCGAGCGTAGAGAGTGTAGGGCAAATCCTCAATTTGTCCGTAGTAAATTGGAGAGGGCCATGCTCCGCAGTGGAAACTAATTGGCTCTACATTATGGATTAAATGATCTGATGATGAATCTACCTCAACCCAGAATCAACCTCCGGATATCTCCAGTCAATGATTTCAACTAAAATGTGGGTAAAGCATGAGATTTTACTTTTCTGGTCATTCTCAGAGCCTTTCACATTGCCTGAGTCAGCATTTCGCCCAAGTATCGCTCCCAAATAGGTAATATGCTAATAGGAGTCCTTTCACTTAGCATTGATATCGCAGCATTAGGATTCACTAATGCGTCTAGACGCAGAAATGTGTCGACACCTTATTCGGAATACGAATATAGTCATAGCAAATATTCGACTTGCTTGCTGAAATATTCATTTGGTACATGGTTTATGTCTTATGTATTCAAAAAGCTCGTATTCGAAAGCCAAGAACAGTGTAATTTTACTAGGGAATAACTAAACATGCATGTGTCTCTATTCTACTTCATGCATGGGAAATTACACGAATGGGAGGCGACAATATCCCAATGGAATAGATGTAGGATTTCCAATTTGAGAGTTATTATTCAATCCCCATCGACTGTTAAACTATTCTAGTGAACGCACTCCTAACAACTGGACAAGCATTAATTTGTTTAGCTTAGCATAAAACGGGTTAACAAGAAAATACTAAAACTTTTACTCTAATATTATAAGTCAAATGCCCTGAATGTCTTTTGAACCGAGTTCATCAGAAATATGTTTAGTCAGTTTTCCCCTAAAAATTGGTCAACTGCACACAATCATTTGCATTATCAACACTTGCTGCTAGAGTCGTACAACTATGTAGTTCATTGCGTGTGGTAGAGTGTCGCTACAAACGTATCGTAGAGTCAGTCGTACTATGTGGTGTGCTAAACGTAAAGAAGTTCGCCCCGATGGGCGCGGCGAGCGTTGACCCTTGAATCACAGGGCAGTTGGCCCAGGTGGGGTGTTTTACCCTAAACTTTACATTAATTCTTTGCCACACCTCCCACGCGCATTGTTCGTGAATTGTGTTGTGACACAATAGCGGAAGCATTGTTTACTCAGTGTAGAAATACCCACAGTGGTTTCATTAGCGTGGTCACCATAGAACAAAGTTTTTGAATTAACCAAAAAAATACAATCTGATTTTATTTCTAAATTAGTCGAGAGCGTTAAATCAGCGATTTTATTTTTTAATTCACAGCAATATTCTCGAAATGCTTTTTTTATATCTATAAATTCCACATTTCGGAGATCTATAAAATAAGATGTGTTGTCCTAAACTAAATTAAAAAGCACAACAGCAACAGTCAGTTTTGACAGCTGTCTATGGCTGACCTAAACAATTCACAAATTGGCGGAAAAACATTCATAAATTCTACGTTTTTCGATGTCCTTATTTATTATTTGTACCTACTCGTTTAAAATCGTGATTATAGTTCTTGTTCGTAAATGTATAAATATTTTACTTTACCTTTGTATTTGTTTTGATGCGTCCGATCCCATAGTCTTGTAATTGTTACAAAATGAATGGGCCAAAAGCGCCAAATGAGTCTGACTGGCAAAACGTGGACATATTCGTGTTCTCCAATGGCCAGCATCAGACTCCGCCAAGGAAGTACCACTTGGGCTCTGAAGACTTGAATAGCTGGAGTTCCACTCTCATGACGTTGGCGCATTCCCAATACGAAGGCGTGTAAGTATCATTATGATTTATTTTTTATCGGAAGGACACTCTGTCTATATTTATCTCAGTGTGTTGTTTTTTCCTAGTTTCTCGTCGATCGACCTGTACACGGTGGAGGGCCAGAGAGTGCAGACCCCCATTGAAATCAGCAACGGTTCTGCGTACGTGGCTGTACCGCCGCGGGACACGTTCATTCCCGCGGGATATAGCGAATACCTCTTACGAGCTACCAGGTAACTTCGTTCAAACTTAATTTTTTTCGTAACTATCCACCTCTCGTTCCCAACTGCTTATGCAACTCCTGCGTAGCCAGCCACCCTAGACGATACCCCTACATAACGTTACTGAATATCTATAGTTGTAATTCCTAAATCGCGTTGCTTCGACATAATTAAGATTAGGTTAGTAGGTACCTACTTAGTCTAGGGGGGCAGGATCTACAGAACAGTCTAGGGTTCAACTCCAGTCTGCATTTGCATTCACTCAAAATGTATCTAAAGATGCTACTACAGAAGTAAACACCGAACCATTTATTTTCCACGAAGAAATGGCACGAGTCATTTGCCTGCCTTAGCGCGATTGTAAAGATAATAACTGTGACGCAGTTGCAATTGCAGCAAAGAAAGATGCGTGACGATTTTCTCTTTTGATTTGCATAAGTAGGTTTCCCATTTCCAATACCAATAGAAATTAGAATGAAAGTTAAATCTCGGTTGATCGCAACTGTGATACGACGGGCTGACGGACGTACAGTAAATAAATTACGAGCGCGTGCTTTACAGAAGAGTTTTCAGTCGATATGTTACGGTTAATGTGATAAATTGAAAATTATTAATAATAACCGGTTATTGTGATATAATAATTACCGACAGTCGCGGTAAAAGTGATAAATTAATCACATTGAATAGTGATTATTTAATAATTCAACCTTAGTAACAAATTTCATAAAAGAGAACAACATCTTGTGTACGTGCTCGTGTACAGCCAAACTTTTGAACGTTTTGATATCATATATTAATTTAATTTGGCATAAAGAGTTTGGAATGTTTCTTGCATAATATTACTTTTCCATGATGCCTATAACATAATGTTTTGATTTAAAGTGAAAAATAGGTTAAGGTGCGGCGGGGGTGGCCCTTGGGCCACCTAGAAGTCGCCTATTTAGTTTTATACACACATAAATGACCTCATATTAATCACATTTACCAAATCATGCGGTAATTATTCATAATAACCGGCGATTATTCATAATTTTCACATTTATCACTTTGACCGTAACAGATATACAAACAAACTTCTAATAACATGACTGTATCTAAGCAAATTGAATAAGTAAATATCTCTAATTTTCATATTACATTTTAGATCACGTGAAAAACGGCAAAGTAAATCATCGAACAATGCGCAAGTGGAGGTACGACAAGGTAATCCTCAAATTCAAAATTAAAATTTTTTTCTTATTAGTTTTTTTTAAATAATAACTCTAACTTGATTTTTAAGGTGAATTAGATCAAAAATTACAAGCGACTGAGATTGAAGCCAACGAAGAAGAAATAGAAACTACGCAAATGAATGAGGAGGTATGTAACTACATTATTAAGCCATTTTGAATTTTATTAGACCAATTTTACGGATTTTCTGACTGATTTCTCATTTCATGTATCATACAATTTACCAGGTAGCTACATCTACAATTGGAGACCCAATTAACCCGACTCAAAAACCACTGCCACATTATTCTGCAAGAAGCAATAACACTATTAAACAAATAGAAAAGGTAACCGCTAACAATCAAAATTCGACAATATTAAGAAAACAGAATTCCTTGATGCCACAACCAACAACAAGAAAAACTTCAATGAAAATGAAAGACAATCCTCTTAGAAAGAATTTGAAAGTTAACACACTGAAAGGAACAAACAATACGCCATCAGTAGTAACAAATGGTAGTAACCAGGTCAAAACAAATGCGAAATCGATAACTAGAACTGGTAAAAGTATAGAAAGAAAACATCTTTGAAAAATGTAATTGTTCAACCCAAAATTGAAAAAGATACTGAACTACCAATAACTATTTTAGGAAGAGTTATATCTTCCACCGAAAAAACTTTTACTACAGAAAACACAGCCTTAGAAAATGTAATAAATGACAACGAATTAATTGTAGTCAAAACTCATGACAGCGAAAATAAATTAACTTTCTCCGAAACAGATAAGATTGGTTCAATTCACACAAGACAAACAAGGCTGTCTTCTATGGTGCCCATATTAATGCCAATCGATGAAAGTTCAGGTTCTGGAATTAACAAAGACGAAACTCCTGTAACTGTTATGAATAATTTAATGGAAAATGTCTACAAGCCTGAATCGGTCATAAAACATGACATTAAATCTAAAAGTATTACTAAACTGCAAATAGATGAGAGTTCCCAAGAGCGTCAAAGCGAAACAGTTAAATTATTTAAGAAAACTCCTGTTGACAGCTATGTTGCTATGGTTGACCAAGGAGATGTTATTAATTTTACCTTGAAAATAGAAGTGAGAAAAGGTGATAGTGCTATAAAACTACATGATCCTAAAACAATGCATTGTATAACAGAAAAAGCTTTACAAGTTAATGCATATCAAGAAATTGACGAAACAATAGTGAAATCCTCAAGTTGTACAAAAAAGCCTATAATTGATGAAGACAATCAAAGAATTGTGGTCATTCAATGTTCTTGTTTTGAAAATCATAATATTAGCGATTTATTACATAAAATTGATACAGGAACTGTAAATTTGAATGATAAAAAATATGTAATGCTCTTACCTGATCCTGAAAGTAACAAAAGTGTTGAAAGGTAAGGAAAACTTGGAATATACATATTATTAGGTACATTTACTGACTCAAATTATAACTTTTAACCAATATCTCGATATTGAATGAGTTTTAATACCAATTACTTATTTTATTCTAGACAAAATCGGACCCGAGAGGAAAGTAAAATAGTAGTGGATAAATATATGAGGGACCAGAGATCCAGTGTCGATCACCCTGTGAAAAAAGTATACGCAACAACTTCCATACAGCGGCTTACAGCTTCTAAAACAACTCAGGACGATGGAGTTATAATATCGAATGTAGACGCTCGTGTTGTTAACGAACAAGATAAACCTGAAGTTTCGGAAGTTAATCGCAAACTGTCCAGTATACAGAAGATTTATCAAGCAGACTCTGTGATTATAACGAAAAACAAACTAGTCGCTCATAGATCTGTAGATAACTCTACACAGACTGAATGGTGTACAATGTTGGTAAGTGTATTATGGAACGCAAATTAATGTACTGTATTATCGATAGAGGGAATAAAAGAAGATTAAATTGTATTGTTTTCTTTACAGCTTGAAGCAAGACGAGACGAGGACGGAAGATATTCTTTCTACTTGCCTCCTTTAAGTGTGGTGAAATATTATGGTCTGTAGCTAAAATTAAAAACTCTATGTTATAAATACTTACTTTATTACCTGAGTTAGTAATATTAGAACTGCTAATGAGACTGTTAAATTCATTGAACATTGTCCATTGTTTATTATTTCCTCCTGATCTTGGTGGATTCTTAATTTTTTTGCTAAAATATTCAATGGCTTCTGTTCGATGTAACGCAGCTGCATTTCTGTTATGTGCTTCAAAGTTGCTGCCGGAATTTCTAACATTACCTACAAAATACAACCAAGTTATAATAACAGGCGCTCGATTAAGCTTATAACCATTTCTATCATGAGTGTACTATTATATACTACTAATTCCCAAGACTCATGGATCAACCAGTTAGGCACCAAACTAAAATATGGCTGAAGGCTTAGGACTTAAATTTCTCTTAAGCCAAAAACTGGTAAGATTATGTTATAACTAAGTTACTAAATTGTACTAGCTGTATATCATAGCCACGTTCCTTTAACTTTCTTTCAACTTACTTGTGCAGTAATCCCAGACATAGCTTCAGGATTAACAGCAGCCAGGTCAGGGCCCTCAACCTCTGTTAACAGCAAGCCCAAACGCGATACGTCTCTGGCGCTCCAACTGTACGACTTTCCTAACGCCTGGGCATAAGACAAGGCAATTACTGACACTTAAGAAACTTTACTAAGAATAAAAAAATATCAGAAGTAAATTGTTACAAATAACCTACGGCAATTTAACTTCAGTGGTTTTTCTCAAGAAACGAAAATATTATGTAGGGCTGAGTGTGAGTTTTCATCAAACGCAAAAAATTACATTTATTTAATGTATAGTCTATCCAATATAGCTTGATTAGAATGACAGCTGCCATCAAAAGTAACGACATAACTTTGTAGTAGCGATCAATGAGAGCTAAATATTGGCGGACAAGAAATAATTCACGTCTGACCCACAAACAATATTTTCGACGACAGTGCTTCCAATAAAAATGTTAATTTTGTGTAAATGCAGCGTTAAATTACACCAATAAGTAGTAATTCGAAATTATAAAAATCAAGCTAGAGTATTAACGACGTCTCTACAAGGTTATCTCGAGTTACAAAAATGTTAGTGATGGGACATATCGACAAATGTCATATTAAATTAAAACTAATTTTTTAGCATATTTAACAAAAAAAAATTCTAACTAATTTTTTAACATATTTAAGTCAAGTTATACGTTTTTCTAAATGTTCACTATTAAAAACCAAAAAACATTTCATTCTTAAATAATCAAACATCGGAAATTAATCACCGGTAATTTTTTGGGTATTCATAGCACCTTTGCTCTAGAAGAGATGCCCACCGCCCTCTAGCGAGAGGAAAAAACCACTGAAGAACACTAATGATAATGACTACGACTTAGGTTGTACACCCTTGACATGAATTTTAAATTTTACTGTCTTTCAATTTAAATTATAATTGTCATTTTTATGAATAAAGATATGAAGAAAAATTGGGTGCATTTTTTAATATCATTTTTTCGAAAACTTATCGGTACATCTATGTGCACCGTACGAAACATACCCAGCACTAGTCACATTCGTTTGACAGCTATCATTCTAATCAAGCTATTTTGGATAGACTATAGGTATGATGACGCATTGTACAGCGCCCCTAACGGGAAACGTTCAAAAACGAGCATTTGTGATGTACGAGGGCTGCACTAAAAGTATCGGGAATGGAATATTTCCACTGTTCCAGTCATATTAAAATCTATTTAATTGCAAACTCCAGGGTTTTAAAAATCGTATACCATTTATTTATTTAAAAAAAGATTCTCGGTCGTATCACAAGGTCTTGTCAAACTTGTTTAGTCGTTGAGAAAATGGAATTGACTCGAGAAAATTCAAGAGCGATGATTTATTATGACTTTTGAAGTGGTTTAACACAAAAACAGTGTGTTGACCGGATGATTTCTGCATTTGGTAATGAAGCCCCATCCAAAACCACAATTTATCGCTGGTTTATTGAATTTCAACGTGGACGTGTCAAGCTCAGTGATGATCCCCGTCAAGGTCGTCCAAAAACTGCAGTCACCTAAGAAAACGTTGATGCTGTGCGTAAGCTGATTGAAGAAGATCCGCGAAATTCAGGCAACTTTAGACATTGGCATGAGTCAAATACAAATAATCTTGCATGAACAATTAGGTGTAAAAAAGTTGTTTTCCCGATGGATACCGCATTCGCTCTGTGAAGATCAAAAAGCGGCTCGCGTTACTTGGTGCGTCAGACCTCTCGAGAGATTACATGCAGGATCCTCAAATGCTGTATACAACATCGTATCAGGTGACGAATCATGGATATACGCGTACGAACCCGAAACAAAAAACCAGTCACGAGTTTGGGTGTTCGAAAATGAATTAAAGCCAACAAAAATTGTTCGTTCACGGAGTGTTGCAAAAAAAATGGTGGCCACGTTTGTCTCCAAAACCGGCCATGTTGCGACTATTCCTCTTGGGGGACAAAGAACGGTTAATGCAGATTAGTATGCTAGCATTTGTTTGCCACAGGTCGTTTCTGAACTCCGTAAAGAGAACTGCAACCGCCGCATCATCCTCCATCACGACAATGCGAGTTCTCACACCGCGCACTGAACAAAAGAGTTTTTAGAGCAAGAAAACATAGAATTATTAGTCCATCCGCCGTACAGCCCCGACCTAAGCCCTAATGATTTCTATACTTTCCCTAATATTAAGAATAAATTGCGTGGTCAGAGATTTTCATCACCTGAAGAAGCTGTGGAAGCCTACAAAACGGCCATTTTGGAGATCCAAACTTCCGAATGCAATGGTTGCTTCAATGATTGGTTTCGTGTATGGAAAAATGTGTCAAAGTTCGCGGAGAATACTTTAAAAAGCAATAAATACATTTTTAAATAGTAATGTTGTTTCACTTCCTTGATTCCCGAAATTTTCAGTGCCGCCCTCGTACACTCACACTCAGCCCACAGTTATTATAATCAGTTTTTAGCGTCATGAAACTAGTCTAAGAATGCGCATATTAAGTATTTGGTTAGTCACCTGAGTCTTTGTCATCATTGCCAAGTAAAATCTTCGCTGAAGAGGATCACAAGCTCGAATATGATAGAATAACTAAAAAAAATATAATCAAATTAGCCATATTAGTATTAAAAATCAAAAGAGAACTCATTGGGTATCATCTTATTGCCATAAAAAAATGAAATCTGTCGCTAGCTATAAAATGTACTTCTGTAGATATCGAAAAGGCAAAAAGGCTACAAAAATGCAAACAAGGTTTTTCCAAATATTTACGTAAAGTAAAGTAAAGTAGGCCTAATACTTTAGCAAATTTGCCTTTTTTGTAAATTTGCCTTTTTTGGTAAATTATAGAAAGGGTGCTCTTTTGGATTGTATTGCTAACCTGGTGAGTCAGTTGTAAAAAGGTACTCTCTGGTACCTTCCGCATGAAAGTCATCGGCACTCCACACAAAATATTGTTCATCATATTTAAATACTTCGGTTCCATCCATCTGTCGTTTAACCTTATGTATTTGCTGGCTACCACTCCAACCTAAATAAAAAGCCCCGATGGTAAGAAGTTCAAGTAATATGAATCAGTCAAAGACAAAAACAAATTATAAACAGGAGGTTTCCAGCTGAGAATATTGTCTTCTATTCCTTACCTGATGTCTGTCTAAATCGCTATGAGTCCCAATAAAAGTCAATATTTTTTCGTCGCTTAGATTCAGTCTTGCCATCTCTTTCCCATTCAAGTATTTGAAAAGAGGCCGATACATCTCCAGGACAATGGAGGAGATCTCGATAGGGAGATTGTTCCCTTTGACGACCGCCCACGTCGCTGCCAACTTTTCCTTCGCTATTTTCATCATAGCTATAGTTTTAGCCTGTGAATTTGACATATTCATGAGGATATTTAGCTATTTAAACCTGAGTAAGTGTTGATTTATCTACTTTTGTACTGTACTGGATATGAATAAGCGCCATTCCTATAAATCCAGTGGTCTAGTTTTCCATGGAAGTCCGTTGATGACTCTATGAAGGAACAAAGATTTTACGGCAACAAAGACAAGAACAGCTGAGTGATATTGACAATCTTATTGATAATAGCTCAATAACCTTATCCATAACTTGCTTTCTAGTCGAATACAGTATGCATATGTCTACGAGTACTAAACTATCAAGAGACAGTTCTATCCTTACGGATTTCAAAACATAACCAGCTGGCAATCGAAGCACATCTTGTAGGTTGCCTTTTAGCAAGATGGAGAAGGCGTTGACGGCCGTCTGCATGTAGTCGTTGGTGATCTGGAGGAACAGGTGACCGCGGTGCATGAACTCAAACGACGGCAAATGCACGCTGGTTTTATTTTGGAAGACCTCCGCACTGGAAATGAAGCAGGAGAATATGATCTTATGGGATGTAGTGTCATCACATGACTCATGTTCATATTTTCTCTATTGATTTTGGACCTCATAGTCGCAGATAATTATAAAGTTGGGGAACTTAATCCTTGTTTTGTGGTAGATTCATCTACTGGCTACTGTACCAGATAACTGTTGTATATTCCTTTGATTATTTTGTAGGAAGATTCTATTTTCTTTACTTCTACCACGGTACTTCTTCTAGGATTTTCCATAATTATAATAGACACTGAGGCAAAATTAAACAGTAAACAGTTTGAAACATATACTGTTACCAACCGCATGATACTTCCGCTAGGAAATTGGGCAAGCGGGTCCGACTCAACTTCTGGGTCCTCAAAACTTAGCTTTTTTATATTTGCCTCCTCGTCATCATCCCGTTCTAGAAGTAATATGATAATGGTAAAGAAAGTGTGCTTAAAATATAAAGATTAACATCTAAATACTCTTTTTAATGCTATTTGCGATTAAAAAAAATTGAAGATGGTCATCAATGAGGTATGCTAGAATCGTGTTACTTTTAAGTTTGGTATTATGACGATTTCTCATTAAATAATGCAGATCTGAATCAAACTGTCTTTTTTAAATATCTAGTAGGTAATTTAGGCGTCTCTATGGATGTGTGTTACTTCGTCGTTAAAATACTACTTACCTTCAATTTTTGACCCAAACAAAAGTTGGTTCAATGTGTGTTGGTATTTTTCATATGGATCTAAAACAGTAAATGATTTAGTTAGCGTTAATATGATCCTTTTATTTTCATAACTAAACATAGCATTAACGAAAAGATTTTTGTGTGTTAAGCTTTAAGGTTGTATTTTAGCTATATTGTTGATTGTGATTGGTCGCCAATCGAGAATGGCCATTATCCTTTCTACAAGCTACTTAGATGCGAAGCGCCTGAATTCAGGCAGCACAGGAGCGTTATATTTTATACTAGCTTACCGCCCGCGGCTTCGCCCGCGTGGAATTTCGTCTGTCACAGAAAAACTTTATCGCGCGCGTCCCTGTTTCAAAAACCGGGATAAAAACTATCCTATGTCCGTTCCCGGAATTCAAACTATCTCTATGCCAAATTTCATCAAAATTAGTTCAGTGGTTTAGGCGTGAAAGCGTAACAGACAGACAGACAGAGTTACTTTCGCATTTATAATATTACTAGTAGGGATGGAAATCCAAACGAAAGATCTTTGTCCTGCAGTGGACGTCATTGGTTGAAAAGGGATATAAATCAGAGCTTCCAAACTGTGGGTCATTATTCCAAAGGCGACGTGGGGCAATCGAAACTTGAACCCTTTTTTGAGAATCTGTGCTCAGAAAAGCATGCATTCCATTCAGCAAAGTAAAATAAATAGGCATGTCTCAAAATTGTGCAATTTCTCAAGGACGTGACCGTAAAAAAAGTATGGGAAGCCTTGATATAAATAAAAAAATGCTACCTTTAGGAGCGTGGGTCTTAACCGCAATGGTCCTGAAGGACCATCGTTTAGTAGTGGCTTCTGGCAAATTGCCGGTGAGCTTATTTTGAAGCTGAACTTTTCCTGGTTCTTCGTTGCCACTGCAATCAAGCCCTGTAATTTGGTTAAAATAATTACTTGCACATTTCTAGCACTGTAACATAATATTTAGCGTAAACGTTCAGCCAAACCAACGCGTGCAGCCTACGTGCGTGAATGGCGATCAGATGTCGTGTATGAGGTTCTAGCGATGAGTTCACATCAACCTCTCATTGCATTGGTCGTATAGCACGCGCAGTGATTGCCATCGCCATCGGCATCGCTGACTGATCGGTTTGGCCGAAGCTTAAGAGAAAACTATGTAAGTATAATATGTTGATAAAACATACCGTACTCGTCATCATCATCCAAACTCCCAAACATAGAAAAACTATCGGTACTATAAGATAAAACGGACACCACTACAAAACTCATCAATATGATGTAGTAAATATTCATTACAGTGTTTAATTTTAGTATTTCCCACTTCTTATGAATAAAAATTATGATTTACTAGTCAGATGAAACTTACGCATTCACATAAATCAGTATGGCTATGAGACAATATTATTATGGTGATATTATCACAAAATATTATTAAGAAATGAGTATGTCCCACGTACCTATGTGTTATGTAAATAAAATCATTTCAATCGTTTTATTAATAATGCCGCATTCAACCTATTCGATCCATAATTTAACTTCTTCATAATAATACAGTATCACGTCACTCACTCTGTGACTTACCATCAATAACAATCTGTCATCAGCTAGGTCCTAAAATATGTTTTGTTAGCGTCCAAAATTCCACACCAAATCCCTCAGTCTTCATGTCTTCGACATCCTCCAGCGAGTGCATCTGTAGCGAGTGCTTCAACTATGGGCCTGGATTCGGTAGCCGCGGTTTCTTGCCCGGGCCAGCTTATTATCAAGCTTTGGGGCACCCGCTCATTTACTGTGCGCAAGTGGTAAAGTTCAATAAGTCAATTTTGGCGAGAGTATTTTCTTAGCAAAACGCAGCGTGGGACGTCCAACCACAAGGTGGACCGACGACCTCATAAAGGTAGCAGGAAGGCGCTGATTGCAGGGCGGCCTATGTTCAGCATGGCGGACGTCCTGTGGCTGAGATAGTACTTAATGATGATGATGATGATGATATTTTCTGTAACCCAAATACTACTTCACGATTTTTATCAAGAAATCCTTAAATTATTGTGGTGACCTCGTATTAACCTAAAAAATCTTAACTTGTGTATTTAAATGTCCTCAAAATGTTTAAAAGAACGTTTAAATTTTAGCAACAAACCCCAAATTATCGGAAGAGAAGCAAAGAATCTAACCCAAATTGCTTTGTGAAAGCTTTTCGGTGGTATACACAGGTAAACAATGTAAATCTTATTTATGAGACAAATAAAGCAAGCAATAAACAGTTTTAATTTGAAAGTTTATTTGGCTATTACTACAGGTTACACTAATAGACTCAATATTTCACTTGCTACGGAATCCACTCTCTTAATTTTTGTTGATTGTAGTCGAATTTAAGGTTTTCTCCTCCTGAATAAGTAACTTCGTATTATAAGATTTTAAATTTACTTACTTCGTATTTTTTTAATTTGAATCTGCCTCTAAAAATTTAAGTGACTAGGAAGAAAAATCGCTTTTCTTTACCATTCTAACAACTAAGTACATAGTATCAAATAAAACTCTAGGAGCACCACCCGCCCCCAAGCCGGGAGCTGCCTAACGAGAGGACCGACCTAGTCGGGTTCTCCACGTGGCTGGACAAGAAATACGACGAGTTCATGCTGGATAAGCATGCGGAGCAGAAAACCTTCCAGCTCAAGCTGAAGCAGACTTCCATTCTGGAGGCGAACAAAAACAGCGCCAGGTAAAAGCATACAGAGGTCTAGAGCAGGGGTCTCCAAACTTTGAAATCTTGGGACCATAATATTTTTTCGGTGTGTTGCAAGGGCCATAACAATTTTAATTTTTCTGCCCACCTATGCAAACACAGGCTTAGTCTTAAGCTGTCGCGGGCCGTATTGATGGCAGTGGCAGGCCGGATATGGCCCGCGGACCGTAGCTTGCAGACCCCTGGTCTAGAAGTACAGAGGTCAGAGCATAACTGAGTCAATGTTTGAGGTACCGGATCGACACGGGTAACGATTGCTTTATTTATTCTCAATATAGCTCTGGTTGAACTCAAAGCAGTGATCATTTATGTATTCCCTATTCTCGCCTTTGTCTATCTACAATAACACTAGGGCAGAAAAGGTTGTATTATCGAATTTAGGCTGTACATTACCTCGCACATCGTTGGTGGAAGAACAGCCTAAATTCGACTAAACTGTGGTCCTACATTTTTATGTAAAATTAGAAATCTTAAAAGCTTACTTTTCGAATTGTTTCAGCGCGGTTCATGATGTACGCGTTAAAAAAAGGTTTGCTAGAATGAAAAGGTTAGTTCGGTAATTTCTTCTCTTTGCTATAAGTAATCATAAAGAACTCACTATCTCTTACTAATTTTAGTCCCTGGAGAAAAAGACGTCGTTCAGTAACTAGTAAAGAAGCTGGAGACGTGTTGGAGAAGTAAGTAACGCGATAAACTTCCTATTTTGGTGCTTTTTCAAAACGTTTCTGTAATGGGAATTTTGGCAATTGACAGGTGTAACCAAAGCTTTGAATTTATCATGAAACCAAAGGAATTGAGTCGACCGACATCGGAATGTTGTAACCAGTAAGTGCAAACTGTTAATAAATTACAAAAGTCTATTTTTTGTGATTAATTTATAAAATAATTTAAATTATAGTGTATCATGCAATCGGTCAAATGCCTCTTCTGAAACACAAATATCGAAGAAGACTTTCGTTAAATCGCACAGCTCTGATAGGACCGTTTACGAAAAACAAAATGTTACGCCAATAGAAGTGATCAAGCCTGAAGGTAGCAATGATAAAACTGTGAAGCTATCACGATCTAAATCGCAAATGAAAACTAAATCCAAAGCGCCAACGAAAGAGATGAAAGATGTCGAATGTCAGTGTCCTGAAGAAAAATTTGAGATCTCAGACGCGGACATACAATGCGACATCATTGACAGAAAAGCATTGGTAGAGTCTCCTATGTCTGACTATAGCGGCAACCAATATTATATGAGAGAACATACAAGCAATGCTGGAAAATTAAGTGCAAATTCTTCTCAGGTAATATTTTTTACCGTATTAACCTTGATGTATTTGCCACGTTTTTAAGAGCGACTATATTTTAGTTTACGTAATCGTTAGTTGCTAATATTACTATGACACCTCCTTTGTTGTATGAATGCAAATACGTGCAAATGTAGTTTCGGGTCGACGAATTGTTGTTATATAATTTTGAGTCGTCTTTAAGTGTTTGAATAACGCGTATTGATTTATATCATAGTAAAATTCATCATTATAACTGTCAAAAAAATTGCCTACAGCATTATATTGTATTGTTAGTAAATCAATAAATTATCATCAATTTGTCATGCCAGATTTTACCTGGACAGAAATATATTTCTGACTTATTTAACTTTTGTTGATATTCGGAAATATTTTCTAAAGAAAATTAATTTTACCAAACACATCACACGACAGAGCATTTCGAAATTTTAGAGAGTAACTCTTTTTACATAATATTTACCGAATGCCTGATGGATGCGTACCTACTAAATTTTACAACCTATTACGTGGTACCCAGCGAGTTCTTTTGTGTCATTTCCAAAGGTTGGTGCCGAAGATGGATCAAACCCAAAAAAGTTTAGAGCGATGCATCCTCTTCACAATGCAAGATCCGAGACGAGTACATCGTGTCAGTGTTCTGAAATAATGATTGTGAAGAGAGATGTGCAAAGCCAGCACGTAAGGGAGCAGGTGGATGCAACGTGCTGCTGCTGCATCAGCTGTGAATTCAAACCCCTGAGCCGAGCCTCGTCGAGCCACCAGGTACATGCACATTTTAAACCGATGCGATGTATGAAGTTTGTCTTTGATCTTCAAGCTAACTTGAACAGACTTATAGACTCAACCCAATGTCTCTCGAAGTCGCTAGTTCCATAGTACCAAAGTAAACCAAGTTTACATTATTCCAGGCCCATTCTTTTGCCTAAATGGTGTATTTATCCACNTGGCACTTCTTAATAATATTTATTTTGTATTTATCCACTCAATAACACAAATTATTTAACTAAACTCAATCGTATTGACTTATGCGCTAATGTACCTACCTACCTAAGCCGTAGCTCGAAACTTAAACATTTAACCTTTACATTATCATAAATCATAATATATTAATTAATATTTTTTGATAACAATCACAGTGTTTAGATATTGCCCGGGGCAAAGGCCATAATTTAATTTGAGTCAATGAAGTTATGTCAGTAGCGGCGTAAGGGGGGGGGGGGCGGTGGGGGCGGTCCGCCCCGGGTGCCAAGCATCAGGGGGTGACACAAGTCGCGCAGATTAGTACCTACTCATCTCATTGGCGCACATCTGCATGGCAAGTCTACGGTTTATGTCATGATACGGGGGGAGGGGGTGCGATTGTCTTTCAATCTTCGAAGTAGGTATAGTATCAGTAGCAGGGGGTGCCTTAGGACTTGTGACGGGGGGGGGGGGAGGGGGTTGATCGCCCCGGGTTCCAACCCATGCTACGCCGCCACTGAGTTATGTTTAGCTAATTTTATTTTATTAATGTAGTTAAAGCCATGATTATGGGAAAATATAAAATCATGCATAATAAGTAGAATCCTCAGTAGAATCTTGATATTTGGATTGTGACATAAGTAGAGCCACAACACGACGACCAAGGAGATATGCCTATTAACTAGTATATTATATTATCCGTGCTAGTACCTCTACCTACCTAATTAAACTTACTGTTACTTTTAAAGCAGCAAATAATACTTATCGTGTTTTTGTTTTATCAGGGGTAAAACATTGCATTGTTTATCGACGTACATATTGAATTGCAGTGAAAAAAATTACACTTCCAAATATTTTTTTCTCCATATTCTATTTAAAAAGATATTAAAACTTAATATATTTCAGAATCATCCCCGAATTGTTGTGAGACCAAGTTTAAAACAACAACCACCACATCCAATCGTAATAAAAAATGCGGGATCTGATGGGACCAAAGAATTTATCCCTTTGCCTATTCCTGCTGAATACGAACATGGAGAAGCGCAGACCTCGGATCATTCGATATGCCTGGTAAGTTTCTTTGATAGATACAAAAACCTTTTACAATTTATCTAAGATGTTTTATACGAGTATGATATGTCATTGCAATTTATTCATGTACAGTAAACTAGACAAAAGATCCTGCTATTTTCTATATTGTATTTCTGTGCCTATATGCGTAATTATTCGATTTTGTCAAATGTAGATCGTAACCGCTTCGATGTTTCGTCAAATATAACAATTTACTATATCTAGTTACCAACTAACCATTAGCTAGTTAGGTAGGTACAATAAGTACCTACATGCCTTTTCGTTCTGCACTATCAAATCAATAAAATTCATCTATCCAATCAGTTTAAATTGACAGGCTCAGAGTAATATAATTTTCATCGTTCAATTTCTAACTATAAATTCTTTCTTTATCTTTTATCGTATACGCTTTCTTGAATACAAAGTAGTTCCCTATTGCCTTTCCGGAGGTAATTACAAATCATTGAAACCCATAGGAAAAAAAGTCAGATTTATTAATAAAACGGGATTTCTTACACAAATAAATTATTTGTTTCATGTTACCAGGATAAGAACACATACCCACTCTTCATGAAAATCATTTGTGCGGATAAATTAAAGGAAGAAATGATTCGCAAGTGATTTCAAAATCATGGTTTCTTACAAAATTTTATAAAATATATATGCATTTTTTTAACTTCTCGTTTTATTTATTCATAAAAATTTTACATTTGCAAAACTAATGAGTAGGTAACAACACATTTGTACAATTTATTTACATAGCTCTTACAAAATATTATTTACATAAGTTTAATAAAAAAAACATTGAACCATCAGTTGGGTGGGCCATATGACGTGGCGGGCTTCGAATTAGGTAAGAATCCAAGGCTAGAGCTACTTTGACTCGACTGGCTGTTGGCCGAGATGCTCGGCAGGCCGTAGTCCGACGACGGCGCCGACGCGCCCGACGACGAGAACGAGGACGAGGAGCTCAGCGATGAGGAGCTCTCAGCAGCTGTCGCTGGACCAGTGTGGACGAACGATGAGATCTCAACACTGGGCCTGGCATTTTCCAGAGAAACACCAGATACAAGCGATAAATATCCTGCGTCTCTGGCAGACGAGTGCTCACTTTCCTTGATTATATTTTGCACCTTATCTACTACGACTGAGTCGAGAGCCTCTCTGTGGACTTGTCCTTGGAAACCACTGTATTGATTCGAATCTGCCTGGTAACTGGAGAGAGCTGATGAGCCGCTGCTGCTGCCGACTGATTGAGATTGCTGTTGGAACTGTACTCCAGCTGAAGGTTGAGGGTATGAGTATCCTTGCTGCGAGCTCTGTTGATATGCAACGGCGGGCTGGTACACTTGAGGCTGTGGTTGAGGTTGAGGCTGCGGCTGAGGTGCAATGTAGGCGGGAAGTGGGCGGATTGGCTGGGGCAGGGGTTGGGGTAAGGCTGGGCGAGCTACGGGTACGCCGTAGGAGGTGCTAGGAATAGAGACTGGGAGTGGTTGAGGGGCAGGCTGAGGAGCTGGTTGCTGGAAGACTGGGAGGGGCTGTGGAGCAGGTTGGTAATGAGGCTGGGGAGCGGGTTGATACTGAGGTTGGGGAGCTGGTTGGTACTGTATCTGGGGTGCCGGTTGATATTGGGGCTGAGGTGCAGGCTGGTATTGGGGCTGGGGAGCAGGCTGGTATTGAGGCTGAGGAGCCGGCTGGTACTGAGGCTGAGGAGCCGGTTGGTACTGTGGCTGCGGGGCTGGCTGATATTGCGGTTGTGGTTGCACAAACACTGGCTGAATGCTGGGCTGTTGGTAGAAGTATCCAGATCCCGGCACAAAGTTCTGTTGCGGCGGGGGCGGTGGCGGAGGGTGCGGGCGCACCGGCGGGGGCGGCGGCGCAGGCGGGTAGTGGAAGCTCGGGGCGTGTGGCGCTGGCCGCGGCAGGTGGTACGGGGCCTCCGCTGCTATCGCAGCAATCAGCGACACAACTATCACCTGAAACACGATATTATCAATCAAGCACGGATCACAGTAACCACTAGCATCATTTCTATGCAAATTATTCGTTTGGCAGTATGCTAATGAGGGGTTAATGGCTTAAAATATGCTAACGATGCCATAGGCATATGAAATCGAATGATCTCGGTGTGAAGGCAAACAGTCTGGGAAACTGCCGGTCAATAAAGGCCGGCCCGCGTTGACATTAGGAGATACACAATTTCACTTTTGTCGCACATCTACTCACCGCTGTCCTCATGGCTGTCGGTGTGTGGAGCACTGCGTGAGCTGTCCGGATGGTGTTTAGTTTTTATACCGCCACCACTACGCCTTGCCGGCCTGGGAGCTCCCGCGACGATACCGTGCGATTGCACAAATGCGTCACTTAGAAATATTAGTGTAAGTGTGTCGCTATAGGTTTTCAGGAGAGGACAATTACTTTATTTGTGAAGCGTTGCTAATGTTATGCCTTTCACTTAGACCGTTATAGGATGCGAACATGTAGGGACACTCGTGCGTTTCATTTGATAGGTTTACGTTTTATTACATGTTGCCATAAAAATACAATAATGCTAAAGCTGAATGAATGTATGAACGTTGTCCTATAACTTAGATAACTAAATCGTCTATCAGGTTTGTTATGTAACTCAGATTTGGCACTGCTCTAGGATCCTTGAATTTTTTTATTGCCCTTTGTTTCTTTGTTGTTTTGTTGTCAAATAAATAATTTTTCTTTCTTTCTTTCTTTCTTTCTTGAGATAATTTTCCCAGTTTGACCCTAACATAATTTATAAGTCTTCTTATAAATCACATTGAAGTATTAGATAGCTCTTATTGTTCCGAATATTGCTTGTATAAATATGTTATGGCAATATATGAATTGTACTTACTACGATTTATGGTAAAATAACGCAAGTTAGGCATGGTCTCATTATTAAATAAGTAAACGTTTACTTTATCCTTAAATGTTTTTCCATTTCATTTGAAACTACCACAGAAATTAGTTTATCACTATTGTAACTAGGTATTTGGCTACTATTGCTACTGCCCAGTCCCACACCAAGTGTATTCTTCACAAATTTCTATTATGCATTCTTTGTAGCGCTATAGACCCAAAGCTGAAGAACTGAAAATATATTTTTGAAAATAAATTGATGTAAAGCACAAAAGAATATTTGTGTTTGCCCTAGTTAAATGCTCTGTCACAATAACTCTTCAAATGCTCTGGCCCATAAAAGGCAAACTAGTTCCCGTATTTGACATCGCACGCAATATTCCCTATTGTTTTGTCTCCATTGATTCCTTTCATGGAACTAATTGCGAAGTAATAAGTCACCGGCCAACCTGGATTTATAGAAGTTTGCGTCGTAACTATTACGTTTACTAATTGACGATTATAATGTCTTTTAGAGAAGAACAACGAAATCGCTTACGCTATTCTTGTGACGCATTGAACATAAGTACCATTATTCATTAAAGTTTAAAACTCAACTCATTAGCATTTTGTTTGAGATTTCGTGAGCATTAGCTGCAAAACTAAACAAACACCTTTGATGTAAGTTATAATAACGAAAACTTTCTAAAAAGGTATAAATCTTACACAGAAAAAAGTTTGCTTTACTAAGGGTGGATTCGACCAAACAAGAGTAAATATTAATCGCAGAATAAATCGTCAGTTAATCGACATTTTGACATATTTTATTTCCCATACTCAAACTGTAATGTTATACCAGGAGTTATTCTCGGATAAAAGTTTAGTCGTATCGGGCCTAAAAGGTTTTGATGCAGCAACATTTCAATTAACGATTCCTACAACCTTGTCCTTTCAATACGCACAGAAGCAACTTAATCAGAATAATTGACAAGTTTTGTCACATATCGGCGTTAACAAAGACCTCAAGGATGGGAAATGTTTGCGCCTAAAAATATCACGCCGATCAAAGTCATTCATTATTTAATCAGTGGACGAGTTGCTACATCATTCGATTCACAGAGCACCAAAACAAACTGTCAAACGCAGCAATGACCCTCGGAGATGACCACGAAGATCTAAACCTGTTTGCTGATTTGTCAACGATCAGTTTAGTAAGATCGGATCTGATGAAAGAAATTAAAGTCTCTGTTGGACAGGCAAGTGTTTGGTGAGCAAATATTAGACAGATGTTGCGGGGCTCAAGCGTGAGTAGCCCAGTTAGAGGTCGGAGGCAAACAGTGAGGTAAGAGAGAAACCAGCGTGTAGCACACGTGCTCATACGGCACAATTTGCACCTCCTCTCTTCTACCGTTTATTGCACGCTTCTAACAACTCCAATGTGCATTTTATTGAGAGATGTCTCATAACAATATGGTTAAGTAACCTCTTGTTAAACAATTCTTCGCGCATCACGCCTTTTCTTTATTGATGATCTTGCACAAGTTCACTCAAAGCATTAACACTGATCATAAATAAAAGATGTAAACACATATTTTCATCGACTGCAATAAATATAATGTAAACTTGTGATAACCAATAGAAATAAGTGACAGTTTAATGGCTTTAATATTATTTGCATCTGTTTATTCTAATCGTTGACGAAAAATCGCTTAAGTTTCATTTTAACGATCGCTTTGTAATAAGACAGATTTATAACTGCTCATAATAATTTATTAATGATATTTATATTTAAAACTCCGCTTGAAATTAATAAAAATGTAGAGAATAAAACCAAGTTACTTAGACGACGGTAGCAACAACAAATAAGTAGGTAATAGCTATATTATAACAACTACCTAAATAAACAAGCTAAGGAACGCCTACAGACATATTGACAATCTTAGAAAATCATAATCTGGAACATTGTATTTACATTGACTGTAATGTTTTTACGATATTCGCTCATTGTACCTACTCGTAATATTTGGGATGAATGAATCAACCTCGACAGCGAAAAAGCTTAGCATCTTACAATTAGTCATCATTACCATTATGAGTGAAAAATTTAGATATTGTATCATAAACGATTAGTCATCATCAGCATTTTGAGTGATTTTGAAAGGTTTTTATTTTCTTGTAGGGTAGTCCCTTGTAGGCGGCGGCGGAGGGCGGCCCTTCACGCCTTTCAGCTCGGCCTCCCTTTGCTTCCTTTTCGCTACGATTCGGTCGTGGGTCCTCTTCATTTCCAGGATCTCTTTCATTTCCTCTTTGTCCTCGTCCTGCACAAAAAATATTTATTTGGTTGTAGCAACCAGGCTGCGATTAGAGTGTCAAGGCACTAAGCTAGCATAGTGAGATTTGCATTTAGGTAAGAACAACACAAATAACACCAAGTGTGAATAGACTTATCCTAAAATACTTACTCAGGTGGTACAAACACTTCACAGTCTAAATCTATGAGTTTTGGTTTATAGTCATTGTTTCCCGATTTGCTACGGAAGGATATCGAATACCTCGAACTTCTGCATTCTTCTGTTTAAATTCCTTTTTGCTTTCAAGACTCCTTCGGGTCTACTTAATCATCCTTAATTCAGTTTCATTGGCGATCCTCGCCCACTCTCTCTGTTGTCACTTATTCCAAATAAGAGCGAGAAGTATTATCCATGCTATTTATTTATTTATTATCAGTAAATTTAATTAAATCTATCCCTACCTTTTAGTTGATCCTCAGTACCAAAGCCCTCTTCCTATTGGCCATGGGCTGGTTATACCTACACCAGTTGCTACTTGTGCCTTTGAGTCGGAGGAACTCCTGTTCCGCCACCAGTACAATCCTCGCTTATTGTCTCTGACACTCGTTCCTCGTAAGAGAGATGTAGGATTCACCCCCTAACTTAAACGTACCTTTTGGTTGATCCTCAGTACCAAAGCCCTCTTCCCATTGGCCATGGGCTGGCTATACACCAGTTGTTGCTTGTGCCTTTGAGCCGGAGGGACTCCTCGCTCCACCACCAGCACAATCCTCGCCCATTGTCTCTGTCACTCGTTCCTCGTAAGAGAGATGTAGGATTNTATGTCAACGTGAAATTGTGAACTCTGTCAGTTTATATTATAACGCGTTAGATTGTAAACTAACAGTGGGTTAGGTTAGGTTAGATTGTAATTTAACTACGTCAGATTATAATCTGACGAAATTCACAATTTTACGGTGACAGATGTACATCTTACAATTAGTCATCATTACCATTATGAGTGAAAAATTTAGATATTGTATCATAAACGATTAGTCATCATCAGCATGTTGAGTGATTTTGAAAGGTTTTTATTTTCTTGTAGGGTAGTCTCTTGTAGGCGGCGGCGGAGGACGGCCCTTCACGCCTTTCAGCTCGGCCTCCCTTTGCTTCCTTTTCGCTACGATTCGGTCGTGGGTCCTCTTCATTTCCAGGATCTCTTTCATTTCCTCTTTGTCCTCGTCCTGCACAAAAAATATTTATTTGGTTGTAGCAACCAGGCTGCGATTAGAGTGTCAAGTCACTTAGCTAGCATAGTGAGATTTGCATTTAGGTAAGAACAACACAAATAACACCAAGTGTGAATAGACTTATCCTAAATACTTTTTTTTTTTTTATGCTAGCCAAGGCAGGTATTTGACCGCAATCGCACCTGGTGTTAAGTGAGATGCAGTCTAGGATGGTACATATCTGCCCTGTAAGTGCCTATTCACTCTCGCCTTGAAAACGCCCGGATTATAGTGTACTTACTAAGTTACTTAGGTAGTACAAACACTTCACCGTCTAAATCTATGATGAGATAATTTGGTTTAGTCTAGGCGCAGACCACCGATTTTTAGTTGGCCGATACCAAATCGGTGTAATGTGCGCACTTTCATACATGTCCAATGTCCATACTGAATAACAGCCCGACTCAACTATCGGCAAACTATAAGTCGGTAGTCTGCGCCTAGGCTTATAGTCCTTGTCTCCCGATTTGCTACGGAGGGATATCGAATGCTTCAAACTCCTATATTCTTCTGTTTAAATTCCTTATTGCTTTCAAGATTATCACTCCATCGGGCCTACTCATCCCTAGTTCATTGACCTCGCCCACTGTCTCTATTCTATCACTCATCCCAAGTAAGAGCGAGATATAATATAACTCATCCTGCAACCTATCCCTACCTTTTGGTTGATCCTCAGTACCAAAGCCCTCTTCCCATTGGCCATGGGCTGGCTATACACCAGTTGTTGCTTGTGCCTCTGAGCCGGAGGAACTCCTGTTCCACCACCAGTACATTCCTCGCCCATTGTCTCTGTCACTCGTTCCTCGTAAGAGAGATGTAGGATTCATCCCGTAACCTATTATACGTACCTTTTGGTTGATCCTGAGTACCAAAGCTCTCTTGCCATTGGCTATGGGCTGGCTATACACCAGTTGTTGCTTGTGCCTCTGAGCCGGAGGAACTCCTGTTCCACCACCAGTACATTCCTCGCCCATTGTCTCTGTCACTCGTTCCTCGTACGAGAGATGTAGGATTCATCCCCTAACTTAAACGTACCTTTTGGTTGATCCTCAGTACCAAAGCCCTCTTCCCATTGGCCATGGGCTGGCTATACACCAGTTGTTGCTTGTGCCTCTGTGCTGGAGGAACTCCTCGCTCTACCACCAGTACAATCCTGGCCCATTGCCTCTGCCACTCGTTCCTCGTCTCCGCTATCTTCTGGTACGTGTTACCCATCATGGCAATCAACATGTTTACTAAGAGAATAGCCACTATTATCATGTAGATCACGAACAGCAGCTGTAAGGAAATGACATGGGTTAAAAATAGGGTTTCCAGTTTTGTCGTACGAGTAAATCTTGTAACGAACTCTGTGATTACTAAATACTAATCTGTGAACTTTGTGAGACCCTGATAAAGAATATCTAAAGATATAACGAAGAGCTCTCTTAATACAATCTGAAAGGGCCTAAAATACCCAAAATGTAACTACGTTTGTTGTTCTCCAAACAATTAGCTACATGCCTCTTGGACATTTATCTGAAGTACCTAGTATCTGTACGTATCTGAAAGTTTGCTTCTTTCTTATCAAGCGGCTTGTTGCTGGCTGTTCTTAAAAAAAAATCCTGGAATACATCTACTTCAACCAGGCCAGTATACTACACACCTTTGCTTCAATCTCATGGTCAGTCCTCTCGAAGGCGCCGTAGTAGTCGGAGAAGGATGTGAGCGACATGAGGAACATGGCCATGATGCTCTCCATGGGCGAGGGCATGGGGTTCGACACCGAGTCGTCCACGCCCTCAGGAGTGTTGGGGTTGTCGAACGACAGGAAGATTACGTAGTACGCTGAAAAATTATTCAGATGATTATTATAAACCTTTTTTTTATGGAACAGGAAGCAACTGAGCGACGGATCACCTGATGGTATAACATAAGTGATTACCGCTGCCTCACAGCCGCGGGGAAAATAAATAATTAAAGTTACGGATTCAACTTTATCAAACAAAGCGGACTTTGCTAGTAAGAGCTTTGACAATCGGACGCAGTCCTTACCTTGAGAAAAGCCCATGACAAAAACCAAGTAGATGCAGACAAATCGAAGCAAGTCACCCATCACCATGCGGTAGATCATCACCACGAATGGACCGACTGTCTTGAAGCCACTGCAAGAAGAAATAACGCAAACCCCAAAGTAGATGGAATATGAACATGTGATCTAGAAGCTAAAGGTTAAGCTTAACTCAGTCAGTTCCTGAGGTATGGGAGCGACACGGGAGGAGGGGTGACATTAACATATTCTGACGTGACAGAGCATACAAATCTGAAGAATAGGTATCTGAAGTCTCGCTGAATTTGACGTCTCAAAAACACCCTCCTGTGATATAATATGACTCATCCTGTAACCTATCCCTACCTTTTGGTGGATCCTCAGTACCAAAGCCATCGTCCCATTGGCCATGGGCTGGCTATACACCAGTTGTTGCTTGTGCCTCTGAACTCCTGTTCCACCACCAATACATTCCTCGCCCATTGTCTCTGTCACTCGTTCATCGTAAGAGAGATGTAGGATTCATCCCCTAACTTAAACGTACCTTTTGGTTGATCCTCAGTACCAAAGCCCTCTTCCTATTGGCCATGGGCTGGCTATACACCAGTTGCTGCTTGTGCCTTTGAGCCGAAGGAACTCCTGTTCCACCACCAGTACATTCCTCGCCCATTGTCTCTGTCACTCGTTCCTCGTAAGGGAGATGTAGGATTCATCCTCTAACTTAAACGTACCTTTTGGTTGATCCTCAGTATCAAAGCTCTCTTGCCATTGGCCATGGGCTGGTTATACACCAGTTGTTGCTTGTGCCTCTGAGCCGGAGGGACTCCTCGCTCCACCACCAGCACAATTTGACGTCTCAAAAACACCCTCCTGTGCCGCTCCCATATCTCAGGCACTGAGTTAGGCACTAGACCTATAGCATCTCACCGACAGAAGAATAAGAAGTAGGGCGCGGTAGTGAGCATGATGATGACGGCCAGATGGTCCTCCGCCTCGTCGGCGCACCACAGCCGCAGCGTTGGTAGAGCGATCATTAACAAGCAGGAGAAGAGGAACATCACTCTGAAATGATAGTGGAAATCGATTTGCGAATCAGAGATGAGGAAACCAAAATAACCGACATAGGCCACAGAATTACCAGGCGCCAATGACTAGTCTAACGGTGTCCATGCTTCGTGATCCTATGAGCCCTGTTTCACAGCTTCGCATCCCGTGAGTCGCCAAGACTATTGAGGTAAAACCATAAAACCTACTCGTAACACAAGCATATACAGTGTGAGTCACGTTAAAGTGTACATATGAAAATAGATGAAACTAGACCTATTTTTATCGACAAAAAAGAGGTCAAAANTTAACACAAACCCCAAAGAAGATGGAATATGAATATGTGATCTAGAAACTAAAGGTCTAGTACTTAACTCATTCAGTGCCCGAGGTATGGGAGCGGCATGGGAGGGGTGACATTAACCTGACGTGACAGAGCATACAAATCTGAAGAATATCTGAAGTCTCGCTGAATTTGACGTTTCAAAAACACCCTCCTTTTGCCGCTCCCATATCTCAGGCACTGAGTTAGGCACTAGACCTATAGCATCTCACCGACAGAAGAATAAGAAGTAAGGCGCGGTAGTGAGCATAATGATGACGGCCAGATGGTCCTCCGCCTCGTCGGCGCACCACAGCCGCAGCGTTGGTAGAGCGATCATCAACAAGCAGGAGAAGAGGAACATCACTCTGAAATGATAGTGGAAAGTCACCTGATGGGCGATGGAGCGTGCTATACTCGGTTTTTTCCGAATTCCAAAATCATCCTTACTGAGGAGATCCGTAAGAGAACCTAAGTAGCCAGCAAAATTAACAGGCGACAATACGAGTACAACAACGATGTCAGTATTGGACTCTTATGTCTCGTGATCTGAGGAACGCTGATTCGCACCCCGTTACCTCTGGACTATTGTGGTGAAGCCACTTGTAACACTAGCATACATTACTTAAGCCCGTATTCACAAACGATGCTTGCTTAAGTGAAACAGCAAACAGAACGCACAGCGTTGAATAGAGCTCTGTGATTGGTTTGTGTGTCACCCTGTGCGTCCACGCGCACTGTGAGACCTCATAGTAATGTTTGTGAATACGGGCATTAGGCTGAGTTGCACCACCTAACTTTGACCGTAACTATAACGTTAACCGGTGTATTTTGTATAGAGTTTGACAGATTTTTGACGTTTGTCAAAGTTAAAGTAAGTTGGTGCAACCCAGATTTAGCTTATCACAAGAGGTTAACTGGACCTGGACTAAGGACTCTGGATTACCTACAATAACATTACGTAAATTCTTTAAAAAAAAGTTTATTTTAAATTGACAATAGTTAACGTTTACCTTGAAGGTACCGTACTCAAGTTCTCAATAAACATCTTCAGCCCCAGAAACCTCGCTTCTCGCAGCGCAGCTCCAATATACGCTAAGGCTCCGAGCCAGAGCAGTAGTTCAGCTGATATTCGAACCTACAATATTTCATCATTATTTGTAATTTTTAGAAAAACTATCTAATGAATTGCATTCTTGAAACCCTTTAAAACTTTTGTCTATTGAACAAGCAAATACTTACGCACAACATGCAACTCTCACTCAAAAATAAATGTTATTTCTACATTATAAGATGTTTTATGAAGTGGAATATAAATAAGGTGATTAAATGTATTGTTTTGTTATTACTTAGATATTAACTTCATAATTCTTGTTTACATTCGATAATTATAGGCTACCTAATTTTATATTAAAAAAAAATGAAAAGTTGTTTCTTTGACAGTATCAAACGTTAATTTAACTTATTTAGTTATAGCACCTTCAAAGGCAAGTGTATTAATATCAAAGCGGATTTAATTGAGTTACCTTTGCTTGCCAAGGCTCAAAGTCCATTAACCTACACTCCTCCGTGAGGTCTTCCCACCACCCTTCCATATCCGTTTCCTTGGGAGCTTCGGTGGCTGAAATTACGCGAATATTGTTTTACTATCGGTAATTCAATCGATTATACTGAAAATAGTTCGTCCCTCTGAAACCCATTTTTCTCAGAATTACATTTTTTGATATAGAAATCGTGTGAAGCAAAAGTTATATTAACCACTCTGCACGGGATAATAACTTACATTAACCCTCTGAAAAACATGTTTACCTATAGATCCAATTTAAAAGAAGCATTATTTGGACGTTCCAAAAGTGTAGATTAGTATAATCAACCGACTTCAAAAAAAGGAGGAGGTTCTCAATTCGACCCGTATGTTTTTTTTTTCTATGTTTGTTACGCGATAACTCCGCCAATTATGAACCGATTTGAACAAATCTTTTTTCGGCGTATAGGTAATACCTCACGGGTAATAATAGAAAAAACAACCCCCAAGGGTGGAAAATTGGGGATGAACTTTTTTATACGCAATATCTCCGCCGATTATAAATCAATTTGAACGATTAGTTTTTTGTTGAATAGGTATTATCAAAAGGGTGGTTTCATGCGAATTTGAAGAAAATACACTCGGCATCAAATAAATCGCACTTCCCGCGACAAGCACTTATCAAACGTATGCATCCCCACTTCCTACCAACATTGGTACCATTTGAAAGCCTAGTTCTAAACTTCATTTCATTAAAGGAAAGGTTTTTACCCCCATAATGTGTCTTTACAAGGATCCAGAGTCATTTCTTCAAAAAATAGGTAGTTACGCTATAGCCATTTTTTATGACTATAAAACTGTTAAGTTGGGATTAATCGCTATCCATCTGTTAAAGAGGACACGTGAGATCTTTATTTGGTTTTATAGCCATAAAAATTGGTCTAATTGATCCCAGAGGTGAGCCCAATGTGAGGTCTATTTTCAAGTCACATTTATGGTTTATGTTAATCATTTATTTAGAAATGAAATGTATTTTTCTTAAAGGATATTTATTGGGCTTTCAAATAACACCAATATTGTTGGGGTACCATGATTGTGTCAGAAGAAAATCTTTAAAGTTCGCGTCGCGGAAGGTGCGGTTTATTTGATGTTGAGTGTATTTCACCCCCAAGGGTGGAAAATTGGGGATGAACTTTTTTATACGCAATATTTTTAATTTTTAGTTTTTTTTGTGTTCACGCATTTGAAGTCGGTTTTATTTTTTTAAAAAGTTAATTATTTTATTATTCTACAGAATATTTTCTTATTCTGATTCTTTACAAAAAAAATGGTTTAGTAACTAACTTCAAGTTACTAAACCATTTACGAGTATAATTTTATTATTCTACAGAATCTTTTCTTATTCTGATTCTTTACAAAAAAAAATGGTTTAGTAAGTAACGAAAGCAAGTGCAAATTAGGCCTCACGTTTGTCTTTCTCCTTGGTGTGGCTCTTGAACCTCCCGCACATAGGCCCGTCGGGCTTGGAGCCATTCATCAGCTCCACTGCCCCCGGGTCGAACTCCGAGGCATTCAAAGGCATCGTACAGTTCTCTGGAAACAATATGGCCCCTGGTCTATAACTAAACTAAAGTAACGTCTTAATTTATTGTAACTGTGCCCGCGACTTTGTATGCATGAAAATTGTTTTCCAAAACTCATTACATTCATGACATATTTTAGTTATTCGTAATTAGTATACTTAAAAGTATGTTAAAAATCTCTAAAAGTAGCTATGGCTAGTTTTTGTCTTAAATAAAACCTTGAAACTTGTATCATTTTTCTAGTCGTTTCACCAAAGCAAAGCACATAATCACACTGCATGAAATTTTATTAAGTATAGAAGACATTAGCAATGAAAATTTATCATATTTGGCAAGGCTGTCTATTCACTAAATCTTATTTATAACTTGTCCAAAATCTGCAAAGAGAAAGCGACCTTGTAGCAATATGTACAATAGAAGTCCACAAACACGCGTCGGATAAATCATATCCATTATTATCCATCCAATGTCACAAAGGTGACGATTTTCGCTCAAGATTGTGTAACACAGTGCAATCTCATGGCGTAAAGTATGCGCAAAAATGTCAAAAGGTCACTCTGAAAAGGTGTGAAATACACCCAATGTTCGACCTTTAGCTGTAAAAATATATTATTATTCTTAAACGCTAAATTCCATAAATATTAATCAATCTAATGTAATTATTACCTACATTCATCTGTTTTTGAAAGAATAGAGCCCATATTTCAAATTAACTACCTAACTATAATTAGTATTATAGTGCTTTAGCCCGAGTTTCTTCGGCGTACTTAGTTTTCCATAAAAATTTGCTTATAGCCTGTGAGCTATTCTGATCCTATCCTCAAAAACAAATCCAGAGCCAAAAAACTTACCAACATAAGTTACCAGTTCAGTCTCATTCAAAACAGGTCCTGCAGTAGAGTTCAAGGCTGTAGCATTGACTGGTCTCTCAGGTGTCCCGGGGCGAAGGGTGAAGCAGACTAGGGATATCAGGAAGTAGCAGGAGAACAGTATGAACTGACGGTAGAAGCGGAACTTGACGAACGTGTTCCATTTAGTTTTGAGGAGATCGATTAGCATGCCTTCAAGGAGCTCTAAATGCTCATCTTTTTCCTAAAAATAAAATAAACGTATTGGATATTAATTTAATATGAAATGAAATTAGTTATTTTACTTCAATAGTCTAAAGTAGGTAATTGGTAAGAAAAGTTTATTGCATCCTTATTTTAATGTTACTTAATAAAGACGTTCTTATAAACGTAAACTCAAAGCTAGGACATCTACTTTAGATATCCTAGAATTAAGTAAGTAAGGGAAAGCTATGTATGTACCTGAAACTAGATTAAAATAGTACATTAATGAGGAAACTCTATTTTACGGCAAATCTAACCAATCCATCCGAAGAAAAATTAAAGCATGCCTAGCAATCTAAAAGAGCAAATCCACTCACCCCAAAAACTACTAGATTAAGAGCAGAGTCCTTACTAATGAGCCCTGTCTCCGTGTCTATAGTGTCCACTTGCCCCAAAGGATAGGCCGCACACGTAGTAGCCCCGATTTGCCAGTATATCTCCCTTTCGATGTTGAGGATGTGGAAGAATAGTTCGGTCCGGGCGAGCTTGGCAGCCAGGGTCAGGGGCGTGAGGTTCAGAGAGTTGCGAATGTTGAGGGAAGCACCCACTTCGTATGCCATGTCGAATGTGCTCTGATGAAAATAAAATCAATCATACGTCATGCATGTTATGGTACTTTAATTTAGTTTAAGACCTAAAATTCTATCCATAGGTGTCCATTCCAATTCGTCACAAACGTCATGGGCCAGCGATGATAAGAAGCAGCGCAAGAACTCACATGTTAGAAAAATAAAGACCAACGAAATCTACCTATCATCATTATTCTCCCCAAATTATCTGGCACTGTGCCACCTAGCAATCGAATCCAGGACCTCTGAGAGTCGTCATTTATTCTTGACTAACATTTTAGGGCGCGCGCATACTGTGTTATGTCAACATAGCACAGAGCATACGAATGGATAAACAAGCAATCAAGCAATCAAGCAAATGAAGTCTTATTTACATGTTTGTGAACCGTACTGCTGGACAGGAGTTGGTAACTATTTAGAACCTTATTACGTAACCGTTCTGTATAGCAGCCTTATTTGTTTTTCAAATGTGTAACTTACAATCTTGTCATAAATGACCAGCATGTGCAGCACTGTGTTTCCATTAGTGTCTTGGTTGTTGGGGTCTGCCCCTCTCGCTAGAATCAGGCGGTAGCACTCCTCTTGGCCCAGACACGCCGCGAAGCTGAGAGGATACTCGCCCCAGTAGACATATCTGTAATTTATAAATAAATCACTCTTATTAAAAACTCATATTTAATGCTTTTGAAATTCATGACTTTATCTTAATGAACGAACTTTCATATAAACATAGTTCTACGCGTTGAGATTATTTGTTCATTACTACGAAACTTTGCTACGAAATTAGTGTACAGATTTCTGCCAGGTGCTACGTGTAAGTACATCTACATTTATGTCATCGTGATAATCAAAATACTAATTTAACCACTTTAATTAAAACAACCTACATAGGTACTAAAATAATGTGCCACAAAANGGTCAAAAAATTTTTGAGATTTTTTTTTAATTTTTTATAGAATTTTTTTTCTTCCAATTACTTATTGTAAAGAAAACATAATAACTTTTAAACTAAGCGGTATATCCTGATGAAATAAAAACAGTAATAATGCTAAATAACAGGCGATACTAAAAAACTACATAAAATACACAAAAAAGGCCAACAAATAATAAAAAATGATACTTTTTGAAAAAAATCTGCTTTTAAATTCGTGTTTTTTTGGTTATTTGATAAATTTCTCCAAAAAATGCCCCTATAACCGGTAATTTTTATCACTTTGTATTATTCTCTATCGTGTTACCTTTGTAAAACTAAAAATCGCATGTCTCTATCCCTATCACAACGTTTGCAATGATCGTTTGAACTAAGCCTCTCCGGGCGCGCCATTCAACGCTTCGTTAACAACGAAACTGAAAATGGCTCTAGATTTGTAATTTTGATAAAGACAAGTTAGATTTCAAATAAAAACAAAAGATTTTGAAGTAAAATAAGCATTTTAGTTAAAATTAAAATTGTCTCTACCTGTAGCGGAGAAAAATGTTGTGGCAGGCCTATGTTCAAACGATCATAGCAAATGTTGTGATAGGGATAGAGACATGCGATTGTTGGTTTTACAAAGATAATACGATAGAAAATAATACAAAGTAATAAAAACCACCTGTTATAGGGGCATTTTCTTGAGAAATTTGACAAATAACCAAAAAAACACGAATTTAAAAGCAGATTTTTTTCAAAAAGTATCATTTTTTATTATTTGTTGGCCTTTTTTGTGTATTTTATGTATTTTTTTAGTATTGCCTGTTATTTAGCATTATTATTGTTTTTATTTTATCAGGATATACCGCTTAGTTTAAAAGTTATTACGTTTTCTTTACAATAAGTAATTGGAAGAAAAAAAATTCTATAAAAAATTAAAAAAAAATCTCAAAAAATTTTTGACCTCTTTTTTGTCGATAAAAATAGGTCTAGTTTCATCTATTTTCATATGTACACTTTATCGTGACTCACACTACCTAATCACCAGGGATTATATGAGCCTAATATATTCGTACATATTACATAGGTAGGTAGTTTTTAGTCAATGTCAACGTTTACCTTGAAGGTACCGTGCTCAAGTTCTCAATGAACATCTTCAGCCCCAGAAACCTCGCTTCTCGCAACGCAGCTCCGATATACGCTAAGGCTCCGAGCCAGAGCAGTAGTTCAGCTGATATTCGAACCTACATTTCATTGTGATTTTTAGAAAAAATTATGTACCTAATTAATTGCATTCTTGAAACAATTTAAAACTTTTGTCTATTGAACAATGCGACTCTCACTCAAAAATATGTTAGAAATAACATATTTTTGAGTGAGAGTCGCATCATCATTTTTACATTATAAGAAGTTTTATGAAGTGGAATATAAATAAGGTGATTATTCTTTTTGTATTACTTAGATATTAACTTCATAATAATTCTTGTTTACATTTCGATAATTTTAGCCTACCTAATTTTATATTCAAGAAAATGTGAAGTTGTTTCTTAACTTATTTAGCTATAGCACCTTCAAAGGCAAGTGTATTAATATCAAAGCAGATTTAATTGAGTTACCTTTGCTTGCCAAGGCTCAAAGTCCATTAACCTACACTCCTCCGTGAGGTCTTCCCACCACCCTTCCATATCAGTTTCCTTCGGAGCTTCAGTGGCTGAAATTATGCGAATATTGTTTCAATATATGATACTGAAAATAGTTCATCCCTCTGAAACCCATATTTCTCAGAATTACATTTTTTGCTATAGAAATCCAAAAGTTATATTAACCACTCTGCACGAGAGAATAACTTACATTTTACCATTATTATAAGTTCATAACCCTCTGAAAAACTTGTTTACCTATAGGTAGATCAAATTTAAAAGAAGTATTATTTGGACGTGCCAAAAGTGTACGAGTATAATTTTATTATTGTACAGAATCTTTTCTTATTCTGATTCTTTACAAAAAAAATGGTTTAGTGACTAATTTGAAGGATTACTATAAGTATAAAGATCTTGTTTTAAAACAGTACTTAAAAGACCTACATAAGATCGCCTGTAAGTAACGAAAGCAACTGCAAATTAGGCCTCACGTTTGTCTTTCTCCTTGGTGTGGCTCTTGAACCTCCCGCACATAGGCCCGTCGGGCTTGGAGCCATTCATCAGCTCCACGGCCCCCGGGTCGAACTCCGAGGCATTCAAAGGCATCGTACAGTTCTCTGGAAACAATATGTCCCCTGGTCTATAACTAAACTAAAGTAACGTCTTAATTTATTGTAGCACTGCCCGCGACTTTGTATGCGTGAAAATTGTTTTCCAAAACTCATTACATTCATGACATATTTAGTTATTCGTAATTAGTAAGTCGGTATAATAACATAAAAGTAACTATGGACAAACATACATGACTATGTTTTTGTCCTAAATAAAACCTTGACACTTGTATCATTTTTCTAGTCGTTTCACCAAAGCAAAGTACGTCATAATCACACTGCATGAAATTTTATTAAGTATAGAAGACATTAGCAATGAAAATTTATCATATTTGCCAAGGCAGTGTATTCACTAAATCTTATTTATAACTTGTCCAAAATCCGCAAAGAGAAAGTGACCTTGTAGCAATATGTTTACAATAGAAGTCTACAAACATGCCTCGGATAAATCATATCCATCCAATGTCACATAGGTGACGATTTTCGCTCAAGATTGTGTAACACAGTGCAATCTCATGGCGTAAAGTATGCGCAAAAATGTCAAAAGGTCACTGAAAAGGTGTGAAATACACCCAATGTTCGACCTTTAGCTGTAAAAATCTATTCTTAAACGCTAAATGCCACAAATATTAATCATTCCAATGTAATTATTACTTACACTCATCTGTTTTTGAAAGAATAGAGCCCATATTTCAAATTAACTACCTAACTTTAATTAGTATTATAATAGTGCTTTAGCCCGAGTTTCTTCGGCGTACTTAGTTTTCCATATAAATTTGCTTATATGTAGTCTCCTCAAAAACTTTGCGTTTTAATATTAAAAAATTTACTTACTATGACAATCCGCGGTACAATTCCAAAGCAAAGACACTTACCAACATAAGTGACCAGTTCAGTTTCATTCAAAACAGGTCCTGCAGTAGAGTTCAAGGCGGTTGCATTGACTGGTCTCTCAGGCGTCCCGGGGCGAAGGGTAAAGCAGACGAGGGATATCAGGAAGTAGCAGGAGAACAGTATGAACTGACGGTAGAAGCGGAACTTGACGAACGTGTTCCATTTCGTTTTGAGGAGATCGATTAGCATGCCTTCGAGGAGTTCTAAGTGCTCATCTTTTTCCTAAGAAATAAAATAAATGTATAAATTAACTCAATATGAGGTCAATAATTAGGTACTCAATAGGTTTATTGCATTCTTAATGTTTACTACATGTATTCCAGTCCTCTTATCTCCCACAGTAGGTAAGTAATGATTAAGTTAATTCTGGAGAAACTGTAAATGTGCGTGGAACGAGATTAAAATACAACAATGAGGAAACTCTATTTTATGGCTTATTCAACTTATTAGTATTATAGAACTGAAGCGATTGAACTATCTGCCACTTTAAGTAATTTAACTTACCCCAAAAACGACCAAATTGAGAGCAGAGTCCTTACTAATGAGCCCTGTCTCCGTATCTATAGTGTCCACTTGCCCCAAAGGATAGGCCGCACACGTAGTAGCCCCGATTTGCCAGTATATCTCCCTTTCGATGTTGAGGATGTGGAAGAATAGTTCGGTCCGGGCGAGCTTGGCAGCCAGGGTCAGGGGCGTGAGGTTCAGAGAGTTGCGAATGTTGAGGGAAGCACCCACTTCGTATGCCATGTCGAATGTGCTCTGATGAAAATAAAATCAATAATACGTCATGCATGTTATGGTACTTTAATTTAGTTTAAGACCTAAAAGTCTATCCATAGTTGTCGATTCCAATTCGTCACAAACGTCATGGGCCAGCGATGATAAGAAACAGCGCAAGAACCCACATGTTAGAAAAATAAAGACCAACGAAATCTACCTATCATAATTATTCTCCCCAAATTATCTGGCACTGTGCCACATAGCAATCGAATCCAGGACCTCTGAGAGTCGTCATTTATTCTTAACTAACATTTTAGGGCGCGCGCATACTGTGTTAAGTCAACATAGCACAGAGCATACGAATGGATAAACAGCATCAAGCAAATGAAGTCTTACTTGACATGTTTGTTAACTATACTGCTGGACAGGAGTTGGTAAACTATTGAGAACCTTATTACGTAACCGTTCTGTATAGCAGCCTTATTTGTTTGTCAAAAGTATATGGTATAACTTACAATCTTGTCATAAATGACCAGCATGTGCAGCACTGTGTTCCCATTAGTGTCTTGGTTGTTGGGGTCTGCCCCTCTCGCTAATATCAAACGGTAGCACTCCTCTTGGCCCAGACACGCTGCGAAGCTGAGAGGATACTCGCCCCAGTAGACATATCTGTAGTTCATAATATCACTCTTACTAAAAACTCCTGTACTTTTGATTTAATTTCATGACCTATCTCGATAAAAGAACTTTAAAATTAAATAAACCATCTCTACGCGTTACAATAAAATAATTCAGTGCTACGAAACTCAGTGAAAAAACTTTGAAATACATATAAATAAACCTTATACGCGTTACCTACAATAAAATAGTTTCAGTGCTACGAAACCTCGCTACGGATTGAGCCAGTGCAGTGTGGGGTGTGTGCTCTAAATTGTGTCCTCTCTAGATTCCATCTTTGCTGTGTCATCATGATAATCAAAATGCTAATGTTTGTAATGTAATGTTTTAATAAACAATTAAAATTTTAATTAAAACAACCTACTATAATAAATTGTCACAAAAGTGTCAGTTTTATAAATCTGTGGTCAGTAGCTAGTAGTAACAAATTGCTGCACTAATTGCCGCGTTTAACGCAGAATTAGCGGCTCTTTGGAACGTGCTATCGTTTATAAGAACACTTGATTTATCGACGCTCTGTTAAAGCGCTTAAAGCCGTATCCATCATTCATAAAAGAGAGCTTATTATCGTTTAATTGTAGAGATCATTGGAATAAATATTTCTACTTATTATAAAAAGTTAAAGTTTGTAGAGAGTTAATTTATAGGAATGAAGTAGGTAATTAGTGGAATTACTGAATTGATTTTGAAAATTCTTCCAACATTAGAAACCTTGTTTCCGAGTGACATAAATATTTACATTACATGCAGTTAGGCTTAAATAAAAAACACACAAGGATTTCGGGCCTCAGTTACTTAGTGAGCATCTTCCTTCACATAACTGAAATTATATCAAGAGACCAACTATACCTACCCGACATAGTTAGTGTCCCGGGTAACATTGACCCACTCGTGGTCTAGCGAGTCGGACCTTGAAGCCTTCTGGTCTTCGGGGCACATGAAGTTCCCGCAGCACCTCTCGTGGTAATCCGCGCCCGCATCCAACAGAAACTTTACCATTGTAGGGTCTTCGTTGACTATCGTCATGTGCAGTACACTCTCCCCTTTGGAAACAAAAGAGTTGTATCTGTATAAGACGAACTTACGATTTTCAATATTGTAGGTATTTGGCGCAAATTGAAAACTCACATCTCTATGAACAAGTGAGAGATATAAGTTGACTTTGTACTTTTACCTCATACTTAAATGAATGCTATCTACAGCTACAGTGTAAAATCTAGCTTATATCTACATAATATGAATATTATGATCATTACTCATAATAAAATTGTATAGGTAATATCGCTTATTTCAAATAGTAATGCGTTTTTATACACTGTAATTTTTATTTTGCTTATTAATTAATAAAGTTGACCTCAAAACAATTAACTAGGCTGAGTAATTTCCTATCTGACCCTGAATTTGCCTTAGTTAAACATATTGACGTTGAAAATATTCATAAATCACTGGGCGATAAATTTTTCAGCAATCCAGTTATCGGACGCTCTATCAAATTAACTAAGCTGCTCTACCACGCCACGGCCGATTGTGCAGATAAGCATGGGAAAGTATTTATCAGAATTAACACCGTTTTACCCCTTGACGTGGAAAAGTGGGGTACAAAAATATTTATGGGCAATAAAGAGAGGTATCAAAGATGGCTAATATCCAAAATGTTGATATTGAAACTGGCTATCATACCTAAATTAGTATGAAAACAAAATGTAGAGTCTTACAACGTACAAATAAATATCCCACATCAAAAAATTTGATAATTTCAAGGCAAACAAAATGTTATATAATTCACTAACACACATACAATCTGACTGTTCTGGGGTACTTAAGCTAATAAATAAAAGTGACTCTCGGTATCCCCGGAATCTCTAAAAGTATATTAACTCTCCTTACCATAATATTCGTCGCTCATGTAGATGTCGTTGATGAGCTTAGGGTAGAAGCGCAGGAGCCTCTTGGCGAGGTCTGCCAAGAGGGAAGTTGCATTCAGCAGGCAAAGGTGTAGGATTGTTTCGCCGACTGCTCCGCGCTCCTTGAAACATGATAAAACTATCATCATCATCATTTCAGCCATAGGACGTCCACTGCTGAACATATTCCCTCAATGATTTCTACAATGGCCGGTTGGTGGCGGCCTGCACCTAGCGCATTCCTGCTACCTGTATGAAGCCGTAAGTCCACCTTATGGGTGAACATCCTACGCTGCGTCCAAAATTACAGTACCAAATGTATTTAAAAAAGTTTTTGTAGTATTTTACCTTGAGGTCCCAACACAGTTCCCTGTAACCAGAAGGGTTGGCGTCGTATTCCTCTTGGCTTACCGCCGGCCAGTCTTTTTCTACGTCAAATTCTTCATCAGGATTTTCCATTCCTCGCAACGGTGGGAGCTATATTTATGGTAAAATGTTGCAGGTTAATTACACAATAATTACAGCAACTACTGTGTGCTAAAATAAATGTAAATACAAGTTTTATTTGAAAAAAGTATCATCCTCTATTCCTCTTGATCGTAGTCTATCGATCGCAATCTACAATAAAGAGGATACCAGGAAAATCGGGAGTAGACCACTTACCAGCTTGTGCCTGGGTCGTTCTTTGTTTCGCAGAAGCACAAGATGTGATATAGGTATATACCGGCCCTTGCCCTTATTGTAGAGAAACGGCTCCACCTTTGTCTTGATTGCGTGGTCTATCTCTGCGTACTGCTTGTTTTGGACAGCCCGTTTCATCATGTCTACTAGGAGTCCACCACCTAAAAAAGATGTTACTGGTCTCCTTGCGATGTCTTCTCTGATAATTATCAGGGAAAGTATGATAAATAAATATGGGCCTGACTACAAACCAGACATCATAACCTTCAATTAAAGGGTACGAAAAAATTAGTCTTACTGAGGACGTGTCCGCAATAACTTAGCTTTCTGTAGCCCTTCAAGTACCTACCTGTGAATCGAGACAATATGAATCAATTTTTACTGATGTGTCATGCCCAAATGCGACCGTTTATAGCTTTCCATGGGATAATATCGTTTCCTAAATCAACTTCATCAGGAATTGAACTTTAAAGTTCAAACCCATGGCGTTCAATCTTCGATGGAAAAGCCTCTGTTTATCATAGGCCACGCAAGCGCAACACAAGACAACATAAGAGGGCTTCTTACTTTCTCCTTTATTGTTTAGCGACATGAAGAAATATTAGGTAATAATGTGGTACCTACTATGGTCAAAGCAGAATAAACAATAGCCAATAACGCAATTTTTTTACGTTGACTTTTGAAAAATCTATTATGATAGCGCATTGTGCATCAACAATATGGGAGGTAGGGCTCCAATTCGACACCCTAAGTACTTACTTTTATGTTGTAACCTTTTAAATGTCATCCGTGATCTGCGATGGAAGTGTGACCGATATAATCGAATTAAATGTTTAACTATGTAGCTCATCAACTTTGCGAAACGTTTAGGCCTTACCGAAAGTTCACATTTAGAAATTCAAAACTTGTTTCTGTCCATTGCATATTAATGTGAATTATAGAGATATCAATAACAATCACATTTACCTTTCAAGTCGATTAGTTTGTACAGCTTCTGCGTCGATGTTCCTGCCTGTTTCTTCACGCCACTTGTAACATTACTCTCTGTATTACCCATTTTGTCACTTTTACGTAACCTTTGTTTGTTCTATCAGAATTTCCTAGTCCAATTATCTTAAGTTACTCTTATATTTTGGCGAAATGGTGTAAGGTAATAGCATGTTTTTTACGCTGGATGTTAGATGGAAAAGTTTATATCTCCGAGTCGGAGGGAATATCGATAAAGCCGCCTCGTTGTCATAACGATGGATACGCCGGGGATTCAAGGGTAAACACGTGACTTTTATTCCAGTTTATTTTTGGATTACATTATTATCCTTATTTCTTAAGTGTATACTGTATATGAATAAATAACGATAACGATGGAGATTAGAATTCATAAATTATACTGCTCCAACTGGTTTTACTTTCTGCAAATGTTTATTTTGTGTGGTATACAATAAAGACAGTTTATCATAATAACTATAAATAATTCACAGCTGTTATAGAAAAAAGTGAAAGCTAACTCTTGGTTTGATTCTCATTTCTTATCTAAACTTATTTTCTTAAAGCTTTTAAAGTAAATACCAAAAGCAGATAAAATTCGCCTAACTTTTTACATCCTTCTGGGAGATCTAAAAACGAGGTAAAGTACTTCTACAATACTTAAAATCGACGCACCGGTGAACAGGCTGACCATACCTCCTATGGACACTGAAAAAACAAATAGAGTGACCATGAAACTGTTTATTTTAGAAGCTAATATGGAAACATTATGAAGAGTAACTTTCGAATGTTCTGTGTTATCTGTTGTATAAGAACGCCTTTCGTAGAATTCAAATATTTTTTTAAACCTTCCGGTTCACACCTAAACCAGTTGGCCGGTACTGAATGATTTCTTCTTATTCAATAGAGTTTTGTAACAGTAGCCCTCTGGTAGGTAGCTCCATTTATATGCAATGATTAATATTAAAGAAGCGATCTAAATGCATGTCCATTACAACTTAAGTACCTACAGTAAGATGCAATGTTATTAATGTGGGACTCTATAATTAATTTATAGGAGCCAGCCAGGAATAAATAGGATAAAATGAATTAAAAACTGAGATCTAGAAATCAGCAATAAAAAACACGCCGTTTCGCGACACCTGCCTATAATTTATACTGACCCCATAAAATACTACGAAATAGGACCCTAAGAATTAGTGTAACTTTGGTAGAGTAAGCCTACCATAATGTACTCGTATAGTTTGAATACTTTATTCAGCACTATATTTGTTTTATTTACTAAATATCTTCTCACCAACAAAATCCAAATTGGTCCGGACCAGGTTCCTCGTATAACGCAGGGTAGGCAGCGACGCCATGCGGATACTAACCAAAGCACCCTGGTATTCTTCATTCACCCAATTCCTGTAGAAAGTTATTTTAGTTGTTATTCTTGTCTCATTAGTCTTGTAATGAAGCAGAACCATCACTTGAAATCTAANCAATAAAATTTAACGACTCTACCATCCTTTTAAAGTATGGTTTTTAACTATTCTTCAACCAGGATAAGTACCTAACGACATGTTTTATTTTTAACCAGTAGGTACAAGTAATGTAGTGGCTAAGAAGACAAGAGAAAAAAGCTTTTTGTCAACGATATCATGACTTCGTAATATAGAAGTAATTTAAGAAATTTTTTCATGACAAAAGGGACAGGCAAAGCGATTTAGTATGAAGGCAACCGCAATGCGACATTTCCCAACATGAAAAAACAGACCGTGAGAGCACCTAAAAACTAGATATGAAATGCGGTTACTCTACAAGATTTTTATGACTACGTGAGACTTTGCTGTATCGAAGAGCCAAGGAGAAAGAAAATACTGAAAATGTTGAAACGTATTATTCATTTCAGTTTCATTTTTCTAAACAATGGAGTGAAATACTTACAAATTATCTAAAGTAAATAAAAATTAACTCACTTCGTCATTTGCTTTACATATTTACACATATTTTAGGAAAAATGCAAGCTGTGGTAGGTAATTCCTTACCTAGAAATGTGTATGGTAGTAAGTTCACTCTCAACACAGGAGGGTAGACAAGTCTTATCATGATTGTCATGTTTGTCAGCACCCAACTTTTGTTTTTGGACTGAAAAATATAATCTTTTTATTCAACTACTTTGATACTACCAAGATTGGGGATCCTATAGAATAGAATCTGGAATCCATCTTACCTTCAACGTCAACTACACAATTCAGTCCTGTATAGTTACAGTACTTAGTTTCATCTGCAAACAATGGCAAAAGTGATAAAAAATATAGAAATAGAAAGCTTTTTTCAAATCGTTGAATAGAAAAACTTACAAGAAGTGTGACGGGCAGGATGAATGCATCCACAATGTTCGTAAAAATGCTCTGTCTCTTGCGCTAAACGACAAGCGCCGTAAGAATATACCTAGAGGAGAAAAAATAATTTGAAGACAAAAGGATCTTGGAGAGCCTGATGAAATTCGATTACTTAAATGCAGCATTTAATATCACTTTCGTATAGAAAGTTTTTAAGTAGGTACGTATAAGTCTTACCGGATAGGTATGCAACTTTCTTTCAGGTACTTCTTCAAGGTTTCTGCAATGTCTGACGTCGATACCCTCAGCCAGCAACATGGGGTCGTTCTCCATCTCTACCATGGAGAAAAGGAATTGTACTCGGTTCTCTGATCTAGCTTTTACGTCGAATTTGAACTTAAAATCCAGGTTGTTTGTTGAAAGCTCTTCTGGACTGTGCACAGAGATCTAGAAAAGGGAGTTAGAAGTTAAGTCAACAAGGGAGTAAAGGGAACAGCTCTGATACCAAAACTGATTAGTTTTTAAGAATTTCCTATATTTCAAGTACGCGCCATGATCACACATTATGTGATATTGCTGACCGTAAAACTTTAGTGCAAACAATTTAGGTGGTGAATGAACTTATGGTGAAGGACCATCCTGGGTGCTATATTGATTGACTCTCGAATTGTTTAGAAGAGATTACTCACATAGGCTTCATACAAAAGGCGATATGTTAAAATTCCTGGTCCAGTCGACCTATTCACAGCATACAGCGGCTCGTCACGAGAGCTCCTGCAAGAATTGCAATACAGGTTCCTTTACACTGATAGTAACATACGTGCATATCAGTCATACGACTACTGCTAGGCGTTCAAACATTCCTACACTATGTTATCACATGATCTTTATCTAGTAAGCCTGAGTGTCATTTTACGAGTTTTTTATCGCTCTATCTATATCATTACATCTGTCTACTCACTCGCTCTGTAAGGTGTTGAAAGAAAAGCAATATCCGTACTCTGAGTCGACCAAACGAAACTTTTCGCAGCAAGGAAATTTTTCGCCGTTGAAGCGACAGTCCGTAATCATATCAGTACATTTCTGCCTAACCTAGATAGAATACACAATCAGTTACAATCGGGTCAGTTCGATATGTTTTTAAAAATATATTTCCAACTAAAGTAAATACAGTGTGTGGCGCCATTGTTTTTACTAAACAAACGTACGTGGACGTGTTGTGTTGAATTCATTAAAAATGGCAGAGATGAGTGGAAAACATAAAACAGTGACATGCACGTGTTTCCTTGCTAACGTGAGTATGAAGTTTGCAATATCTTTTATTTCAATGTACTCAAGAAATGTAACAAGAAGCACTTTGGAAGTTACTAAACTTAGTAGATAGGTAACTGAACCCATTCCCCACTAGTCAATTCTTCTTGCCAAATTACGAAACCGCCAAAGAACTATACTTACTTCAAGCCTTTACTACGACTTCAATAAATAAGATCGTGTACTAATATGTTATGACTTATGGACAAAAAGATAGAGTCTGAGTATAAGTATGAAATATGTTAACCTATCAAATTACTCCAGATTAATCTACGATATCGTATGAGTTACTGCTGGCAACGAAGTTTTATGAGTCAGCATTGCTATTATGAGCCAGTCAGATACATATAAAATCTTACGTTCTCCATGACGTCCCTCCACGGCACATCGCAAGGCACCAGAGTGCCGCACGGCACACAGTACGACTTGCCACAAGTGCCACGGCCGTATAGCAACTCCGTGAGATACTTCTTAACATCGAAGTTTAACGGTCCCATCAATTCCGCTGTTAAGAAAAAAAAGTCCTAATCAAGAATCAACCTCATTAAATTGTTCAGAGACGCCTTTGAGTCCATATACTTATCGATCTACAGGTTGACCTTATATTCCCTCTCACCGTAAATCCTTAAAAAAGCTAAATGTTAACTAATTTATCTGTGTTTTAAAACATATGTATTTAGAACTTTAGCTGCAAAATGTTCACTCCACTGCCCGACAGAAGTATAGGTACCTACTAACTTTGTGTATTGAAGTGGTATAAATTAGTAGTATGCAGATTAATTAATCATCCATAACGCGCTGCGTTGCTTGTGTTATCTAATCTCTTAGAAACTTCAGTTTAGTTTCAGACTAATATTACTGACGACCCTTCCTCAGATTACTTAATAGTTACACCCTACAAAGTGTTTCATTTATCAAAATTTTGGCAAAGATTTTTTTCCTGTTTAATTTAACCATCTAAAGTACGCCTGCGAAGGGACGAAATTATTCTGCACTGGTATAGTACTCGTATAGTTACTATTAGAAAACTTCGGATATATGACTAACGGTACAAAGCTGCGAACTTTCTCTGAGCGGGCTTCAGACTGTAGCCATCAGACCGTCGCCCACTGCAGGTAGCGCGTGTCCGGAGTGAAGTTCACTTGATCCCCGCGCTCCACCACCAGTAGAAAGTACAGGCTGTAAGACTGTCTATTTACTAAGTCTTTAGTAAGACTAACGGTACAGAGCCGCGAACTTCCTCTGAGTGGGCTTTAGGCTGTAGCTCTCACAGATCGTCACGGTGGGGAACACCGTCGCCCACTGCAGGTAGCGGGTGTCCGATGTAAAGTTCACCTGGTCCCTTCGCTCTACCACCAGTAGGAGGTACAGGCTGTAAGACTAGTCTAGTTACTACGTCTTTGGTTAAGACTAACGGTATAGAGCCGCGAATTTCCTCTGAGCGGGCTTCAGGCTGTAGCTCTCGCAGACCGTCACGGCGGGGAACACCGTCGCCCACTGCAGGTCGCACGTGTCCGATGTAAAGTTCACCTGGTCCCCTCGCTCCACCACCAGAAGAAGGTACAGGCTATAAGACTAGTCTAGTTACTGTCTTTGTTAAGACTAACGGTACAGAGCCGCGAACTTCCTCTGAGCGGGCTTCAGGCTGTAGCTCTCGCAGACCGTCACGGCGGGGAACACCGTCGCCCACTGCAGATAGCGTGTGTCCGGGGTAAAGTTCACCTGGTCCCCGCGCTCTACTACCACCAGAAGAAGGTATAAACACCCGCTTGAGATGACCAGGATTACTATCCAGAACAACCTAGAAACGTATGTACGCACATCACTAATCTAAGATCGGAACTTAAAAACAAAGAACACTAATGAAGTGTTTAACTTCATATTGTTTTTAATTATTCAGGTGTTTTCTTTCTAAAATATCTTGTAGACGCACGCACGCAGGTTATTTTGATTCCTATACCTACCGTTCTATAACAATAATTAGTTAAAAAAAAAGTCAATTCAACTCTTTCAAAAGCAATAAATGATGCGTAATCTCACCTGAAGGCTATAAAGGAATCATGTCGAAATAAATATTTTAATCCGTGTATCCCACTGTTCCTTCCAAAGAACAAAACTCTTTTGTTTAACACTTGAAATACATTGTTTAGTATTTTAGGATACATTTTCTGTTTTTAAAATAGCACAACCTGAAATACCTTACTTTTCCATAGTATCTGTCTATACTCAATGACTAGTGCTGCGACCCAAAGCTTTTTAATTAAAAAGCCAATTACTTAAGTGCTGCAATATTTAAATAATACTTGAATTTTCAGATTGATCTACCACTTAACTATATTAATAAACGAATACTTACCACTAGGGTGCATGCTAACTCTTCAAGGTTCATGTTTCAAAAAAATAAAAACATTTATATTGATGTCACATTAATTTATAATAATTGTAAAAATACATTTAATAAATTACTAATTTTAAATTAAAAAAATACTTAATTTCCTAGTTATAAAACAATCTATTAAATATAAAATGCATTGGTAAATAAAGGCATGAAATTAGGTACTTAAATAAAAATTAAATCTCACTTACATCTTAAATTATTGTGTTAGATAAAATAGTTTTTTTTTTCTTTTTAGACGTTTCGCATTGTTTTCGCTGTGTATTATTTAATTAATGATTAGTATTCGAAACAAATGACAGTCGAAATATTTTAAAATTTCGAACAGCATTTCGGCCTCGTAGTTTTGCAACAGTTTTATTCAAAAATCCCGTCGAGTAAGTAACATATAACACTGGCTGGATAAGTTAACCCACCCACCGCCTGAACCAACTTTTTTGCGTGGTGGTGGTCGTGACGTCATCGTCTGTCTCCAGAGGATCCGCGTAGGCCGCAGTTTGAGCAACCTCTGTGGTTGTAGCACGGAGGAATCTGTCCAGACGGAACCCTTTCAAAAGGTCCCATAGGAGATCCGGTTGCGGATGACGCCTCTCCCATTCAGTCGCTATAACATAAAAATATTAGTTTTTAGTATTACCAAAACAAAATAATGAAGTCTTGGTTATTAATATCCTGCAGCCTCTGGTATATTCAAGTGTGTCATTACCAGTGCAGTGAATACCAAATACCCTGTTGATAATGACTCGATTAATATGCCGTTATCTATTCATTCATTTATTGATTTGAAAAAAAAAGTTATTGGAATTACATTTCTAGGATAACGATGCAGGTGGCAATGGCATAAGAACGTCCAATTAAAACATTTCTCTACCACGCGAGGTTATGACTGAAATTCATGGAATCCATTGAATTGTCAGATGAATGAAATTAACAAGCATTCATTTCTATTACCTACTTGACCTAAAAATAAACTTGAAAAAAGATCATTAAGAGTTGTCGAACAAAGCCGTAGCTCATTAATGTTAGGCTCTACGCACAAGATAAGACATTTAATTTTAAGCAATTTTTTTTTAATTTTTTAAATCCAGTACATATAATGTTTCCTAAAAAGTAAAAAATACTAAAAATATAAATAGTAAATCAAAGCTAAAATTATTAGCTTTGTTCTCATGATACTTTTACTATCAGCGAACTCCTCGTTCCGACTCTACATAATCGAATCCTCAGTAAATACTCATACGTTTGCGCAAAGCCTAATGATTTTACAAAACCATTCAATCTTTGATCCAAGTCTTTGATTGATACTCCTACTTTCAATCCAATACCTAACAAGTAACCAAAAGCGAACGACTTGAAGACATTTGACCCCTTCTGACCCACCGCACTACCAAACCACACTACCAGTAGTAGTGTCGTGGGGAATATTTTTTCCCTTCTGCACTACCAAGCCAGTAGTGTCGTGGGTAACATACATCTTCATTCCCATCGACACTACTACCATAACTAAATGTAAAATTTGTAAAATTTTGGATTGTTTTGTAATAAATTATGTTTATATGCAACCCTAACCTCGGTAAAAATTTGCAGTTTGACGGAATTTACTGAAAAAAAAAAATTACCTAAAAGGGCTTATACCTATATAACTTTGCGTGAAAGAAAAACAAAAATTAAATTATTTTTACCCGACTGCGGCAAAGCAAAAGAAGGGGTTATGATTTTGACAGGCTATGTAGGTATGTATGTATGTATGTTCATCTATTCCCTCGTAACGTCTAAACTACTTATTCGACTAATGACATATCATTAGAAGCGTCTTAATTGTACGCTGGTTATAGGCTATATGGGGTTTCACAAAATCTAATGTGGCGCCCTCTAGCGGCGGACAAACCACACAGAGTAAAAAAATAAAGTTAAGATAAATATGCCGTGCCGTGTTTGGTATCATTTGAAAGCGTTTTACTTGTACATTTACCGTAACATGAACATAAGCCCTTTTAGGTAATATTTTATTTTCAGTAAATTCCATCAAACTGCAAAATTGCACAGAGGTTAGTGTTGCATATAAACATAATTTATTACAAAACAATCCAAAATTTTACAAATTTTACATTTAGTTATGGTAGTAGTGTCGATGGGAATGAAGATGTATGGCCCTTAAAAATTACCCACGACACTACTGGCTTGGTAGTGTAGAAGGGAAAAAATATTCCCCACGACACTACTGGTAGTGTGGTTTGGTAGTGCGGTGGGTCAGAAGAGCATTTGACCACTTCGCAGAAACTAATCCGTAGCATTCGCAATGAAAAGTGGAACAAGGACAATTGAATTCGCATCGAGTGAATCTGGGTACGTACTCCGCAAACTCCTTATTACCGTTGCGGAAATACCAATAACCATGAACTTAATATTACTCATTATTAAAACTGCGGTTTCAGTGTTGCATTTTCAATAATTTCTTGCTTTTGGAAACTTTATTGTTTTTGACGCATTTCCTTAGTTAAATTTCCATTAAATACAATTGAATAGGGAAAAGGAATTATGATTCAATTTAGAATTCGGTTTTTGCTTGTTAATACCCTATTAAATATTTTACCTTGCCACAGGTAATGAAGGTAAATGATGTTTAGCTGTAAAAGGGGAAATTACACGGCAAACCTGCAAAACTGTAACACCTGGGTCACCAGTATCGACAGTTTGGCATCCAAGAAGTCTTGGAACCCGCAACGAATTTAAGGTTTCGAGTATAGGAGAAGTTCGAAATATTCCGTGAGAAATAACTGAAAAGGTATTAAACTTTTTTAAGACCCCACGGATAAATGGATTGCAAATTAAAGGGAACCTATCACATGCATGAGCCTACTAACAAAGTACCTACCAGGTATCTGCCAATAATGTTACTCACGGCAGTAGGGCTCCTTGTCCGTAGTGAGCACGAAGTAAGTCCCAGCTGCCCGCAGCCTGCCAGATCCTCCTACCGCGTTGATGCCCATCTCTGAGCATGACGCCTGTCGGTCGCACGCTGCTACCAGACTGGAGTTCACACTGCCGGATAATACCACTTGGGTCAATTTCATCTGTCTCCCTTACTAAAATGGACCTAATTGGCCTACTATAATAGGGTCTACCCCATCATAGTACCAAAGTTGATAGATTCAATTTAGCAGGCTTAGCTCCACAAGACAATAGCCATATTTTCAACTCTATCTGTGACTTTGCTTTTGTAAATTATTATGTGAGACAATAGAAGTATCTATTAATTAATTATAATATGAGAGTGAAAGCTGCAAAGAACAAAATCCGTTTTAACAAAAAACGGTAGAATCACTAAATCAAAGGCTTTCCACTTTGTTCCTGTGCTCCCTTGTGTGTATCAGCGTGAACAAAAATTACAAAGATAATATTATTTGTGTACCTACTTAGCTAATTAAATTATGTATTTTACCTTTCATAAGTCAAGTTCCATCGATGAGCTCTGAAGGAACAGTTACTATTGATCAAGGACTCCGTGAACAAAAGATATGCCCGACCATGACTACAGATCGCTTGTTGCAATTCTGGAAAAGAAAATCAACGTTTAAGAACCTCTTAGGTATAAGTATACAGTTTATTCACAGAATTAAAATGTAATAAAATAACTAACTTATAGGTGAAAAAGGTAGTGAACTTAACCAATCCGATCTTGATTCATTGTAGCAACCGGGTTGCTTCATACCTCCGTTGGGATAAAAATCTGCATGTCCTGTAAGGTAATGTTTTCAGATCAATTTTCCTGTAAAATTCAGCTCCCCAATAGTTACCTACTTTCATAGCTAGAGCTAGGCAGACTAGCGGAATAAATTGCAAAGCTATTGCGTGTCTTAATGACAGAAAGAAACCTTTTTCAGTAAGGTCTTTGTACCATCTCACCTGTTGGTTCCGGCAAACCAAACCCAACTTTCTGCAGTAACCTCCCGTTCGTATGAATGACGTCAACAAAATCGGCGTCAATCTTGTCCAACCGTTCTGATCGATTCGCTGTGCGGAAGCATGGCTGAGCGGGATCTAGACCTGTGAACCCATTCATTTATTAACTGCATAATACACATTTCCGCTTAAATGCAAAAAACCTAAGTGACTAATAAACTAACCAGTGATTCTCTCCACTCCTCCTAAGAGATACGAGGCGAAGGAGCATATATGAGCACCTAGGCTGTGTCCAACAAAATGGAAGTCTTTAAAGCGGCATCCAGATGCTGCTTTCAACTGCCGCAAGAAACTGAAACAATATCCATATAAAATGAAGTATTCGGACTTATTTCTATCAATTTTGGGTAGGATTTGGTGTTATAAGTTTAGGAAATTACTTTGTGACATCTGACCCAACTCGTCGAGTATTGGCAACAGCTCTCCAGTACTTCCACGTATTTCCTCCTTCACTCCAATCCACGGCTATCACGTTGACATCTGCCTAGTTCAAAACAACAATAAATCATTCAGTATTCCGCAGAATTATTATCGCCTCAAAGGTAAATAATATCATACCCATTGTAGGAAAGCTCTCGTCATATCATGGACCCACGAAGCGTTGCTATGACTCATAAATCCGTGAACAATTATCACGGTCTTCCTGGTAGGCTTAAAGTCCACCCACTCCAAACCAAACTGGTCACCAGGCATCACCTAGAACAGGGTGACTACGGTGAGCCAGATCAAACTCCTTTTTCAAAAAATTCAAAAGTATGAATCTACCTGTACTAGATATGATATCGGTATGAATCTACCTGTACTGGATATGATATCTAGGTACCTGTACTCTATAGGGTATCTGCCGCGATGAGAAGTAGAAGTGCGTGTTGATTTTGTGCGAAGGATCTGGCCTCATGTTCAGAAGCCACGTGGTGAGCTGGCGGGTGATGGAGCCGAGGCCGAAGCAGTCCACGATGTCAGGCACTGTCTTATCTAGTAGATTCTGAAAGAACTACAGTTATTTGTCGGTCTGGTCGGCTTCTAATTTGTATGAGGAATCGGACGATACCAGCTGATACCAAATATGCGTACTTCTACAGGGTGTTTGGTAAATGGGTATATGAGCCGACACTAGCCCATGTTAACATGGGCATATAAATGGTATGGTGAAGTCAGAAAATTGATATCTTCATTTTAATTATTTTAATTTTCATACAAATCGAATTTTATAAAATTTATTTTGTATGAAATTTAAAAAAAAATAAAATGATGGTATCAAATTTCTGACTTCACCATACCATTTATTATTGTCGGCTCATATACCCATTTATCAAACACCCTGTATATTACTAGGTTTGTACACATACCTACTGACAAAAAGTATTATGTAAGTCTACAGGGAATTCACTGCTGTTACAGACGGATTTCTTAAAATATATTTTGGTATTCTAGACGGACTACCTAAAAAGTCTTTCTCTCTTTAAAATTTCACCAAGAAGTATCACGTAAATAACACTGAATTATATTTCAGATCAGCATCGTTACTTTCTAGAACTTACCTCAGGATCTCCGGAGCCGGCTATGTTCGGTCTGGATGTAGTGTTATCGTGCATGTGCATGAACTCCCGCAGGTCATCGGGGCTGATGTGGTTCTCCACTGCAAAAGGACACCAGCTTCAGTTTTCAGTGGTTTAAGTAATTTATGCATTAAGTATCACATACAAATAATTATTCAAGGATTTTTGAACATGTAAAAATCGGAGTGTAGCGTTTACGAAAACTAAATCTAAGAAATTTAATTACCGTACTTGATTACTGATTGGAGGCTGGGTCCGAATACAATAACTATAAAAATCTGGTACTATAACAGACCATAGAACGTTTTAGCGAGTGCTAATTAGTGTTGAGATTAGCACTATATTAGTGTTGTACCTAAACGTTTAAAGAACCCCGAATACTTAGGCCCTAGTTTTATCACTGATTTATTTTATTAACATTACATTAAGGCTGTCACGGTGATACATATGTTAGGTATGATACATGTGTAATAAAATTTATTAATTTGTTCAATCTCAGCACAAATTCATGTTCAGAAAAGATTTTGAACAACTAATAATAAAAGCAAGAGTTGATCTCTTTTTACTTTTAAGATTGACGCATTGCGGTGTAATATTTTACCTTCCGTATTCTGATTTATGCAAGCATTCTCTAATAAAAGAAACGAACGCATTCGACAGCCTTGGACCGTAAACATTTATCCACTAAAAGTTTATTAATGTAATTTATCAGTTAAAATGCGCCAGTATTCACCGACAAGGGGAAAATAATATTCCAATCAGTAACTTGTGAAATAAACACCTATGTAGGTTGCAATGTTAAAATAAGTTACAAGAAAGAATTCAAGGAAGAAATAATCGACTGCGTTTTTTCATCATAGTTCAAAAGCTGTCGGTTGCAGTTAAGTTAAAATTACTATCATCCCCATTAACCCATTTTGATGACCAGTAATAGTTCATTATCCTTTCTTGATGTTTTATATCCATATACACGTACCAAATTCGCTATAACATTACAAGGAAATATCCTAATGTGCGTTCTTCATCCAACTTTATGTGCGTGACAAGAAATGCTTCATTAACCGACTCTCGTCCCTAATTTAGTGGCATAACCTTGCAAGGTGTATTGCATAAAACTTCCGCTGTCTCCAAGACAACTAGTCAACATTCCATGACCTCGGGTAAGAGCCTTTAACCTGGCTTGTATATTTATTATTCAATGAGCAGTCCGCTTGCGACAGTGGGCCAAAACACGCCTATCGCACTATGCGCGGCCCTTCGCACACTAAACCATTCCGAGCCTAAAATGTACCAGTTTTGTCACTAATCAATTCTTATCTTTACCGTGAGAACTGACCCTAATTAGTGCAACAAAATGAGTCCACGACGTATTTTGGTGTCAATAAATTGGTCAATATGTTACGAAAAACTGTATTAGTGATTAATAGGACCTATTTTTTAAATTAGACAAATTCATTATTACTAAGAAAATATGAAAAAGTTTGTTTAAAACGAGTTTATCTTTTTTCCTCTATCTACACATCACAGATACATTGATTTGATATTATTCCTCTTTATGTGGGTAAGTTGATAAAAAGTTGTTACGTTGGTACTGACTGAAGCATAACAAATATTTACTTACCCACTCGCGATTCAATTTGCACACTAAGTATTCAGTAAAAAAACGCAGTTTGACGCAGTATTATCTTATTTACATATCGCAGCGCGTAAGTTGTAAAGACTTTGCAAATAGTAGTTACAATAATTTTAAAATTCTCACACTCGTCCGTAGTCATCCACAACCGGTGAGCGCTGCTGAGATGCAGCACACAAACAATTTGAACTGCACAGAACAGACGATTTATCACTGCCATGTTACTAGTACAATTGAGTAAACTAAATAAAATTTAATTTATTTAATTAATTGTCACTCGAGCTTCGTGATTTACGGCTCACCCTGCAAATCGCTTGACAATGACTAAACGATCCGTGCACCCGCATAAGGTCAACCCGCGAGATGCGCCAACGCACCGCAAATGCCTGAACTACAGCATTATAATGTATAATTGCACCCAATCAACAGAACAAAATGCTCGATACAATTTAGTTTAGCATAATTAGCACTGAGAATACAAGACTCTAGAGATCTGTTAACAATTCAAGGCTCTGTTTCAAGAATATAGTTTAAAGAAACATAGGCAGCTATGTAAATATTTTAACAAGGATATTATTTATTGTACCTATATGCGCATTCATCTAATACTAAGTACATATCTAATCAGAATAAAATTGCTCCTTATGTTCTTTAACGTAAAGTTGTTTCTTCTTGGGCGCTTAAATAAATAGATTAGTAATATAAATTATTGTTTAGGAAACAATTAAACATTAATAATTAATTAACAATTAAACTAATATTACACAAACAAACTTACATATACCAACCCCGACTAGCAAATAGGAAGACGCAAACCAAACGCTACCAATCGATCAACATGGAAAGCATTAGGGGAGGCCTATGTTCAGCAGTGGACGTCCTATGGCTGAAATGATGATGATGATGATGAATCCAAAAGAACAACTTTTAGGTCCTTCATACTTTAGGTTTGGTTACCACTTGATATTGATTTGCCGTTTGTCCTTTGTAATACATCGTTCGTAAACTAAGCCATCATGTCTTACTACACTAGGGAACTGCACTGTAGTTGAAAACCCTTTTATAGGGTTACCCAGATTATAAGGTAGTTTGAGTCTAGGGTAGACTATAGGGTAACTTGGTTAGTAAAGTGTACCTATTATTTAGCTGCCCTAAAGAAAGCCTAACATGTGGGTGATATTATCAGTTGGCAGTCCCAAATTACGTGTCTTCTGAATCAAAAGATAATTGCAATAAATAGGTACCTAACACAAAATTAATGGTCAGAATGGTCAATAACGTAGTAAGTAATATCGTAAATAAAGTTATCTGTATCCAGCAAACCCTGACAATGGCAGATTTCCGCAGGAAGCATCGAGCTCGACCTGGCCGATATGATAAATTAATGTCATTTATTCTGTTTTATCAGTTTAAAAATTAGTTTATTGATATTATTATTATTATTTTTGGTGTTTTTAAATTTATAACTTATACGAACTTATATTATTATTATTAGTTCAAATTAGAATTGAAATACCTATAAAAGTCCTTCCAGGACACTAAACGTTCTAGCTTGCCTTACTTACCACTTTACCACATGAACATCATATTATCAACTGATGTCTGGCGCCGAAAAGAGTGGCGAAAGAAACTCACCTTTGTAAGCCTTTCATTTGTTTCAGGAAATACCAGAACTATGACTAAAAGGCTCATAATAAATTTATTTGTTTGGCCCACATATGGCAAAATACGAAACCAAAAATAGAAAAACATTACAAAAACGTACCGAATAGCGGACTTGGAATCGGGGATCAATAAAATGTAAATAACTAAAATAGCAACGTCACGTACTTAGATAAACTGTTGATTAGAGACAGTTCAGATTACTTTAATGATTGTGAAATTTCGTAGAAGTGTTCTTTTGATTAAAATTATATAAAAGTAAACAATCAAACTTGTTTGTTGAGAGAAGTTTAACTTTACGCGCCTTTATCTATACGTAGCGCCATCTAGTAAAAACTAACAAAAACTATAAAAATAGCGCCTCTTTGCCACATGCATCCATCGACAACCGATTTGTTTGCCTAGCTATCTCTTTCTTCCTTAAATACTACTTAATGTGTTAGAGAAAGATGCAGGACATTTAACTTTTTTTGTGTCTCACTGTTTTCAGTGTTGCTAATACTTGCCTTCATTTCTTCTATTTTAACAAAATTTTATAGTTATTTTCTAATTACAACGCCAATCGACACTTGTTTTTAATTATAACTTGTATTAAAATATTTAGCGTCACTGTAGTTGTGTTTTAAAACTACTTTTTCGTCGAAAAAAAGCTAAATAAATATATCGTGTTATTTTTTTTACTATACCATACGGCAGCATTGGTAGAAAATGGCGCGATGTGATTGGTTCATGAATAAAACCGTTCAAAATTCGTAGCAACTGTCGTCAAACTTCAAAGTGCTTCAAAGTTCAATTCAAACGTATGGCCGTTTGAAACTCCTTTGTGAATTTTGTCAACAATCACTTTACTATTAATTCCTTACAATTTATTTGACTGTACTTTGTATTTTTAAGCTAGTTTAAAATGTCCTCGATCAAAGAAGATGAAAAGAAAGAGATTCCTGAAATCATACACGACCCTCAAACCAACTGTTCCTATCAAAGGTTGCGATTTTTCGGAAAGGTTAGTTGTATTCTTAATTATTTCCNTTTTTTCACTGTAGATTGTGTACTTTATCTATATCAAATACTGCGCGTTGAATTATGCCCAAAGGTCATATTATAAGTTCACACCTAATGCATGCAAGACATCTGGTGTTAAAAAAACCAGTACAGAACCGTTACGATTTTTAATACCACAAACACCTCAATTTTGTGTGTTTTATGTCTTAAAGATAGTAATTAAAGCATTTTTGTTGATATACACACATTCTATTTCTGATCTACCAATATCAGTAATTAATAAGTTATATTAATTAGTAAATTACCAAGTTTCTGACTTAAGTTTTGTTTTAGGGTGGCTTTGCAAAATGCTACGAAATACAGGACTTGGCCAACCACCAAGTTTATGCTGGCAAAATTGTGTCAAAGAAGTTGATGGTAAAGACCAGCCAGAAAGAGAAGATGGCTCAGGAGATATCAATCCACAGGTCCTTGCAGCACAAGCATGTGGTTGGCTTCCACAGCTTCTTTGAGGACTCCCTAAACATCTACATTATACTAGAGCTTTGTAAGAGACGGGTTAGTACTTATCAATCATGTTATCAACTTTCAAATATTATGTATTTTAACTGTTTATTTAAGTTGTGAACCTTGTTTCTTCCTATTGAGTGCTCTTCAAATAAGTAACAGCTGTCACTTACACAACATCTGTACATACATTTAATGCATAAGTTTTGTTTGTGATAATTTATATCATGCAGGAAACTCAATGATAATTTTATTGAGCATCAATAGTGGATTTACCTGTTCTGTATTGAAACCTCATATCTTTCGTTAAATTATTTTATGAATTATGCTATTATCTTCAGTAAAAAAACTTACTGTTGATTTTAAAAAATATAAAAAAAAAGTTGCATAATTACAAATTAATTTTAACAGTCAATGATGGAGCTTCACAAACGTAGAAAAGCAATCACCGAGCCGGAGACCCGGTTCTACATGCATCAGATCTTGCTCGGAGTGCAGTACTTGCATAGCAAGCGGATCATCCACCGGGACTTGAAACTCGGCAATCTGTTCCTTGACGATGACCTCCATGTCAAGATTGGAGATTTTGGCCTTGCAGCCAGAATTGAATATGAAGGTGTGATTATGATTTTAATTGTTTTAAAAGATTTATAGATGTAGCAACGTTTTCTTTTAGGAGTAAGCTGTAAATTAAAATATGTAGTTAAAATATCCTCGTATTCTAAACTTTTAGGATTATCTTGTTTAGATGAAATTATTTGCTACAATTTTTTATATCACAACTAAATAGCTTTTAAATTTTCTACAATTTACATCATTTTCTCTGTTTTGAATAGAGAGTATCACAGTGAAACCACTTCTCAAAATAGATTTTCTTTGAGAAACTCATTTAAATCATGTCATTTATTTTTTTAATCTTCATCAACGTAGGAGAGAGAAAGCAGACTTTATGCGGCACACCCAACTACATTGCACCAGAGATATTGACGAAGAAGGGCCACTCCTTCGAAGTGGACATCTGGAGCTTGGGATGCATCATGTACACCCTCCTCGTTGGGAAGCCGCCCTTTGAGACTTCTACACTCAAGGACACCTATAAGAGAATCAAGCAGTGTGAATACAGGTACACATTACACATTTGTAGAAGCTAATTAAAGTTTTCAGCTGAAAAAATAACCATTGAATAGGTACTACTCTTTTAATATTTTCTAATGGTTAAGAGTAGTTGCACACCGTTGATTTTTAGTTGGCCGATAGTTGTGCCCGATTTTAATTTGTATGAAGAATCGGCCAAATCGAATCGGCGTGGTGTGTGCACTCCCATACAGGCTCATACTGATCAACTGCCCGACTAAACTATCGGCCGACGAAAAATCAACGGTGTGCGCCTACTCCAAGTTTTACTTGAGTTTACATATTTTTATGTACTTTATTAAACATTCCATTAGTTGAAAAAGTTACTATTTCATTATTTAAACTAGCTTAAATGACCACGATTGAAATGTCGCGATGTTTTAACATGATTGTTTTCCATTGTCCCGCACCAGCGAAGGCGTTGAATTAGCGCTGCGCCTATGTTGCGCCGGCCCCTGGCATAAGTTGGGCTCTCGGTACGCCCAGGCCTTGGTCGAACATAAAACCGTCTCGCAGCAGTACAGGTGGTTCATGTTGCCATACGGTGATGGTCTGCCGTGCATACGATGCTTATGTGTTGTTTCCATTATATCGGGGAAATATCCATTGTTAACATGCTAGCATTACGTTGATGACATCAGTCAATAACAAAGTCTACAGTCAAATTAACGCCTCTAAAAGAAGTTTTAAAATAGTCTCACAAAAGTATCTTTATTGACAAATTAACAAATGCAGCTGAAACTTGGTCTGTGGCTGAAAAAGAATAACGTCTGCAATTTAATTCATTAACATGCCATGAAGATACTTTTAATATTTACGTCATTAAGGGGATATGTTTTTAATCCATACCAAAGCCGGAGTTAAACCACGAATTGAACCAGTAAGGCCCAGTTTCCATCAAGGCGGAGCAGAGCTGAGAAGTGGAGTCGTCTAATTTTTCTATAGAATTTGACAGTGGCGGCGCGGCGCGGCACGGAGCGGAGAAGTGGAAATAATGAAATCTGATTGGCTATTAAAAACACTTCTCTGCTCCGCCTTGGTGAAAACCGGGGCTAACTGGTTTCATATAGTTACAAAAGCGGGTTTAGCCTATAACACATCTAACCCTATAGGATCCCATCGTCGCTGCGCAAGCCGGCAGCGTCCATGATAGTGCTGCAGCTTCAGTCCAACCCGGCGCGGCGGCCGTCGGTGGACAAACTACTGCAGCACGAGTTCTTCTCGTCGGGCATCCTGCCAGCTGCGCTGCCGGTGTCTTGCCTTACGACCGCGCCTCGTACCGACCAGCTGGAGGGCGTGGCGCTCCACCGCCGCCCGCTCAACGAGGTCAACACCAATGGTAAGATATTCAGCCGTCATGATCTAGGGAGCCTAGTCTCTCACAAGTCGGTGGACAAACTACTGCAGCACGAGTTCTTCGTGTCAGGCATTATGCCGGTGTCCTGCCTCACGACCGCGCCTCGTACTGATCAGTTGGAGGGCGTGGCGCTCCACCGCCGCCCGCTCAACGAGGTCAACACCAATGGTAAGATATTCAGCCGTCATGATCTAGCTGAAGCCTAGTTTCTAACAAGTCGGTGGACAAGCTGCTGCAACACGAGTTCTTCTCGTCGGGCATTCTGCCGGCCGCGCTGCCAGTGTCCTGCCGCACGACCGCGCCGCCAGTGTCCTGCCGCACGACCGCGCCGCGTACTGATCAGTTGGAGGGAGTGGCGCTCCACCGCCGCCCGCTCAACGAGGTCAACACCAATGGTAAGATATTCAGCCATCATGATCTAGCTGGAGCATAGTTTCTCACTGATGGACAAGCTGCTGCAGCACGAGTTCTTCTCGTCTGGCATCCTGCCGGCTGCGCTGCCGGTGTCCTGCCTTACGACCGCGCCGCGGACCGACCAGCTGGAGGGCGTGGCGCTCCACCGCCGCCCGCTCAACGAGGTCAACACCAATGGTAAGATATTCAGCCATCATGATCTAGCTGGAGCCTAGTCTCTCACAATTCGGTGGACAAGCTGCTGCAACACGAGTTCTTCTCGTCTGGCATTCTGCCGGCCGCGCTGCCAGTGTCCTGCCTCACGACCGCGCCTCGTACTGATCAGTTGAAGGGCGTGGCGCTGCACCGCCGCCCGCTCAACGAGGTCAACACCAATGGTAAGATATTCCTTGCTAGTCGCGAAGACAGTGGCACCAACTTGTGACTGCTAAAGTGGTAGGAGGACTATCGCATTTACACTCATCAAGATAGCGCCACTGTAGAGTAAGGTCCTGTCAATAGCCAGGGGTGCCAACTTTTTAAGTATAAAACGATAGCCCTCATTAGGTGGAGACGCTGCTGCAGCACGAGTTCTTCTCGTCGGGCATCATTCCCTGTGCAGATGTAGAAACTTTTTGTGTTGACACCATACAACGAATTGGTTATCTGGTATGCCGTGTCGGTAACAAAAAGTAGACGTCAGAGCAGCCCCTTAAATCAGGAACAACTGTGTCATGTAGTAATTTACTAATACATAAGACATCCCGTAAAAACACGATGGTAAATCAACTCTAGATATTGCCAGGAATCTTCAAAACAAAATTAACAAAGCCAGTTGTAACTGCTTGCCATCACTGTAAACTGGATGGACTAGCTAAAGCCCGGTCTGTGAGCACGTGGAATTTTGTCCAATGACCCCAAGCTACCCATCCTTATCGCTCGCGCGTAATTATATTGCTGTCGCGACTATGCGACGGGCGCCCGCAGTGAGTGTGCGATCGCGACAGCAACATAATTACGCGCGACCGATAAGGATGGGTAGCTTGGTGTCATTTGACAAAATTCTACGTGCTCACAGAACATACTATATGTTGTATAGTACATCCAGTTTCCCCGCTATGAAACTCGTAATTATAGTGCGTGTGTCGTTGAAGTAGATCACGCGATGGCGGTGGACTCGCCGGTGAAGCGCGAGCCGGGCGCCGAGCCGCGCGCCGTGGAGCCCACCTCGCACCGCCAGAACCTCGTCGCGCTGCGCGACCAACTCGCCGCGCTGCTTGTGGGCAAGGTACGTAGATATTCTGTTATATCTAGGTTGATTACGCTTTAAAAGTACTATTAGTGTTGCTGTCCATTCTGTTCTTAATATTCTTTATAGGTATGCTTGTTGTAGAGTAGACTTGTGTGTACACTGTCACTTCGTCGACTGAACTTCAAGCAGATAAGCAGCAACTGGCATGTTAGGCGATCATCATAATGACACTATTTCGAAAACACTTGTGCCTATTTTACACAAATATTTCCCCTTGCAAGAGTTTTTATTTACCAAGTTAAACCGTAGTACATTATTATTATTCTGTGGTTGAACTTTGAAGATCAGTTACGGGACTATTCCCACCTCTCGTTCCCACCGCTGCAACCTGCAATCCTGTGTAGCCAGGATCTACAGCTTGACCGTCAATAAAAACCCAATCAGTGAAAGTCAAGTTTCTCCCGGGGGAAAGTTAAACTGTCATTGGACCCGCAACGAATTTGAAGATCAGTTAGTGTTATCAGACGTCTAAAAAGAAGTTTTCTTCCAGCTGAAATGCCGGCCAGAATGCCTGACGGACGAGCTCAGCGACCCGGCCGCCCAGCCGCTGGTGTGGGTCGGCAAGTGGGTGGACTACAGCGACAAGTACGGCTTCGGCTACCAGCTCTGCGATGAGAGCGTCGGCGTCATGTTCAACGACACCACCAAGCTCATCATGCTCGCCAATGGACTGTGAGTAGACGACGACCAACTAACGTTGATACTTGAGATGCTCGCCAATGGACTGTGAGTAGACGACGACCAACTATTGTTGATACTTGAGATGCTCGCCAATGGACTGTGAGTAGACGACGACCAATTATTGTTGATACTTGTGATGCTCGCCAATGGACTGTGAGTAGACGACGACCAACTATTGTTGATACTTGAGATGCTCGCCGTTTTTCAATCTCGCCGTAAATTATCAAGCATATGTCTGCCGACTATAAAGTCATATAATATTGAACTCTTTCAGCATCATCATCATCTTTTCAGCCATAGGACGTCCACTGCTGAACATAGGACTCCCCCCAATGATTTCCACAATGGCCGGTTGGTGGCGGCCGGCATCTATTTTCGATCGCGTCATCATCGAGCGCTGATTCTACCCGAAACCGCGTCACCTAACCCATATTATTATTTAATTTTCTTCTTACCACAAAATATAACATACATAATAATTGGCAATTGTATCCAATTTGTTTTCAGGTCATTGAAATTTCAATTAATTCTAAGACAATTGAGATGTTGTACTAACAGTTACTTTTTCAACACCCTTAAATCTGTTTGCCTTTGTAAAAAGGTGCAATAAGATCTAAGGGTATTAAGATAAGACGAAATGTATAAAAAATGTGCATTTGTTCCACAGAAATGTGCATTACATCAACCGACAGGGCCAGGAGCAGTACATGACAATGCGGGAGTATCCGCAAGAGCTTGACAAGAAGATGAAACTACTCACTTACTTCAGAAGATACATGACTGAACACCTCATGAAAGCTGGTGAGTATCTATTTCTTACATTCATTATTGAATTCTTTCGTACCAGTCCTGATTCTCATACAAATTATTTACGTTAACGATACTATTACCTTTACGCAAGTTATTCGTGCTTGGCGTACTGGATCTGTCAATAGGCCGTATGGGCCGCGGCCTAGGGGCGGCAGCGTCCTTGGGGCGGCAGATTTCAGATGACACTTACTCGATTTCAGAAGATCCAACCCCACCCTAGCCTACGGGCGGCAAAACTGTAAATCCGCCACTGTTTCGTACACTAATAATAATTCTACAAAAATAGCATATACAAATTATACATAATGCAATTTGAACCAGGTGCGTCGATGCCGGTCAGAGAGAGTGATGGACTGTCGCGATTGCCGCATCTGCACCAGTGGTTCAGAACGACGCTAGCAGTCATCATGTACCTCACAAATGGAACTCTACAGGTACTACAATCAATTCTTTTCTTTGTTACATTTTGGGCTATACTTTTATGTATATGTTTCATTATAATGTAAATAATCTCCACAGATTAACTTCCAAGACCACACGAAAATCATACTTTGCCCACTCATGCAAGCAGTGACATACATTGACGTCGAGAAGAACTTCAGAACATTCCGCTTCAGCACAATTGAAGAGCATGGCTGTGATAAGAAGTTATACACAAACCTTACATACGCTTTAGAGAAACTAAACAGTGTATTAGCTAATAAGCTTTGCTAGCCTTGTGTTGTGACTGCAGGATAAGTACGTATGTTATATTTAACTAAATGAATTGATGTTGCCCCTTGGGGCAGGCTCTGGAAAAGCCCACTTAGGGTTAGTATGTCTGGAAGTAGCGGTATAGCTTCATACTGCCGTTAGTTTAGTAAAACTTTATGATTTTGTTACAGAAGTTTAAAATCGTCACAAAAATCAATTTCGATGTAGGTGTCATACCTTTTTTTCTTATAATACGTATGTACTAGCTTAACACTATTCATGGATATATTTATTGTAATAGCTGTTATTCACCCCGCAACACAATATTGTTGATCACAATTTTGTTAATAATTCAATACTTGATTTTACAGGTTGAAACTTTTAAAACTTTATTTAACTATTTCTTTTGACCAGTTTCATAGTTCACATTTTTTGTATGTTGTTATTATTAGTGCCTTCAACATTTCAATTTAAGTAAGCTTAGGGTAAATTGTAGTTCTCTGTATTTGACACTAATTTAGTAAATGAGCGCGTGCACCATGACTGAGGGCCGGGGTGCCGGCAGTTAGCGATGATTTGGAGTTATTTAGTTTTATAACTATATTTTTATAAAACATGTTTGTGCTTCAGTAGCATCGGACTGAATCTTTCCTGGTCATTTAATTTCATCTCAATAATTTGTGGGTTTCTTTAATATAGGATTTGTTCTAAGATCTAGATTTTAATATATCAATTTTGTCACAAGATGTTTTTATACATGAGGATTCAATTTGGAAGATAAAATGTCAGTATTAAAATTTTCGATGATGTTGAAGCACTGCCTATTTGTAACGTAACTTAGAAGTTTCTCAACGGGGTCTCTTACCTCATGTAACATAATGAACATTGACAATAAAATTATTACAAAAAGTCATTTGTTATTATTTTAAACAATTTTATTCCCTATTGTCAACATAAATAATCGTGATGCAGTGACACTGGAATATAATTTTACTCATACAGTTGTGACATGATGTTCAGTACCACTTTTTCAATAGTAAGATAGTTAAATTTAAAGTGACATCATACCATGTAGAATGTCATGATAAGTTAGTGAATTGTTCCAGTAGATATCACATCACAAATTGTAAAACTAATAGTAACATAATCACACTTTACAAATAAGTTCATTTACACTAACACAAACTATAACTCGGAATGTACAGCGTGTTTTTGGTGTGGCAGCGGATCACTTGGGTGCACAAAGAGACCCTCTTTGGCTTGCCAGTCGGTGTATGCTCCATACTGTGAGTTGATGCCAACTATTTCTCCCTGGCCACTGATAGGTCGGCCGAAGGTGCGGCCTGAACCAGCTAAGAATCTGTAACAAAGAACCAAAAAATAAAATAAATCCTACTTAGAGAAAATGAATAACAAGTTTTTATTTACATTAAACAATGAAGTCTGTAAACATACAATGGTCCAGAGCAGAGTTGACATTTTTATATGCTTTTACTTGGTAATTCAAATTTCTGGGACAATATTTAGCCTTCAAATTCATCATTTTTATTCAAACCAAAATGTTAAATTTTTTTTTTAAATGGTTTCAGATTGTGACCCAGTGAACAATATCAAAATCAACCTCAATATTTCCTTGCTCTGAATAACATAAATGCCTATTTTAGAAGATTTAGAATACTACTGCGACATTATGTGTAGTACTCACGTGGCAGTGTCAACATGCTTTAGTTTCACAGGTGTATCTCTCCTCCAGTAGTCATTGTTGCAGACTACGGTCCAGTTGTCTCCACTATCTCCCTCTCCATTTTCATCCCCGTAACATGACACCTCTTGGTTGCCCGACAGGGGCGATGTGAAGTAATGCGAATGCAGATTCTTCTTTGTTGCAACATGTTGTAATCTTATAACTGTGTTGCATTTTATAGGTGCACTGGAAAGTATAAAAATACATTATTATAGACACAAAAAAATAATTTTTAATTCAGGTTAGATATCCACTACATATAACGATATAACTTGGAGCATGCTAAAGTGCTTGTTAAAAGACTTTGTAGAAAATAAATTACTTTTATATGTTAGTATATACAGGCAAAGCTAAATAAGATACTCACCCTCGTTTACATGTCTCGCCAGTCGCGGGCCGCACCGCCCAGTGGCTGTTGTGATCGTCCGATACGTCCACACCAGTCACAGACTGCTGGCCAGAGCCTGAGCCATACTTCACATCATGGGAATGTAGCCGAAGTCGGAGATCAGGATTTATCAGTTTCAGTATCGTCCCACATGTTACATATTCCGCTTTAGAGCCTGAAAAATTCAATAAAGTTAGCTAATCTGTAAGGGATTTAATTGGTTTATTTCATAGATTATTTATCAAAATATCATCTCATAGCGAAAGGCCACGTAATGCTAAAGGAGGCGTTAATTCACATGGAGAAAATATACGTAAATGGCTTAACTTAGAAATCGAAGCTTACCATTTGAAGATTTAATAAATAATGAAGTATAAAGAACTAACGTAAATACTAAAGAAATAATGGAAAACTTGTGAAAAATCATTTTTCACTCGCGGCCATAGAGAAAAGTAACGCGGCTCCGCAAACTCACTTGCTTGACGTTTTCTTTTTTTTTTTTCTGACAGAATGATGACGGACGAACGATCACAACAATAGTGCTGTGCCAGTGCCATGTGCCAATCGACAACAACTAATCGATAGCTCATTCAACTAGTACGGACTAGTCCATCACCCACAATACAACTAGATGATACATTGAAGGGTTATCTGTCAAAGTCAAAATTATATGACGTTTCATTTCAACTATAGTTCCAAAATACTGGACTGTCCTGTCGATGACATTGACAGCGGGGCGCCACCGTCAATACCGAATCGCTGGTTCCGATTTTTGCCATGTTGGAAACCATATAGTTGAACGATGGTAGCGCCCCCCTGTCATTGAGTTTGGCGGGACAGTTCAGCGTGGGTCATCTATATCGACATCGACTTTTTCAGCGCTCTGTCATCTGTGTTTTTCAGTGGATTGATAGTGGAGTAGTTGTTTATTTTCTTTTAATACATTGAAACTCTCCTTCTGCTTGCTCTTTTATTGTTGTATTACTACATTTTTGCCGCTATGGAAGATTGCAAGCCATCTGGAAACCCTAATAACAAAGGTACATGATTCGAGTAATGTATACGTTTGTGTCGAAATAGTGTCCTAAATTTTTCTCAATTTTCAACATTCTTCATGTTTTTGTCTATTGCTTTCAGGTTCATTCGATCCTGGATGGAACGATCCCCCTACTTTCTCATACAACGCCCAACAGACGACTCCGAACAGACCGCGTAACTTTCTAAACAAAAGAGTAGCCTTTCCCTTATCAGGAACTGGCGTTAGCAACGCAACCCCGCCTCCTGTAAATATGCCGCCCATGCCAGCTGCGTTACCTGTAGCTCCACCAGTGCACAGCAACCCTAAATTGTTTCAACCCGAGGAAGGGGTAGACATTGACAGTGAAAGTACTTTGAATGAAGTTAAAGATATCCTAATAACATTTTTGGAGAGCAGCAGTGAGTTAGGGTCCAAGGCAAATGATATCAAGAGGAGAATAACCATGATGGAGGAAATGTGGACTAGTGGAAAATTGAATAAAAGGATTCATTTACATATGAAAGAGTTGGCTTATGGTATGCATAATAACATTCTGAAATAAAGTGAATTGAAAGTTATCTTGAGTTTTGATATGCAGATTATTGATTTATTTCTCTATTTACAGCTCTCAGAGATGACCAACCGAGTAAGGCAGATGATATCCATAGGGCTCTGATGGTAGACCATGTGAATGCTGTTGGATCTTGGATGCCAGGTATAAAACAGCTAGTACATCACTGCATAGCTCGTTCAGAGTTACTAAACATAGAGAAAGAATAGTCATTTCCTGTATGTATTGTATAGTTATAAAATGTAATATAAGAGTATTAAAATATGTAAGGAAAGATTGTGATGTTATATTTTTTGCATTGTATTTTATTATTTGGCAAAATATGTGATTTTTATTTGCCATTATGAGAGAAAATGAAAGTAACCGTGTTATGAAAATCTGTTGTAAATAAATGATGTATGACAAACTAAGACTTATTATTTTGATACTATAAATCAGGAGCTTCTAGACTACATAGGTACACATAATTGAAACTAGTTTGCTATATTAAGTGGTTGATTTATTTAGTCATCTCCATTCCTAAAATAATAAAACTATAATTATGTACATTTATCTCTTATCATTATGTCACCAATTTAAAGTAAAGATAAAAACCTATGGAACAAACTGTCCTCACTAATTGCTGTCTTGTTTGTCCTTGAAATCAACTGCAGTCAAGCATTCCAGTTTTTCCATCTTTTTTCCATAAATGCTTCTTTTGATTCTCTTTCCTTATGTTAGTTTATCCCTTACCCCTGGGCCACACACATCGCTATAACATTCGGACGAATGATTTGACACCGGAGCGAAGTCTCGCAACTCGCAACTTAAGAGCAAAATATTTGACGATTTGTAAGCACTATATAATAGTCTATACAAATAAAGAAATTTTGACTTTGAACTATGGATAAAAGCACCGAAGTATACGCGATACTTAAGACCACTAACAGCGCGAATCTCGAGTTATCGCCCAGGGGTTACGCTCCGATCGGCTTGAATGAACATTCTTCTTTGTGCTCTTATCATCTGTAGCCCATCTTCCCTTATCTTTAAATGCCCCGTTTGATCGGCTTGGGGGCGACGGTGACTCGCACAGGTCGACACAGTTCCACGAGCGGCGCGGGCTCGCGGCCTCCGCCCTCCTCGACGGCTAAGCATACGGTCAAGTCAACGCCGCACGGCTCCGTCCACACGCCGTGCGAGATTAGCACCTTGGTGAGCAGCCGGACGTTGTGGGTGCCGTCTTCGTCTGGAATAATAAGTTTTGTTATTATAATACAAGCAGAATTTTTAACTTAAATTCTTAAACATGAGGATATGAGATGGCGGCGGCTTCAACCCTTAATGCTGATTGATCGATGAGGTTGTTCGAGAGGCGATGGATTGTAAACGGCGCGCGCACAATGGGTCGGGTAAATAGAAAGAAGTGTGGGCGGGGCATACGGCACGTACGCAATGTGTGGTCCACTGATGTGAATTGTAACAGCTTGCTCACACAGTGCCCTATGTGGAAACACAGAAGGACACACAATCCGGGCAGAAAAATTTGCCCCACTGGGAATCGAACCCGGGACCTCTGCTGGGTTTACGAAAGGTGGTCTTTCTATAAGGCCACGGAGACAGTCACTAGCTATTCACTAATGTGGTTGTGGTCGAGCGGACGCAGATGGTCCCGCGGCGGCTGCAACGCGTGCGCGCGACGGTCTGGGTACACGATGCGCACGCGCAGCGCTCCGGGCTCGCGCACGCGCGTCACGCTGGGCACGAGCCCGGCAGAGAAGCACAGCTGGGTTACTCACTAATAAGTAATATGATTGTGGTCGAGAGGGCGCTGGTAGTCGCGCGGTGGTAAGGGTACACGCCTCGCAATAAATGTTTCCTTCTTTCTTTCCTCGTGCACAGTGGGCGAGCTAGGGCGGTACTCACTAAAATAATTGTGGTCGAGCGGACGCAGATGGTCGCGCGGCGGTAAGGGTACACGCCTCATGCACAGTGGGCGGGCTAGGGTACTCACTGATATGATTATGGTCCAGCGGTCGTAAATGGTCCCGCGGCGGCTGCAACGCGTGCGCGCGACGGTCGGGGTACACGACGCGCACGCGCAGGGCTCCAGGTTCGCGCACGCGAGTCACCTCGGCTTCTAGCGCGACGCTGGTCACGAGCCCGGCAGAGAAGAGCTGCACCGTGGGCTACTCACTGATATGGTTGTGCTCGAGCGGGCTACTCTACTTCTGGCTACTCACTGATATGGTTGTGCTCGAGCGGGCTACTCTACTTCTGGCTACTCACTAATATGATTGTGGTCGAGCGGACGCAGATGGTCCCGCGGCGGCTGCAACGCGTGCGCGCGACGGTCGGGGTACACGACGCGCACGCGCAGCGCGCCGGGCTCGCGCACGCGCGTCACCTCCGCTTCTAGCGCGACGCTGGTCACGAGCCCGGCGGAGAAGCGCAGCACCGTGTCGTTGTCGCTGGCCGGCTCGATTATTGTCGCTGTGCACATTCGGATCTGAGAAAATAAAATAAACGTTCATCTTCCTAGTGATGTTTTTATTGAGCCTATTCATAGAATGGATTGATAGGCTAGATTTAATAGGTAAAAAATGCTCTCATCATCCATCATCATTTCAGCCATAGGACGTCCACTGCTGAACATAGGCCTCCCCCAATGCTTTCCATGTTGATCGATTGGTAGCGGCCTGCGTCCAGCGCTTCCCTGCTACCTTTACGATGTCGTCGGTCCACCTTGTAAGTGGACGTCCCACGCTGCGTTTTCCGGTACGCGGCCTCATTCCAGAACCTAGAAAAAATGCTCTGCGATACGATAATCCCATTAGAACTACAGTATCAAGAGGCGTCGACGGTAGTGGCGTAGCGCGCCGTCACACGTTACGTTCCTGTATCAAAATTTTATGGGGGCTTCAAATAACGCTGAAACAAGGTCGTCAAAATAAAACGTTTCAACTGTTGAACTGCATTATTAAAAAATCCCTAATTGAACCAGCTCTGGGTTACCGGGGGTCACGTAGTTACGCCCCTGATTGACAAAACTGACATCTAGTCTCAAGACGACAGCAACTGAAGCCACGATAGCCGAACGGTGAAGGGGTCGGACTGGCCGACTCGTGATCCGGGGAACGCGGGTTCGGTCCCCGCCGCCGCTCGACTATTGTGGTGAGCTCACTCGTGACACAAGCATATTTAGCTTAGTACGAGGGGCTAACGGGAGTATTAGTAATTTGTGTAATAACAAATTATAGTTCCAAAATACTGGACTGTCCTGTCGATGACATTGACAGTGGGGCGCCACCGTCAATACCGGATCGCTGGTTCAGATATTTGCCATGTTGGAAACCATATAGTTGAACGATGGTAGCGCCCCCCTGTCATTGAGTTTGGTGGGACAGTTCAGCGTGGGTCATCTATACTAATAATCTTTAAAAAAAAAAAACTCATTTACCTTGAGGTTGGGCTTGGGGATGGCGGGCAGCGGCGCGGCCTGCAGCAGCGGCATGAGCGCGCGGGCCAGCGCCCCTGGCTTGTTGTCGGCGCTCATCGATAACTGCTGGAACACCGCGATCGTGAACGGGTCCGGCTCCACGCCTGCAACAAGTGGTATAACGTAAAAGTAAGCTAAAGGACTAGTTTGAATTCATCGATCTTCAGGTAAATTTTGGTCCTTCGAGCCGGATAAAAATGTCAATATACGATTCTTATGATAATAGAATGAACCTAATGGTTTTTCACTAATTAACTGCCTCTGAAAACAATAAATTAGGTCTAATGAGTTGGCGATAAGACGTCATAATTTGTTTTTTTCCATACAAAATAGATGGAAAAACCGCGTATTGACAGCTCATATTCAATTTAATGGTGATGTCAACTAGTATTGCGGTGGAAGTAAGCCTCAAGCAATCGTTTCGTAAGTGCCAAAATATTGGTTAAACTTGAATAAAATATTTTTGATTTGAATCTACTCACTTGCCGCAGCCAGTATTCTGTCCAGCAGTTCGGCGTGGTGTGTAAGCGCGGCGAGGGCCTGCAGCGCGGCCGCGGCGGCGTACAACCGCGCCGCGCAGTGTGTGAGCGCGATAGCAACATAAATACGGGTAGCTAGGGGTCATTGGACAAAATTATACGTGCTCGGCGACCAGACTTTAGTTCAGATTTCCGCTGGGACCACGGATATGAGAAAAAAGAACTTTTTTTTTATGCATAACAAGGCAGGTATTTGACCACAATGATTGTGGCACAATCGCACCTGATGTTAAGTGGGATGCAGTCTAGGATGGTACATATCTGCCCTGTAAGTGCCTATTCACTCTCGCCTTGAAGAGGCCCGGATTATAGTTTTCGGGAAAGACAGCAGCAGGCAACGAATTCCAGTCCCTAGCTGTTCGCATTATCAAAGAGTCGTCGAAACGCTTAGTGCGAGCTGGTGGTACTCACTTGCCGCAGCCCCGGGTGCCAAGCATCAGGGGGTGACACAAGTCGCGCAGATTAGTACTCACTGGCGCAGCTGCATGGCAAGTCTACGGTCTATGTCATGATACTGGGGGGGGTGTGATTGTTTTTCAATCTTCGAATCGGTAGGTAATCCAAAAATCCTGGGGGGTACCAGNGCCCGGCTTGTTGTCGGCGCTCATGGATAACTGCTGGAACACCGCGATCGTGAACGGGTCCGGCTCCACGCCTGCAACAAGTGGTATTTAACGTAAAAGTAAGCTAAAGGACTAGTTTGAATTCATCGATCTTCAGGTAAATTTTGGTCCTTCGAGCCGGATAAAAAATGACAATATATGATTCTGGTGATAATAGAATAAACCTAATGGTTTTTCATTAATTAACTGCCTCTGAAAACAATAAATAGTGAGTTGGCGATAAAGACGTCATATAAATTGTCTTTTCCATGCAAAATAGATTGGAAAACCGCGTGTTGACAACTCATATTTAATTGAATGGTGATGTCAACTAGCCTATTGCAACGTAGGCCTCAAGCAATATTTTCAATCTACTCACTTGCAAGGTTCTGGAGTGGAGGCCACGTACCGGAAAGCGCCGCGTAGGACGTCCACCCACAAGGTGCACCGAATAAAGGTAGCAGGAAGGCGCTGGATGCAGGCCGCCACCAACGGCCATTGTGGAAATCATTAGGGGAGGGCCATGTTCAGCAGTAGACGTCCTATGGGTGAAATGATGATGATGATGATAACTCACTTGCCGCAGCCAGCATCCTGTCCAGCAGTTCGGCGTGGTGCGTAAGCGCAGTGTGAGCGCGATAGCAACATAATTTACGGGTAGCTTGGGGTAATTGGACCAAATTCTACGTGCTCGGCGACCAGACTTTAGTTCAGATTGCCGCTGGGACCACGGATATAAGAGAAAACACTCACTTGCCGCAGCCAGCATCCTGTCCCACCACCGGCGTGCCCGTAGCGGCCGCGTACAACCGCGCCGCGCCGTGTGTGAGCGCGATAGCAACATAATTACGGGTAGCTTGAGGTCATTGGACCAAATTCTACGTGCTCGGCGACCAGACTTTAGTTCAGATTGCCGCTGGGACCACGGATATGAGAAAAAAGAACGTTTTTTTTTATGCATAACAAGGCAGGTATTCGACCACAATCGCACCTGATGTTAAGTGGGATGCAGTCTAGGATGGTACATATCTGCCCTGTAAGTGCCTATTCACTCTCGCCTTGAAGAGGCCCGGATTATAGTTTTCGGGAAAGACAGCAGCAGGCAACAAATTCCAGTCCCTAGCTGTTCGCATTATAAAAGAGTCCGCCCCGGGTGCCAAGCATCAGGGGGTGACACAAGTCGCGCAGATTAGTACTCACTGGCGCAGCTGCATGGCAAGTCTACGGTCTATGTCATGATACTGGGGGGGTGTGATTGTCTTTCAATCTTCGAATCGGTAGGTAATCCAAAAATCCTGGGGGGTACCAGGGGGTGAACTTACTTGCCGCAGCCAGCATCCTGTCCAGCAGTTCGGCGTGGTGCGTAAGCGCAGCGAGGGCCTGCAGCGCGGCCGCGGCGGCGCCCAGCATGGGCCCCGTGGCCCCCACGGCGCCGGCGCCTACCACCGGCGTCCCCATAGCAGCGGCGTATAACCGCGCCGCGCAGACGCGGAGCGCGATAGCAACATAATTACGGGTAGCTTGGGGTCATTGGACAAAATTCTACGTGCTCGGCGACCAGACTTTAGTTCAGATTGCCGCTGGGACCACGGATATAAGAGAAAACACTCACTTGCCGCAGCCAGCATCCTGTCCCACCACCGGCATGCCCGTAACCGTGAGTGTGTGAGCGACAAAAGTCTACGTGCTCGGCGACCAGACTAGTTCAGATTGCCGCTGGGACCACGGATATAAGAGAAAGAACTTACTTGCCGCAGCCAGCATTCTGTCCAGCAGTTCGGCGTGGTGCGTAAGCGCGGCGAGGGCCTGCAGCGCGGCCGCGGCGGCGCCCAGCATGGGCCCCGTGGCCCCCACGGCGCCGGCGCCCACCACCGGCGTCCCCATAGCGGCTGCGTATAAACGCGCCGCGCAGACGCGTAGCGCCAGTTGCCAGACGCACGCGTTCTCTTGCTCCGTTACGCCGCTGAATTGGTGTTGTAGTCTAGGGAAAAAAACAGTCATAAAAAAACTCATGAAAGTCATTTATTTCTGTAAATAAGCTTAAAAAAAGCACTTTTACACGTCCCAGTATTAACCCTACCACTGCTTCAGGACAATAAATGGGCCAGTGCTGAGAAGAAGCAGCGCAAGAAACTCAGTCACCATTGTCAGTCGTTTAAGTCGTCTAGTGGTAAGATCACCTGCTTCAGATGCAGAGGTCCCGGGTTCGATTCCCAGTGGGATTTTTCTGTTCGGTTTGGTTGGTGGTAGGGCTTGTTCTAAGTCCGCCTGGCTAGCTACCACCATCTTACCTAAGTCTGTCGCCATAACAAGTTGTGTCAGCCTTTTTCTTTAAGTCGAAAAGTTGTTTTATTATAAAAAATACCACACGACTGTTAACAATTTGTTGTTGGTGTCAGCTGTTGTCAGCTTTCCCAGCAGAACATTTTTTTTTATTTGATTGACATTGACACTTATGTTCGTCTTAAGCATTTGTCACATGTGCGTTCTGCGGTCTGCATTCACTTTGACCTAACCGCGGACTGCATTCACTTTGAACTAACCGCAGATCGATCCAGTGTACCAAATCTTTTGAGGCTAGAATGTAGAAGCATCCAATTTTCAACTGCAAAGGTACACCCATCCCTGCCTGGGTAAGGCCACAACAGATTCAAGGGCTTACCCAGGGAGGGGCGTACAGATTATCTTCGTTTAATTTGTGGAACCCAAAGTAACCGACATAGCTCGCAGAATTGCTAAAATCAAGTGGCAGTGGGCGGGGCACAGCTCGTAGAGACGATGGCCGTTGGGGCAGGAAAGTTCTCGAGTGGCGACCACGGGCTGAAAGACGTAGCGTGGGCAGGCCTCCTACTAGGTGGACCGACGATCTGGTAAAGGTCGCGGGAAGTGCCTGGATGCGGGCAGCGCAGGACCGCTCATTATGGAAAACCTTGGGGGAGGCCTTTGTCCAGCAGTGGACGTCATTTGGCTGAAACGAAGGAACGCATTTGTGGAAAGTCCTCTGTCCTTANCCCACCACCGGCGTCCCCATAGCGGCTGCGTATAACCGCGCCGCGCAGACGCGTAGCGCGATAGCAACATAATTTACGGGTAGCTTGGGGTCATCGGACCAAATTCTACGTGCTCGGCGACCAGACTTTAGTTCAGATTGCCGCTGGGATCCCGGATATAAGAGAAGAAAGAACTTACTTGCCGCAGCCAGCATCCTGTCCAGCAGTTCGGCGTGGTGCGTGAGCGCAGCGAGGGCCTGCAGCGCGGCCGCGGCGGCGCCCAGCATGGGCCCCGTGGCCCCCACGGCGCCGGCGCCCACCACCGGCGTGCCCATAGCAGCGGCGTATAAACGCGCCGCGCAGACGCGTAGCGCAAGTTGCCAGACGCACGCGTTCTCTTGTTCCGTTACGCCGCTGAATTGGTGTTGTAGTCTAGGGAAAAAAAGTCATAAAAAAAACTCATTTATTTCTGTAAATAAGCTTAAAAAAAGCACTTTTACACGTCGCAGTATTAACCCTACCGCTGCTTCAGGACAATAAATGGGCCAGTGCTGAGAAGAAGCAGCGCAAGAAACTCAGTCACCATTGTCAGTCGTTTAAACCGCCTCTGTGGTCTAGTGGTAAGATCATCTGATTCAGATGCAGAGGTCCCGGGTTCGATTCCCAATGGGATTTTTCTGTTCGGTTTGGTTGGTGGTAGGGCTTGTTCTAAGTCCGCCTGGCTAGCTACCACCATCTTACCTAAGTCTGTCGCCATAACAAGTTGTGTCAGTCTTTTTGTTTAAGTCGAAAAGTTGTTTTATTTTAAAAAATACCACTAGACTCTTAACAATTTGTTGTTGGGCAAACCCAGCTTTCCCAGCAGAACAATTTTTTTTATTTGATTGACATTGACACTTAAGTTCGTCTTTAAGCATTTGTCACATTTGCGTTCTGCGGTCTGCGTAATAAAAACTGTATACATACATATAGAGACTGATAATGTTGTTCACACCTGATGCGGACTGCATTCACTTTGACCTAACCGCAGATCGCATCCAGTGTGGAAAATCTTTTGAGACTAGAATGTAGAAGCATCCAATTTTCATGGGAGCGGGCAACTGCAAGGGTACGCCCGTCCCTGACTGGGTAGTCCTACATCAGGTTCATGGGCTTAGGGAGCGGCGTTATTTTTTTATGTGACAAGAGGCAAACGAGCAGACGGATCACCTGATGGTAAGTGATTACCGTCGCCCATAGATACCCGCAGACTTACATATTATAATAATAATAAGATTATTTTGCGCTTAAAACGGCCTCTACGTGTTGGATCTGTATCCCCACGCAAGCCTTATAAAGGACCGGGCCACTTTTGACCCGTGAGCTCCAAAGCGTACAAACAAAAATAATAATAATAAATACTCTTTATTGCACACCACATAAAAAGAAACAGAAAGAAATGGAACACATAAGGTACAATTAGGCGGTCTTATCGCTATGAAGCGATCTCTTCCAGACAACCTATAGAGAGGACAGTTACTTAAAACAAATGAAGGGGAAGGCGGTGTCGACACTAATTGTGTATTATCTTCGTTGAATTTGTGCAAAGTCCTTTGTCCTTATCACGTAGTTACCTGAGACAGTCGGTGGTGAGGTGCGCGAGCGCGTGCGTGGGCGGCCCGTGGCTGTTGTTGAGCGCCTCGTGTAGATAGCGCACGGCGCGCGCGAACAACGCCGTGAAGTTGGCCGCGCCCGATACCATGGGCTCCATCTCCGATAGCCTGCGAATAAACAATTGATAAATAGTACAATAATTGAAAACTCTTTTAGCTGCTCAACAATTTTTTTGTCACCTGTCCGCTTTGCAATGGAGAATCTTGAACCTTGACTTCGAACTCCTCCTATGTTCTTCTGATTAATTTCGTTGCGAGTCCAATGACAGTTTAACTTTCCCCGAGACAAACTTGACCTTCACTGGTTGGGTTTTTATTGGCGGTCAAGCTGTAGATCCTGGCTATAGAGGAGTTGCAGCGGTGGGAACGATGATAATAATAATAATAAATACACTTTATTGCACACCAAAGATAAGAACAGAAAGAAAAGGAACACACAAAGTACAACGATAGATGGGCATAGTTCCGTTTTTTAGTAACGTTAAGTAGCCATTTGCCGCAACCTTCAACAGATCGATTCGTGAATTGGGATGCCTGACGACCTGTGGTGCATGGTCGCCATTGGTCGCCACTCGAAAACATTTTTGCCCCAACGGCCATGGATATGTGCGCCGCCTACTGCTACTTAAGTTTAGGTATTTTGCGGGCTATGTCGGTTACTTTAGTTTCCCTACGTCCCATTTCTGCGACGTAACAGCTGTCTTATGATACTCAAAGCGCTCACTTGTTGAGCTGCTCCTCGGCCGACTGCAGCATCTTGAGGCGCACGCTGGTGGACAGCGTGGCGTTGTCGATGTGCTGTAGTACGGAGTCCAAGAAGCGCCGCACTGCGCTGTCGTCTGTGGGCTCCATCTTTTCGCCATTTAATTGCTGCGCTTCTCCTGTATACCATAAATAAACTAATCAGTATTTTATTAACCTCTGCAAATAAGCTAAACATAAGGTTGTTTAAGAAAAGAGTCCTCCATTGCTTGCGTTCCTCGAAACTCAAATCGCAAGACAATGATAATAACTACATTTTACAAATAATAGAGAGAATCATAATCGTTAGCTATAGATGCAATAAAACAATTTATAAAATTATGGATAAACGACAAAATCTTTATCGATGTAGAAAAAACCATGCAGATCGAAATAAATTATATTGAGAATCAAAAAGTATGGTCTTAAAATGGCAGCTCGTAAGCATCAACTAGTATGTAAATAATCTGAAAGGAGGAAAATATTTTCCAGGGTTGTTTGTACACAAAAAACAATTGGCAGCGGTGGGATTCGAACCCACGCCTCCGAAGAGACTGGTGCCTTAAACCAGCGCCTTAGACCGCTCGGCCACGCTACCCGTGCTCGGACGAACAAATAACACGAACGCAAGGCGTCACGTTTCTCACGTATTCTATAATAAGAATACTATTACGGCCTAATGTACTGAGTAGGCATTTAATATACTGTGAAAATATCACGTTTCTTGTGGCCTTCGAAATTTTGGGTCATCGTGACATCTGGACGTTGCACTTAAATAAATATGCAAACATTACAAATCAAGTGTTGTGTGACATAATAAACACGTAAAGCGCATAGCTTAGCACATTCCTGTGATAATAATACATTCATAATGTCCTCTCCCATATACCAGAGACAAATCGAAGATTTGGTCTTTACTTTCCTGGGTTTTTCTTCCTCAGTCTCCTCTCACGATATCCACGGGAAGAGTGGTTACTTCTGTAGTATCTTAATAAGACGAAATCTATGGAATAGTGAAGTTCTTGTAACTCATGAAGGCGAGGGAGCTTCACTTGTGTGTGTACGTGTATATGCACAATGCACATATTGTAGTTGTTGATAGTGTAACGTCTGTCGTCTTCGTGAATGACGTTTTTTATACTTAACAGTTGGCACCCCTGGCGATTGACAGGACCTTACTCTACAGTGGCGCCATCTTGATGAGTGCAAATGCGATAGTCCTCCTACCACTTTAGCGCTCACAAGTTGGCGCCACTGTCTTCGCTACTAGCAAGTGAGAGGACCTTACTCTACAGTGGCGCTAACTGGTGAGCGCTAAAACGATAGCCCTCATTGCAACAAGTAAAGTTATAACCGACCTATGGGCAGGCTGGGCACGAGGTGCGGCATGGTGTCGCGCAGATAGGTGTAGTGCTTGATGGTGTGCTCCTCGAACAGCGGCAGCATGGTGGTGCAGTGTTGCGCCGCGTTGAGCACCAGGATTAACACGCAAGTATCTTTGTTGTGAGTTAAGTATTAAACAATAGATAGATATATCATGATCAGGTCATTTAGTCTCCACATCAGGAGAATGACCCTATAATTTGCTAGAGGCAAAAGGGTGGACATGGCTTAGACGGGGCTTCTAAGCCGGCCAGACGGGTTGATTGAGAGGACCTGATGTTCGCATATTTCTTCCTTAGTTGCCTCTTACTTAGCCGTTGTCCTAGGTGAACAAACGCGACGCCACGAGAGAGACCAAATGCAAAAATGTCAAGAAGTCGTTTGTTGTATCAAATAGTGGCCTACGTAATCGCGTGTCGTGACATTTGTAATACGTCTCGTGAAGTATTGTTCGCATACTTCACGAGACGTATTACAAATGTCATACGTAGCGTCGCTTCAGCCGCGTTCTGTCACTCACTAGTAGGCCTAGGATCCGCGCCACGATAAACGTTTATTACGCCATTTTATCGGCTTTACGCAATAAACCCATACATTTGTCGTCTAAAATCATCGATAAGATTTTATCACGGCGCGCATTCTAGCCCGTAACGAACGAGTAATAGTTTTCCCATCCTTTTTTAACCAATAACTCAGCAGTTGTAAAGGATACAGGCCGGGTCATCAACATCAGGCTCGGGCATGTCGAAGAAGGGGTGGCAAGCAAGCAGGCGCGTCGTCAGCGGCAGCACCAGGGTCGCGTGCGAGCTGCCCAGCCGCTGCACGCAGCGGAATGTCGAGCGCTTGTCCTGCACACCATAAACCATAAATAAGGGTACAGCCACAGGCACAGAACAGTCAAATTTTATACCCGAAAGCTAGCGCTAGCTATTATATCAATCCATGTAGCAATAAAAAAAAATACGGTCTGTATACTTATCATCAGTTTACGTAAAGTGTGCTCGCTAGCGACTGCGTGAAAAAAGGACATTCAATGTATGACATATTGTGCAGCGGCCTTAGAGTAGGCGCACACCGTTGATTTTTAGTCGGCCGATAGTTTAACCCACTGGTTCCCCCGGGCCAGTGGGTATGCAATTTCATGCATTTCCTGACGAAAAAAAAAAAAGTCGGGCAGTTGATCAGTATGGGCATGTATATGGGAGTGCGCACACAACGCCGATACGATTTGGCCGATTCTTCATACAAATTAAAATCGGGCACAACTATCGGCCAACTAAAAATCAACGGTGTGCGCCTACTCTTAGCGGCTACTTTCAAGAAATAAAATCTTCATACATTTTTTGACGTACTCGCTAGCAAGCACACCTAACGTAAACTCATGATAAGCACACAGGTAGTTGATACCATTAACCAATGATTGTAAGACACAACTTCTTCGAAAACCCTTGTAGAATGGTAACGTCTAAACTGGTCTATGAACTTAAGTGATATTGTGGAATGGCGAAATGGTTTATATCGATCCCCAAGGGATCTTTTGCTACCAACCAGGAGCGACTAAAAAAATAAAATAAGGAGGTTTAATTATTTAGTAACTCGTTTTTTGCTGCAGTTATTATAACAAAGGAGGAATTCTTTTAAAGAAAGATTTGGTAAATATTGAAAGAGATAAAAAATAAAGTAAAATTTCTAAAGTGGTGTAAAATAAAAACATTGGCAGCGGTGGGATTCGAACCCACGCCTCCGAAGAGACTGGTGCCTTAAACCAGCGCCTTAGACCGCTCGGCCACGCTACCGATAACGCTTCCCGCCCAATTTCGGGATAAGTCGATCTCATGATTTTTTCAATAGATAAATACATAGAATAAATACAATTCAAGAGAAAAATACACATCTCGCCACTAAACGTAAGTTCGTAAAACAAGTTCCACTTTGGCTATAAGCCAAAAATGATGACTAGCAGTCTTATGTAATGTTGTACATATAGGTAAACCACACATTTATTTCATTACTTTCATTTTCAATTATACTACACTCAATTCAATAATTATTTTATTTACTCGTTCGTTCGTTCGTTTCAGCCAAATGACGTCCACTGCTGGACAAAGGCCTCCCCCAAGGTTTTCCACAATGAACGGTCCTGCGCTGCCCGCATCCAGGCTCTTCCCGCGACCTTTACCAGATCGTCGGTCCACCTAGCATGAGGCCTGCCCACGCTACGTTTTCCAGCCCGTGGTCGCCACTCGAGAACTTTCCTGCCCCAACGGCCATCGTCTCTACGAGCTATGTGCCCCGCCCACATGGATTTTATTTACTCATTGTAGGAAAAAAATCACTTACCTGTGGGTATCTCTTGAGATTTTCCAAAATTTTGTCAATGCACATTTCCAAGCACGTTTTGGAGGCGACTGTACACGAGCCCAGCATTCTGTGTAGGCCCTCCCTGACATCCATTGAGTAATCCTGTGTACAACAAAAGTTTATTCTTTTATAAGGTTAGAAGACACATTAAAGTGACACTGTGGGAACTTATGCTGTTGTATTAGGTGCGATTTTGCAACGGAAAAGTATAATCTGATGCGCTGCCGCCTCCTTCAGTCCGAGGCTGTGCGTTCAGAAGCCTCGTATCCACTTGAGCAGATTCAGTTTGACTCAAGAAGAGGCTACTCGGCCTGAGGTTGCTCAATGGCTACGCCGAGGCTTATAATGGATACTGAACTATTCCCGCCTCTCATCCCCACCGCTACAACTCCTGTGTAGCCAGGATCTAGCTTGACCGCCAATAAAAACCCAACCAGTGAAGGTCAAGTTTGTCCCGGGGGAAAGTTAAACTGTCATTGGACACGCAACGAAATTAATCAGAAGAACATAGGAGGAGTTAGATTAATGGATACGCCCTGATTTGAGATGCGCGTGAGGCTGTCTATAGCGTGCAGGCGCACGTCCTCGATCTCGTCGTTGAACATGTCCACCAGGAGTCCAGTGACGTCATCGGGACACTGGTCCCCATGGACAACTGGTCACTAACCTCCAGAGCGCTCAGGATGGTCTCCAGCTGGTCCTCGCGCAGCACGATGTGGTGCGAGATGCGCGTGAGGCTGTCTATAGCGCGCAGGCGCACGTCCTCGATCTCGTCGTTGAACATGTCCACCAGGAGTCCAGTGACGTCATCGGGACACTGGTCCCCATGGACAACTGGTCACTAACCTCCAGAGCGCTCAGGATAGTCTCCAGCTGGTCCTCGCGCAGCACGATGTGGTGCGAGATGCGCGTGAGGCTGTCTATAGCGCGCAGGCGCACGTCCTCGATCTCGTCGTTGAACATGTCCACCAGGAGTCCAGTGACGTCATCGGGACACTGGTCCCCATGGACAACTGGTCACTAACCTCCAGAGCGCTCAGGATAGTCTCCAGCTGGTCCTCGCGCAGCACGATGTGGTGCGAGATGCGCGTGAGGCTGTCTATAGCGCGCAGGCGCACGTCCTCGATCTCGTCGTTGAACATGTCCACCAGGAGTCCAGTGACGTCATCGGGACACTGGTCCCCATGGACAACTGGTCACTAACCTCCAGAGCGCTCAGGATAGTCTCCAGCTGGTCCTCGCGCAGCACGATGTGGTGCGAGATGCGCGTGAGGCTGTCTATAGCGCGCAGGCGCACGTCCTCGATCTCGTCGTTGAACATGTCCACCAGGAAGTCTAGCGATGTGGTCGCGAACACCGGGTTCTCCATTGACAGCTGGCATACGGCTTCTACGGCGGCTGTGCGGACCTCTGTAACAAGAATGACATTTTAACAAACTTGAAAAGGTAATGGGGCGAGTTGGCAAGTGAATCTAACTAGTCCCGCGCTAAAATACCCGCGTGCTCTCCCGAGATTCGGTTCGTACGCCGTGAGGCAGGAAGAACCATGGGTGGCGGTGGGATTAGTCACGAGCTAGATTCTCTGCACAATTTAACTAGATCCCTTGTTTTAAGGATGAGTCCAAGATGTGACTATTGCATTCTGTATCAAACTAGTCACGTGCTGTTTATACTAGTCACACGTATGGTAGAACTAGTCACTCCCAGGACTACTAGTTCCGCATCGTATTCAACTAGTCACACGTGCGGTAGAACTAGTAACTCCCAGGACTACTAGTCCCGCATCGTATTCAACTAGTCGCACGTCGTATTAACTAGTCCCACGCCGGTCCTAGTCCCCGCTCACCCATGAGCTCGTCAACGTTCGCTGGTCGGTCATTAGTCACGGTCACCAGTCACGCTGGCCCCGCCCACTAGTCCCTGCCGCTCACCCATGAGCTCGTCCTCGAGCCCGTGCACGTACAGTAGTTGTCCCGGCGCGTCGCCCGCCCGCCGGCCGGGTCACTAGTCATGCTGGTCCCGCCAACTAAAGCCTGATTCGTGAGCACGTAGAATCCCGTCCAATGACCCCAAGCTACCCATCCCTATCGCTCGCGCGTAATTATGTTGCTGTCGCGACTGTGCTACGGGCGCCCGCAGTGAGTGTGCGAGCGCGACAGCAACATAATTACGCGCGAGCGATAGGGATGGGTTGCTTGGGGTCATTGGACGGTATTCTACGTGCTCACGGACCAGGCTTTAGTCACGCCGCTCACCCATGAGCTCGTCCTCGAGCCCGTGCACGAAGGCGCCGGCCGCGCCGCCGGGCAGCAGCTGCACGTCGTCCTGCTCCACCAGCTGTCCCGGCGCGTCGTCCGCCCAGCGCCGCCCGCTGGCCCAAGCGCCCGACCGCACTAGTTCCGCGCCGCGCTCGTGGGCCGTACGTTTTTTCTGTAACATACAACAAGCCTTACGTTATTATACACAACACTAGTGACGCATATTGCGTTACCAATACCACCACAACTGTACGCTAAAACTTGCGCAGGCGACCAAAACCCGTCTATCAATTTCCGCGCATTTGGAAACCCGACTCATGCGTACGCGCCACATTGCGCTGTTTATTCAGATACCCATGCGTGCGCCCGCACGAGTTTTAGCGTAGGCCCTAAGTGGTCAAAATTAACCCCCAAGGGGCCGTTTTCAACAACGTGAGGAACTAATCAAATTGGAAGTCCATGGAATGCATATGAGCGCTCAATAATAATAACTTAGATTCGCTCCTACTATAACATAGAGGTAGGCTCCATTGACGCCTTACAGAGCCATCATGTACAGACTGTGACAAGGAGATGGCGCTAGGCGCTACTAAGCCACAAAACTTGCCTTCATATTACTCATGAGTTGCTTGTCCAGCGTTTGCAGCAGGAACCGGTCGGAGACGAAGCGCGCGGCACCCAGCAGCGAACACGCCAGCGCGCGCACCGCCATGCACAGGTCGTTGACCGCGGAGCAGATGCGAATGAACGCGTCGTCCACCAGGCGTAGTGTCGTCTCGCCGTCTTGAAGAGTTGTCAAGCTGAGGAAAAAGTTTTATTTCACCAGTATCAATATGGTAACAGATTTTAATCAAATAAGATCAAAATCGATATTATGGCATTGACTACAAGTTCATTATATGTTACTCTATTTAGAAGGTAAATATCCAATTATTTTTACTTGCTACATAAAAGCACATTTTTTACCATAAGCACATTTAGGCAAATAACATCAAATTTTACATGTTTGAATTGATCCTTATTTTATTTAGAAAATATATTATATTTTTGGGCAGTTCAAAAAAGTTGAATGGTAATCTTAAGGTGCACATAACAATAAAAATTAATGCAACTAAAATGTGATATAACTTACTGTTCTGGATACTTGTTCCCCAGCAACCACACTAACTTCAGAGCAACTTCTCGCACAATCTCATAGTCGTCTGAGAGAGCGGGGCACACTTGCTGATAAAGATCGACACTGAGGGTCTGTCCTCGCTCAGCAAGAGTCAGCAAGGATTGGAAAGCCTCACAACGCACCCTTGCATCCTGTGAACAGTTTTACATTGATCAGTTTTTATGACTTCATTAAAAAAGTTTAATCAGAAACGTAACAAAATATTGCCATAGAAATCAACTTTATTTCAATTAGGTATCTTGTGTTTTCACTTTTTAATTGAGTAACTAAAAGTACATTTCAACTCTTAATCCTTAGGAATCATACATGGAAGTCTATCCATTCAATATTAGATGTCTTTAGAAGTCTAATTTTATTTTCAATTCAAACCAAATCAGAAAATATTTATTCAATTTTGACCAGATTTTGGCACTTTGTTGTTATTCTTTAAATTAAAAAGTGGCTTACATCAGCATTGGAATAGTCTCCCAGCAACTTCACAATAGCACTGGCCTCTGCTGCCATCTCCATGGTCCTCTCAATCTCAGGATATATCGGGTACAGTTCACTGATGAGCTGCAGGCACCGGCACTTCACCTGGTGACTGGTGTCTTTGAGGTTGTCCTTGGCCACACCAACTAAGCGCATCATAAGAAGTTTGTCTTCACTCAACTTGTTGCCAAGCTTTAGCAATGTAGCTATCCCTTGAGCTATAACCTAAAAAAAATATTATACAGTATTATATTTGACTTCTTTTGGGACTGAACTAGCAAGAAAAGTATAAATAGGCACCTTATGTGACGTCTCATTCTTGATCAAATGAATAGTTTCATCAATCAAATAATTAAGGTTGGCGCCCGGGCACTCTAAACCAATATCACAAAACAGCCACAAAATCTTGACCCTCACAACCGAATCTTCTTCTGACTGAAAGTGTTCAGACAGTTTCTTAATAGCCTCTTCGACATCAGACTCCTGAAACTGCAGGCAGTCTGATATACGCAGCAAGAGCTGCAAAGCTTCATCACTGGACTTGCATTTCTCTAATAACCCCACAAAAGCAGCAGCAGAACTGCCAATTAGAGGTTTCTTGACCAAATGAAGCTTTTTGGAAGGCGGCCCATCCTGTAATTATAACAATAATCAAAAAGTTTAACCACAAACATGTCGATAACTTCCAACTAAAATTTTGGGTATTATAAAGTAAATAAACATACCTGGAATGACTTATTGTACTCCGCAAGTGCTCTTTTCTTTAAAACTGCAGCCATTGTCGTGAAAGTTGTACAACTTCAACCAGAATTTATTTTAATTCTCCAATCCAAACCAAACACGCATTTGTGTTGATGTGATGATGACAGCAAACGACGACGTCTCATCTGTGCAAACGACTGATGACAGTATTGACAGTTAGTTAAACTGACAGTTTTATTTTTATTTTAACCCCTATATAGGCTCACTAGTTGTACTAGTCGACTACTAAAAAATTGACTGGCGTAAGTGTGTAAACACAGCTTTATAGCTCATTGAAAACGACTGACTCAATTTGTTGTTACAAACCTTAAGTTTAAATTAAAAAGTTAAATGACAGTACCTTTCAGGTTTTTTGACATTGACATCATACTTTTTGTCACTGTTTTTGGTTAGGATGTGGTTTTTTGATTTCGTAGAAGTGATGTGAATTAAATATTCTGTGCTCGGAATTGCAGCTGATCGTTTCCACTATTTAGTACTAACATTAATGCATAGGTCTTACTTTATCCAGGTATATGCACTATTGATCCACTCTGTTTACAATATATAGCAAAAACATAAGTTGTTTCACACGTAATATTTTACATAATTAAACTGACTTCCTCGTAATAACTAGCATTACTGAGTAAATAACAACACCATGTTTAACTTACCTTGATTATGTCACTGCTCCTATGTCGTTACGATAGAAAAGTACCTCCCATAGTAGCAGATTAGTTTCTAAATAAGCATTGGAACTTATCACATGCTCGTGCTCTCATTCGTATCACCATCGTTTATGATGGTGAAATAAATTGATTACCATAAAAATATGGTTAAAAAAGGTGCCTGAGACACTAATAATGGACAATGAATATTGTTTTCCTTTCATGAAACTATCATTAAAATATCTCTTGAAAGTAATATCTCAAAAACTATCTTTGGACAGAGAATGGGGAACCCTTGAATATAATGTCATGTGACTGCAAGAAAAAAATGGATATGACTGAACAACAACTCCTCAAAGATGGTGTGTCAGTGCCCTCACCAGGCCTCCTGGTGCACTGGAAAGAGTTTGTGTGTGGAGGAGGATCAGCATTCTGCAATATTATAATAAGCTACCCTTTAAACAAGCTCATATTCAGACAGGTTAGTTAAATCTCTATAAATGTGAATATGTCAATCATTTCATCAGTCTCTCAATACTTATAAATATTTTATTTTTTCAGATGATGCATGGAGTGGAAGCTACTTTTGCTCTTAACCAATTACAAAAGGAAGGCTTAGGTTACCTATACCGGGGCATGCTGCCTCCTCTAATGCAAAGAACCTTATCTATGTCGCTGATGTTTGGAGTATATGATGAATGTTTACAACCACTGTTAAACAACAAAGTTAACCCATATGTTGCTAAATCAATTGCTGGAGTGGTTGCTGGCTGCGTTGAGGCTACACTCATGCCTTTTGAGAGGATACAAACCCTACTTATACACCCTAAGTATCACAAGGAGTTTCAGAACACTGCACATGCTACAAGGCACATCGCTAGGCACTACGGTATCAAAGAGTTTTACAGAGGCCTCACCCCCATCCTGTTAAGGAATGGTCCTTCTAATGCTATGTTTTTCATCATTAGAGATGAAGTAAAAGTAAGGTTGCCTCACCAAGAACTATTGTTCTATGCAAGCTTACAGAACTTTTTAGCAGGTGCTTCAATAGGAGCACTTTTGAGCACTCTTTTCTACCCCCTCAATGTGATTAAAATAGGCATGCAATGTGAGTTAGGAGGCCCACATCGAACAATATTGTATGAATTTAAGTATTTGCTACGTAAAAGAGGCTCAAATTTTGCTAATTTCTATCATGGAGCACTGCTTAATATATCCCGTGCTTTTTTAAGTTGGGGCATCATAAATGCTTCATATGAAGTTTTTAGAAAACATTTATATTAATTGCAATTTAGTCTTATTTTGTTACAACAGCTTGTTATTTATTGTTTAATTTTAAGTGAATGATGATTACTCATCATTAAAAGTATGTGCTATTTTCATATGAAATTGTTAAAGAATCTAAAGTAACATTTATTGTTATTTCATTTTAATTACCTGAAAATTGTACAGCAGTGATAAAAGAGAGATAGATGTGATTATCAGTATGTTTGAATTAGATAATTTTATTTTAAGTAGATCTTTTAATGTAAAGCATTTATGTAAATATTCCTTTTATAATGGTATATGACAGCCTAATGGCGCGGTATGAGTCGCTTTGAGCGCAAAGGATCCTTGGGTTCAGATTCCAGCTAACACAATTTAGAAAACTACTACTAAGTCTAAAATTGGCCAGGATTCATACTGTGTTGTTACTTCGTTACTATACAAGAGGTGTGTTCTATGGGTACTTTGTATTTATAAATAAATGCTAATAGTAAAATTTTGTACATAATCATCCACATTGTAATCACTACATGTTTTCCCATAATGCTGGTTATTTGTTGTTATGGTATGATAATGTAATGTTATCTACTTACACTTGATTTTATCTTGCAACATAGATGTTTGAAAAACAGCTTAAATGTTTTTAATTTTCTGTAAAGAGTGAGTAGACCGCAATTTGTATAATATTCATAATACTATGTACTTCATTTTAGATGCCTATTTATTTTATGTAATCAAACAATTGTGTTGTGTCATAATTATAAAAATCAGAAATAAAGAATAATTACGTTTGGATATAATTTTTTACTTTTTCACCAATTACAATTATCATTTTACTTCAGTCGTAAAATTGTGCAATCAACTTTCGTATCATGGCGGTTGAAAATGAAATATTCCATTGCTGCAATACAGATCGTAATTGTTGCTCTCATTGTATTTGAAGGTGAGTCGCTTTATTTGCTGACTAGCTTTCCGCCCGCGGCGCGGCTTCGCGCGCGTTGACTACATTATCTACATATTTTACGGAACCCTATTTTTATCCAAAATAAAATTTTGCTTATGTTACTCGTGGGTAATGTATCTTTCGAATGGTGAAAGAATTTTTAAAAACGGTCCAGTAGTTTTTGAGCCTATTCATTACAACCAAACAAACAAACAAAGTTTTCCTCTTTATAAATTAGTGTAGAAGTGTAGATGTAGATTTCGCAAGGTCAAAACGAATTGTGTTTGCCATAGACAATTTCAGAGAATCAGAATTTTGTGCTATTCTTATGGCCTCCTAATTTAAATATTTTGTCGTTACTTTTCAAGCACAATCACAGCGGCCAGAGTTTCGCAACGATTATCGATTTGAGAAAGCGTTCAATGCCTTCTATAAAGTGCACTTTGTGCCCGAGCCCTGGGCGAAGGCCCGGATAAGATGCGAGGCCGAGGGCACGGAGCTCATGGTGCCAGAGAACTTGGATGAAGCCGATGCACTCCCGGTACTCATCATGGGTATATTAGATAAATTCCTAGGAGTCTACGTCGGTATGCATGATTTATATGCAGAAAGAGTTTTTGTAACAATTAACGGTGAGTTTATTAACCTNGGTTTTACCACAGAATAATAATAAGTACTATAGGTACTAAGCAACATTTTCATAATGGGCGTGTGCAGCTCTCGTATCTATTCGGTGCCTTATCTACTTTTATCTCAAATAACAACGCAAGCCCCTGACAACATCAAAATAATCGAGAAATGATGAGATACCAAGTTACATAATTTTTCTAGCTGCGTTATATCGTAAACGGTCCTTCGAGCCGGACTCTCGGCAGCGTACAGGCCTCTACTAACTCGCAGATTGATCACGATGTAAAGAAGGGTAGGTATGTACCTATTTATCAATCTTGGCGTAATTTTTAGGTAACGTAATGTTACACTCTATTCTCAACCTACTATGGGAGCAGAAAGAACCCGAGTTCAAAGGTGGGCGTTGCGTGGCCATGCGGCGCTCCGGTCGTTTGTTCGTGCACCCCTGCGAGATGCCTTTACCATTTGTATGCAAAGTTAGTGCTCAGAGAATCGTGCCGAAGCCAGAATGCAACAGTTATAATTTAAGTAAGTTAACTTTGATTTTAAACTGTTAGGTAACTAACAGCAATATCGATTTAATTGGTACAAACTGCCTATTTTTAGCTCTGCTATTGAATCACTGTCATTGCTATAATTAAGTAGGTATCTTCAGCAATATGCTCATGATGTCAGAACCATACCATCATCAGCAATGTTTTTATTGGACAGTGCGGTATTAATAATAGGATATGAAAGTTTTGTAGTAGGTAAACAAACACGCGAATATCTATTAATAGAAACGTTATGTCAACCAGCGGGAAAACTCGCGTAAAAATTGATGATGGTGGCTATAATAGGTCATTTATAATTTTATTATCTTAAATACACTACCATGCCATGCATATTGATTTTGTAGATTGGACGAAAGGTCCCAACGAGACTTGCTATATGGCCCACATCGAGCCTCAGAATTGGTTCGATGCGTACTCGACCTGCCTTGCTGGCGGCGGAAACTTGGTGGTCCTCAATGATCGCGAGGAGGCCGAGTACATCAAGCAACTCTTCAAGGAGATCGGCGAGAGGCGGATGCCAAACAACGACATCGCCTTCCTTGGCTTCAGTGACCTCTTCCAGCAGCATCACTATAGAACTGTGCACGGTAGTCTTTTAAATAACCGCTAGTAGTTAAAATGCTTATTTTTAGGGCGTGGCCGGTCTATTTAGTATGTATCAACATACGTTCGTAAAATGTTTACCACAGTCGGACCGTAGAATCTATTTTGATTCCAATGAATATTAATTACCTACTCGTCTTTACTGCTTATCATAGAAATGTTCTAGGTAAAACCAGTGTTCAAATCTCGTAGAATTTGTCTTATTACTAAAACAAATACCTACCTACTAAGTACCTACCTAAAAATAATTTAATCTCTAGCTCTGCAATCCTGTAACTCTTCATTTTACTCGATCATATATTTTATAGGCGAACGCGTTCAAGACACTGGCTACTCAGACTGGGATCTCAAGTGCAGTTCTAATAATGCTTCGGGAAGAGTAAAAGAGCAGCGCTGTGGCAGCGTCCGACGCAGCGGGCTCCTCACTGTCAGCGACTGTAACACTCCTGCCATGTTCTTCTGCGAGAAACGAGCTAATCACCCAAGTAGGCTAGCACGAGCAGTTAGTAAACATCCATAAAAAACAAACATTCTTTGAGTTTCCTATTAACTGACCTTGCGAGGTTTGCGAAACCTGTTTAGGCCGTACCAAAATATCACTTTCCCTTTTGACGGTGTTTGGGTAACGTGACACATTGAGATGAGAGTGGTCAAGTTCGTGAATACGCTAACAAACTTGGGTAACGAAAATAAAAAAGTCGTTACTATTTTACAATTTATTATTTAAATGTGTCTTAAATAAATTAAATATTTGCTCAACTAAGTAAGTAATCTACTGCGTTACATACTAACATTAAGTGGTTCACGGAGGAAGAAATCGTATAAAGTCGGTACTTAACTAGACTTAACATTGATTCATTTCGTACGAAAAGGGTCATACGAATGTAAATCTAACGTTTTGATCGTCCAATCCCAAAACTTGGCAGCGAACTCGTCATCCCGGCATTGTTTCGACGGCGTAGTCACAGCGCATTCACTGCACACAGAATAATTACACATAATAACAATAACTTAATTAACTCACTGCCATAGCTGGGCATTAACTCGTTAATCCGTTAATCGTTAATTAACGAAGTTAACATTTCTATTAACGGATTAACTTTTAAGTTAACTTTAAAAAATGTTAACGGACTCGTTAACTTCCGTTAAATAATCCTAAGTCCGTTAATCGTTAATCCAGTACTTACCTACTATTTACCAAGAAGATACAACAGGCACGCTGAAAAACACTATAAAAACGCGTTCTAACAAGTACGTTCGGGCTTCCAGAACTTTCTGAACCCAAAACAACAGTAACCAGAAAGAAACGATATAAAAAATGTATTTTTATTTATTTATTTACAAGCTTATACAGGGTGGAATTTTGTAATGCCACCTGGAGGGAAAGTACTTTTAATACTACAAACAGAAATCTTTACTGAAATAAAACATTCCTTTATTTTTGAAAAGAAAGAGAACTGCCTTCATCGGTTTTCGACATTTTTTCGAAAATTCATTACCTTATCATACAATAGGCTAGTTTCCTAAAAAAATTTTTTTAGTGCGTCAATTTTAATATCTGGGGGCACGGCACTGCCCCCACCAAGTCGAGCAAAAAAGCGGCACGGCCGTACCATCCTTTTCTCGAAGCAATTCAGGCCATTTTAGACCGCCTGTAACTTCGTTGTGGATAAATTAGAAGGCTGAATTTTCATTAGCTATGCAGGCATTGTAAAGACACGGTATATTTAAAATTTCATTCAATTTGATAATGCATAAGACTTCGTTCAGGTGGTCCTGGGTTCAAATCCAAAAGTAGAAAAGAAAAACTATACCGACTTATAAAGTGACATCAGATCAGATTGGAAACGATTATTTACGAACAACTTACACTCTTACCTACCTATAATAAAGTCCACTTTCTGCTGCACATGCTTCGTCTACAGCGCAGTAGATGGAGGTCTGGGCGCCACACTTGACGGACTTGCCGAACAGCCGCATGATGGCGGCGAATAACCACGACGTCCCCCACATGTAAGATTCACTGAAGTGTCGTCCGATCTCTGTGCTGATCACGCCCGGGTGCAGGCTGTATGTCGTTACGTTGGATATGTTGCGTTTCTACAAATAAATTATAACACCTTATGTACTTACTTACCTACTCCTAAGACGAGGCGCAGACCACCGATTTTTCGTCGGCCGATGGTTTAGTCGGGCAGTTAATCAGTATGGGCATGTATGGAAGTGCGCATAAAAAAAGTCGGTGGTCTGCGCCTAGACTAAAGGTCTTGAGAATCAATAGTGGAAGAAGAAAGGGCGCAGCTACGATAAAAATTGCAAGATAGAAGTAGACAACATAAGCTCAATAAGTAGTCATATTTAACAGGAATGCAAACTTAACTATTTAACAGCAAAATCTTAGCGTGCATCAGCTACTTTTTGGCTTGACGAATCTTTAATGCTGGTTGGAATATACCTTTAATTCCATTGCCAGGGCCTTGGAAAATAAGACATTTGCTGCTTTACTTCTGCAGTACGCTGTGTATGGGTCGTAACGTGTCTTTTCAAAATTCATATCTTCCAAGTCAACCAAGTGTTCTGAAAATATCAATGTATGTATAGTCAGCGTCAAATAGTTCGTGGCACCGAAGTAGTAAAAAAGGTGTCACAAACTTTTTGAAGCCGACTGTACCTACTTAACCCTTAAAAGTTACTAAGTTACCTAGATATTTACAAGTAATTTTCTTGAATTAAATTAGGTAGGAAAGTAAAATTGCAATGACTTCAATTTGATTGCTTACTTACTCGCATGTAGATACGACGAAACGAACACGATCCTTGAAGCATCGTTCTCTTTTAACCTCGGCAGCAATAGCAAAGTAAGCAAAGCATGGCCCAGATGGTTGGTGCCAATGTGTGTCTCATGTCCATCTTCCGTTTTCCCCTCAAGACACATCATGACGCCAGCATTGTTCACTAAGATGTCAATGCGGTTTTCGCTGGCTGATATGCGATCGGCAAACTCTCTGACTGACTTCAAACTGGATAGGTCTAGTTTTTCGACTACCAACACCCCTTTCTTGTCTGTGCTTGCAGCATGTTCTATTAGATCCTTAGCTATGTTAGCTTTGTTTACGTCTCTACACGCCATGATGACTCGAGCACCTGTAACAAACGCATACCGACTGATTACTGAGATAACACCTGTTATTAACATAAATAGTTAATCCTTTATCCATCTTTATCTTGTAACTAAATATTTTAATACTAAATTAAAATGAAGGCCAAAAGTAAGTAGGTAGGTATTTTGCTTATGATGAAAACTTAAGTTTCACCTTTTACGTAAAGAGAGAGCGAAGTCTTCAAGGTTCTTCGGTATTTGTGTATTACTTATTATTACAATATTTTGTTGTTCTGCGTTTATGCAGTCTTTTACCTTTTCTTTATTGAAATCTATTGATTTCCAATGTTAATAAATTCATTTATACATTATTTATAAATTCATAATAAATCATGTACCTCTCTTGTAAAGATCTGCTACAGTCTCCTTGCCTATGCCAGTGTTGCAGCCCGTGACGACCGCCGTCAGTCCATCGAGCCTCCGGGAACTGCGGCACCACCCGCTTAGGTAATCCATTTTGTATTAAACTGTAACTCGTAAAACGAAAGTTAATAGTTGACTTGTTAAATTAATATTTTTAGATAGGTAGGTCAAAGGAGCTCTGGATAGCTCTTGGTGATTTAAAAAGCTTGATCTATTTGGGTACCCGAACTTAATGTTCTTAAATCGTGCGTGCGTTAACAACAGCTAATAAAACTTCGATACATTAACGGAACCTTGTTAATTAGAATAAATAGCTAGTAACACTAGTGGCTACACTTTTAACTTGAGGTTCCCTAATATCAAAATGATATCTGTCAGGCCTAAATTAGTGTGAATTATTATCGCAAATACAGTGGCAGATAATTAGCGATATTAGCGAATACTTACAAGTGGGCCTCGACCGCTGCGAGGCGTGCGACCTGTTAGCCTGTTACACTAGACTGGCCGTTCTCACGTAACGAATGACGTGACCAAAGGCCACGCCGGACTATGAAACTTTAGCCTCTACAATCTACAATGGTAGCATAGTGGTGCGTGTATGTTATAATAGGTAATTTAAACTCGACAATGCGTAACTGCAATAGACTGGTGTTAAAATAATAAACACCCTGTATCATTATCGGTATACCTTACCTACCTGAATAGTACGACAAGTATTATAATGTAACTTGTGTAGAATGAAACTAACATTTAAAATAAAATATTTTTTTATTTAAAAAGTAATAAATAAATATTAAGCTTATAAATTATAATAAAGTATTTTACATCTCATAAGTGTCATTTTCACATTCTTATTTTTAATTCATAGTAAATAATAATACTAACATTAAAGCTGTCGTGATAAAATCGTAAATATGCAGTAGTGTAAATATAATATAAAGGCCTATTTATAACTTAAAAAACAAACCACCACCGATATTACCTCTCTTACATTATCAGAAAACAACTTGTGTGATCAGATTAGAGTGGTTAAAAAAACATTAACATTTAATTGCTATGATGTGCTTAACCCGAAACTTTCTCTAATATTGTAACGTAAGTAACAAAGTAATCGTAATAAAGTGCCACAGGTATGGCAGAAAGCGGGAGTGGGTTGGGAGAGCATCACTGGCGATCGCGATATGAACATAAATTATATTGTGACATGAATTCTACTACCACCAGTTATAGGCTTACTATAACTGGTGGTAGTAGAATTCATGTCACAAGATGATCAAATATTTTTCTCTATACCAGTTAAAGGGTTAATTGACCCGCCGCCGCACACCCGCTTCTGCTTTCAATCACAGTTTAACTTTCCCCTGGGACAAACTTGACCTTCATTGGTTGGGTTTTTATGGCAGTCAAGCTGTAGATCCTGGCTACACAGGAGTCGCAGTGGTAGGAACGAGAGGTGGGAATAGTCCTGTTGCTTTCAATCATCAATTACTTCATAACATTTGTGCTGAAGAATAAAATTTTTCATTTGTCATAGAGATAAATCACGATTACACTTGCATAAGTGATGACGCTCTTCTTTTGCATAAGAGTATATTTTTATTTTTTCAAGCCAGGGTCTTGGGCAGTGAAAGGGTTGAAGTCTCCAAGTCCCACCAGGTCAACTGAGAGGTCCCATAGTTTTTTGGCGTGTTCATCATTCAACCCACTTTTTGACGGTTTTGTGACGACGCAATCACTGCAACATTAAAAAAAACTAATCAAACACATGTATCAAAATTATTTATATTAACTTACTCATCTATTACTATCATAAATCATAGTTTAACCATAAATAATGAACTATCTACCTGTAATAGAGTCCAGTTTCATCTGCACATTTCTCATCAACAGCACAATAGATGGTAGTCTGTGCCCCCAGCTCTGGAGTCTTCATAAATGGACGTAAAACAGTTCCAATGATAACCTGGGCACCCCAAAATAGGCTTTCATTTAAGTGACGACCTAACTCAGTTTTGATCACTCCAGGATGTAAGCAGTATGTGTGGATTCCATCTATATTATGCTCCTAGAAAAATAATGCAATTAAGAATATTTGACACAAGTAAATAAATAGTCATCGCTAAGAAAAATCTTAACAATAACATAAATTCACCTTCAATTTAGTAGCCAACTCCCTTGAAAATAATACATTTGCAAGCTTGCTTTGGCTGTATGCCTCTGCAGGACTGTAGGATCTATTCTTGTAATTGGGGTCTTCTAAATTTATCCCATACCCTAAAAAAATAAAAACACCAATTTACATACAATCTCAAATACATAGTTTGCAATTTGCATGAGGTAAAGTCAGAACATGCCACCAGCATATTGAAAAAAAGGTATACATTTTCTCTAAGCTAAACACTGCCCAATGTCTTAAAGTAGAATAAATGACTAAAGATAAATGTTTTAATGGGCTTCAAATTTATGTAAAATGATTATAAATTTTCTTACGTGTATGAGCTTTAGATGAGACGGTTACGATTCGTGCTGGTGTGCTATTTCTAATTCTGGGCAGCAGCATCATTGTCAGAAGAAAATGTGCCAGGTGATTAGTGCCAAACTGGATTTCAAAACCATCTTCTGTTTCACCTTTGGGACACATCATGACACCAGCATTGTTAACTAAAATGTTAATCTGTGGTTCTGTATCCAAGATTTCCTGGGCACACTCTCGGACAGACTTCAAAGATGACAGATCACATTTCATAATCACCAGTTTACCAGTATCAGAAAGATTATTGCAAGCTTTTTCTATGTATGTTTTTGCCTCTTCTGCTCTCTCTAGGCTGCGACAAGCCATTATTACTTTAGCACCTAGAAAGACAATAATAAATCAAAAGCGCTGACATAAATAATTTAATACTTGCTTCATACTTTTAAGCTATAGCTTGAATTATTACATAAACAGGCATTTTTACCTCTTTTGTAAAATTCCAGGGCAGTCTCTTTTCCTATCCCTGTGTTACATCCAGTCACTATTGCAGTTTTGCCAATCAATTTGGCCCCACTCAAACAACGTCCACTGAAGAAAGGCATATTTTCTTTTCTTTTATTTTAATCACTGAAAATATTAAAAAAACATGCAATTAAATAAAAATATGGACATCAAGGACCAATTAATCAAATTAAGTTCTAGGTACATAATAATACAATATAAATGCCTAAAATATTTTACTTTTAATCGTATTATGAGAAAAATTTGTGTTATTGGAAATATTATGAGTTAATGGAAAGATTTTACGGAATTAATAGAACGGATATTCAATATATAATTTGTGCGAGTATGGTAAAATACTTACGGGAAGGCACAAAAATTAATCGATCGGATAGCCGAAACTTAAAGAAATTTATTCAAGAAATGTGAAACAAAACCAACTACTATGCCGTGATAACCTCAAAAAAAGTTTTTGACACATCAACAAGTCAATAACCTTTTTTTTTCGGTTCGATCTTCCTTTTCTGAAAAAAAGGCAAAGACATACTGGCAAGTCGCCAACCCATATTATCAAGAGCAGTGTCTTCCATTTGCCAAGCTATAGCGCAGGCGGCACCGGGGACCTTAGAGAATAAAACTGACCTTAGCAAATCAATTTTCTTACTAGCCGGGGACAGTAAGAAAATTTATTTGCTATTTTGAAAATAAATAAAATAATAAATCAGATCCGACTAGAATGTTACCCTAGCGGTATCAGTTTTCTTCAATAGTTACTGTAGAAATGGCTGAAGGTTCTAATTATTAAACTGAATAGGGCTCTAATTATTTGCCAGGTGATTTTTGAAACAAAGGAATATAAAAAGATATCAATTTGCTGGGGTAACGCACTGATTGAGCAGATACTTGATATCTCCAAGCTGTTACTTTGATCAATTTTAAAAACAAACTTGACTATGCTGCCTTTGACATTAATGACATTGACAGTACTATTTTAGTCTTTGTTCGCGTTTTCGCGATCGTAATTTATCACAGAAGAGTGTTAAATTATTGGCTTTGTATTAATTTTTAAAGTGTTAAAATTAATCTCTCCTTAAGCTTAAAGTCCAAGTAGTTTAAATTTATTTAGTTTTCAATTGTTTCTCTAAAATCTACTTGGATACTGGTATCGGAAACTGTAATCGATGGTACGTACTACGTTCCTTAGAGTTTTCCATAAATAATGAATAAAGTTGGCTCAAAACTCATAATGGCTTTGAAATTAGCTTTCCATGGAGTACGATAACGACGACCACACGTGGCGGAGGCCTTCGACGCCGAAGGTGAGCCAGTCGCGATGCCAGCCCATCCCGAAGCGGTCGACGACGGTGGCGGTGGTGGTGCTTGGGCTGGCGGTGCTGAGCTGCCTGCTGGGCTACTGCGTGCTCAGCGAGACCCTCCCGTACGAGTCCAAAACACTGCGGCTTGTCGTCATTGTGAGTTCTGCTACTTTACACACAGAAAAATTTAATAATAGCGTTCTTGAATCCTTGGAAACAAGTTTGTAACTTGTTTAGATACGATTAATTTGCATATACAGTATTTAAATAATGTAATATTTATGTAACAACACCTTCAAGTTCCGAATTTTGCTCCCCAAATATAATTAAACTGTTCTGTATTTTTAATTTCCAGTTATTTCGTCATGGTGCAAGAAATCCTACTCACACATACAAAAGTGATCCATTTAAAAATTACCAATGGCCTGATGGACTTGGCGGCCTAACTAATGTGAGTTTGTGTTCTAATTTAAGTACAGTTCTGAACTACAATAATAGCAATCACTCAAGACTTAAAATCACTTCTTTATTTTTCAGATTGGCAAATTGCAATTGTATGAGCTTGGAAAAAAATATCGGAATTATTATGCAAACTTTTTGAATGAGGAGTACTATGAAAAGGAAGTGTATGTCCGTAGCAGTGACGTGTCACGGTGTATGATGAGCGCATACACTTTTCTTGCTGGATTGTACCCACCGACAGAACGACAGATGTGGCATCCTGAGTTGCCATGGCAGCCTATTCCTGTTCATTCACTACCTCGTGAGCTTGATAATGTAAGATATTAAAAATAATGAAAGCTAAACATAAAATACAATAAAACTTTAAACATGTTAACTAGAAGTAAAAGCTAAACTTCTTTATTTAGAAATAATAAATTGCAAAATTCATATAACATTGTTTACTATGTTCTAGATAGTAGCAGGCACCAAGAAATGCAAGGCCTGGAAAGCCATGTATAAAGAGTTGATGGCAGAAAAGAGTGCTGACCCAAAATTCACTGAGCTATTTGATCATCTGAGCAAACATACAAACCAATCTGTACATGAAATTGTAGAAGTGGATTTCCTTTATAGTACACTTCTAACACAGCAAGAAGCAGGCTTGAAAATACCTGAATGGACCAGAAATGTTTTTCCAAACAAAATGCGAATGCCGTTTATGCTCAGCCTAGCACTGTTATCTTACAATGAAACATTGCAACGTGTTCAAGTTGGTATGCATAACTTTTTATGCTCTACATTTTTTAACTTCCCCAATATTCTTTTGTATTCAGGTTTTATCACATCATGATCATCTAAACATCTTAAACTTGGTATTTATGGGACACCATGTTGAAATTTTTTGTATATTTTTTTCATATCATATCAAAATNTGTATATGTGTTTTGTGTTTCATTTAATGTTTTAGTGTCAGCATAATTTATTTTATTATTTTTAATTTGCATTTCCAACTCAATATGATATTCTGTGGAAATCTGTAATTAGCTGTAAGTTTTATTCAATACTAATGTATAATATTACCATAATGTATCGCCTTTGATTTCCCAAATAAATAAAATAAAATAAATCGGTTCAGTGGTTTTGGCGTGAAAGAGAGACAGACAGACAGACAGAGTTACTTTCGCATTTATAATATTAGTATACATAGATTATAGCTCTGCAAGCAAGTAGCTAACAGTTAAATAAAAAAACTAAAATTAGTTTTAATTCCAACATTTTCTTCCCCAGGACCGCTGCTGGGTGAAATAAAGCGGTCATTCTCCGATTGCGTGACGCACACCAACGTGGACCGCTCGCTGTTTGTGGTGTCTGCGCATGACGTCACGGTGGTGTCGCTGTGGCGCGCGCTCGGCCGCCGCGAGCTGCTCGAGCCCGAGTACGGCGCCAGCATCGTGCTGGAGCTCCACGAGGAGGTCGAGGTCAAGTCCACGTTCTTTGTGAAGGTTGGTGTTACGTCGGATGCTGTTTATAAAGTCTGGTCGCCGAGCACATAGAATTTCAGCCAATGACCCCAAGCTACCCATCCTTATCGCTCGCGCGTAATTATATTGCTGTCGCGCTCGCACACTCACTGCAGCCGCTCGTCGCACAGTTGCGACAGCAATATACTTACGCGCGACTTTAGCACTGCAAACCACACTATACATTGACCGTTCGTTGTCGTGGTGATGATGCACAGTGGTGGCGCTTTGTTTACGGAGCCAGCATCATGCTGGAGGCTAGACGTCAGTCAAGGTACCTAGTTAGTGAACATGTGAATCAATTTGTTTAAAATGTCATTGGCGTCATTGTTTTGGTTTGAAACATAAATTTTACCTAAAAAGTATGAAAATTATTATTAATCCAACATTTATTTCTGTTAATTACAGGCATTCTACAGGAATAATACCAAAGTTGAAGTACCCACGGAATTGAAGTTACCTTTTTGTGATGACCCCTGCCCTTATGATAAATTCGTGGAGCACCTTGATAAGCTCATTCCTGAAGATTGGGAGGCAGAGTGTCAAAACATTGTGCCCTGAAGAGATGCCAGGAGATTTTTGTCAACATACTAAGGTATGGAGTTTGAAGGTTGTCTAAAATATTCAGTGGGTACATGATATTGTTCATTTAAATTTCCAGGATACAATTGCATAATCTTAATTGTTGATTTAACCAGGAATGGGTGTCATGTACCCCAACTAAATGTTATGTCGCGATAAGTTCTGCGTCATGAAGAAAGTGAGTTTCAATATCATAAGCACAACTTAACAACACACAAAAAAGAGGAAAAGGATTGTAAGAACTTTTAAGCATGCAGAATTTTTTGGAGAGATTAAGATCACAAACACTATAAGTATTTACTTGAGGAGTAGGATTAATTTTAAACAACAAACGTCGCTTGTAACTGTTATCTGCAGCAGTCCTAAAATAATAAAATAGAAATCCTACTGAGAATGGTGCCCAAGTGTTTATTTACAATCTCAATTTGTGCATAAAATTGAATGTAGTTTTGTCATAAACCATAATCCTCATATTTATTTGTTTGCAAAAATTATACATACACAATGTATGTATAACCAGAATTACATATACGTAATGAAAACCAACAGATACGTAAACTGTTTTTATAAAAGTGTTTTTACAATTTGCCAGTGCTCAAATCTTTAATCACCAAAATTAAACAAATGTGCCATTGTGAGTCGTCCACTCATAAAACATTTTAAAATTATTAAAAGATATTTTATTTGTGACGAATATTTAATTAGGAGTTATGAAGTTGTTAATTAATATTGATGTAAGAATTTTATGGCATTTTAATAAATATGTCGTAGTCGTAACCGTGCACATTATGTATATTGAATCAAGAGTTACAGAATATTATTTTTTTAATGAAGATAATTAGGATAGTATATTGATTGATGTTATAAAAGATGTTGTACTGTTGAACTGTTTAGCAAATTAATATACATTTTATAGTCATTGTGCTTATTTATAATAGAGTCAAGAAGTTCAATGTTGAAGTTTTAAAAAATGCATTCTGTATTTTAGGCACATTTAAAAAAAATTGCAAGAATTTTAACAATGAAGTTTTAAAAAATGCATTCTATATGTTGGGTAGTTTGTGGCAAAATGAAAATGATTTAGTACAACAATAAGAAGGCCAGAATTTTGTGTATGCTAGTAACAACATAATGTTGTTTTAAAATATTACTGTTATGTGCTAGATTAACAATGCAGCTTATGTGTATGTGATACCAGTATAAAGTTAGAAATATATTTAATTATTAAGTCGATGTGTAGGCTTCCTAATCTCTCCTATCTATAGTGAATTAATGTTATGACCGGGCTATGTCCAGCTCAAGTTTGTCACTGAAACTTAGGAATTTTGAGGTTGAAATATGTACACACCTTTTTCAAAGTCAATACATGAATGCATCATAATGCCCCAGAGTTGTTACCTTATGAGTAATTATACGTTTTTTGTAATGAAATATCTACTATTATAACTTAATGTAATTGAAAGAGATTGTTCAGTGTTTCTGGATACTTACAGAACAGTTGCTTTTACCAGCAAGTGCTATATTTTTTCATGATATTTCATAATGGTGCATTCACAAATCTAAGATTGTACATATTAGGGTCATAGTTACCTGTCAGGAGAACCATTTACAGATGTGTGGGGTGTAAAATGATTCATATTACACTGTGCAGCTAAGAATATTAACAGTACTATGAAAATGTGATCTGTGTTATAATATACAGTTATTAGAGCAGAACTACATTTTTGTATTTGTACTACCTGCGATCTTCTAACTGCCACATAGAGAACTGATTCATAGACACCACACATCTCTAGGTCTATGTTCGTGTCTACAATTCACATGAGTTTTTAGAGGTAATGTGTGTCATTTGCCCAGTGCTTAGTACCAATGGACACAAGTGCTTCACCATCTTTTATAAAATTTAATAGAATCTATATTGAATGTCTTGAGCTTTCGTGTGTCTATAAATGTAATCGAATATTCATTGTACCTTATACCGAATTTAAGAGGATGTTCTTAATTTATATAATTTAGATAAAACCATTCCACTGTTATAGACTGAAATAAAGAATCACTGCATACTTTTAAGTTACCATAACCAATTTAATGTTAGGATAGGGTTTTAATTGAAATGTTGTTGTTTTGTACTGTGTACTGTAAACTGTGTTAATAAAAATATATTTTATAGCCTGACCAGGAACATAAAAACCCTGGCATAGAGGCGCGTCAATTGCATTTGATAGTGCAACACTGAGTACAGTCGTACCTGTGTTAAATTAATAGGCTAACTTTATGTATCAGGATTCAGGATTACGGGCTAATTTGACATTTTCATGAATTAACGATAAAATATTATTANATGTCTAAAATTACTCTTATTTTTTATATCATGCTGAATACGAATTATTACCTATTAGAGGATTTTTTTACTGTCTGAATCTATATTTTAAAAAGCATTCAATTTGGTAGGTAAGGTAATACCCTATTCACTTTAACGATGTCGGTAACCAACGATATTATCGTTGTTAGTTCACTATGAAATTAAAAAATGAGTCATATTATATTGATTTAATAAAAAAGGTAAATATTAGACATTTGTATAACTATGGTAACTTAAAACTAAGTTGGACGGCACAAATAAAGCTCGCATAAATATTTATAAAATAGCTTGACGATGACGACGCGACGGTGGTTTAAATGACAATAAGTATAAATATAACACCCAAAAACGGATGCGACAGTCTTAGTTATTTTAAGAAGAATTACTCTTCGTTGTGCATTTCATTTGCATTCTTTAAAATAGTGACTACTGACTGGTCCCTAAGTAAAACATGATAAATTTTTGTTCTAAAATTACAACACATAAAAACCTAATGCTAATACATGTACTATACATGATATGTACTTAAAATTTAAAGCTAAATAAATAATAACTAAATAAGTATAGCTCATTGTAAAAGTGCATCAAGAAATCAAGACATCAAAAACAATACTTGTCAAAAAAACCAATTCTCGCAACTCAGTTGTTCTACGGTAAAAAGTTGTGAGATCCATGTAATACCAAGTCCAGGCCAGGAAATCGTTAACGTTTTACATAAATATATTGACTTGGCCATCGCACTAAATAATTTAATTTACACGTGTTTTCATGCGATGGCCAAGTCAATAATTTATGTAAAACGTTAAAGATTTCCTGGCCTGGACTTGGTATTACATGGATCTCACAACTTTTTACCGTAGAACAACTGAGTTGCGAGACTTGGTTTTTTTGACAAGTATTGTTTTTGATGGGATCTCATTTCTTTTTGTATTTTGTAGACAGCAGTTATGTATCTAGAAAACTGGACCGAAATTGAAAAATTTTACTCGACTTTGCGGTTGCACTGCCGTGCCCCCAAATATTTTCGTTTTTCCTTGATTGATACACCAAACACTACTTATATTCCAAAGGACATCATCCATTTTGGTCCAAAATCAAAAGTGCCAGCCAAAAAATAAAAGTGCTGTATTCTGATAGAATACGTCCGCCTTAGCATTTATTACTATGGCACCAAAGCTGTAGCACCACTGTGCATCGTAGTATTTGAGTTCTAAAAATATATGAAACGACTGACTTTGATCTAAGTAAAAAGTGCTACAGCTTTGGTGCCATAGTAACAAATGCTAAGGCGGACGTATTCTGTCAGAATAAAGCACTTTTTTTATATTGGCCGACACTTTTGATTTTGAACAAAAAATGTATGAATAGTCGATGACTTTTAGATCTCAAATACTCGACGCACAGTGGAGCTACGGCTTTGGTGCCATAGTAACAAATGCTAAGGCAGACGTATTCTGTCAGAATACAGCACTTTTTTTTGTTGGCCGGCACTTTTGATTTTGGACCAAAAATATATGAAACGTGGATGATGTCCTTTGAAGCTTCTAGATCTGCTAGAAGTGCCTTAGAATTTTGATGATCGGTGAGTCAGTCAGTGAGTGACAAAATTAAGAAACTTTGACCCGTTATAATTCTTAAACTACTGGTTCAAATTGAATGAAATTTGAAATATACCGTGTCTTTACAATGCCTGCATGGTTACTGAAAATTCAGTCTTCTAGTTTAATCCACAACGAAGTTACAGGGGGTCGAAAATGGCCTGAATTGCTTCGAGAAAAGGATGGTACGGCCGTGCCGCTTTTTTGCTCGACTTGGTGGGGATAATAAGTAAAACATGATAAATTTTTGTTCTAAAATTACGACACATAAAAACCTATATGCTAATGCATGTACTATACATGATATGTACTTAAAAATTTAAAGCTAAATAAATAATAACTAAATAAGTATAGCTCATTGTAAAAGTGCATCAAGAAATCAAGATATAATAATTTCCTAGGATTACTATCATGTAATACCTACATTATCTCTTAAACTAACATTATTCTTACTCAAGAAATGTTTTCTGTTTTACCTATACATCTGAAATAATGAATGATAGTTACTAATTGCCACAACATGTTAAAACATCCCTTTCTTTGTAAGCCCTCCGAGCCGTATAGATAGCTACCAATAACCACAGCGCAACAGCACACCACGACATGACCAGTGCCAACTGCAACGATACACCAGTATTTATGAAGTCACCACGGCGACTGTTAGGTGCATCCTTTTGTAAGTAATCCATAAAGTCGAAAATGGCTTGGCAGGACAGTCGAAAGTGGATCACTGACACATGGTCCCCAGTGGCCCGAAGTTCCTGGAATCACAATGCATACTAATATTGTAACTGCCTGTGTTGAATTAGTGTAGGTGTAAGGTTATTACTTAAATTGAGTATGTATTGCATTTTAAGATGATTAGGTAATGTTACTTTCAGTTAGTTTCATAAAATATAATTTTTACCAATGATTGAAGACAATACTAAAATCTAAGAAGAATTTATAATGTACTGACCCTTGCAATATATCCTCTATATTGTGTACAAGTCCTCATGAAGCCAGCAGTTATAAATGAAGCATGCCCCAAGTTGTAAATAAAGAAGATGGCAGCAATACAAGAGGTTGGTATCCAGCAATATATCACTGCGTCATTGTGGTGGCTTATCCTAGCCCTGGATGTTGCTACTATGGACTCTCCTTCACTAGAATGACAATAATAAATTGGTCATCAATTGTTAAAACTTTATTTATGTAAGATGTAAGAAAATTTTCTCTGTGATATTTTACTTACATTTCTTCCACAGTAGTTGATTTCTCATCCTCATACATGCCCACATTATTAATGCAAACTCTATACATGTGGAATAGAGCCATTATTATAGCATACACAATGATGGGCAAGGGAGCAAATATTGCATACAAGCAAGAGGATGAATGGCCCCCATTGAAATATTGTGAAGTGCTCACACCAAATAAGATGCAACCACAATTATTATTCTCTAGTGCTATCGACGGGCATGTGTCTAACGTAATTCGCCAGTGGTTGTAGGGAATCGCCAGGCATACTACTGACACCGTTAAAAATAAGGCCAATAGGCCATACAACCAGGTCAGCCTTCGTTCTGTTGCATATTGGTTCATGTTGAATACCTGAAAATAAAGATTGATTAGGACTCTGCTGATTCATTGTTATCTCTAATCAGTTTGATAAGGTTTAATATTCTGCTGTACTCACCACGTACTTTTCAGAGAAATGTTAAATGAAAATGTGTAAAAATATACGCATGTAAATTGAAAAGATAAAAAGGTATTACTTGATTCGTAAAAAATCGAGTAAAACTTTAAGATAAAACAAATTACATTAATTTTCTCGTCTTGCTTGTGTTCGGTGATTTTGTTTGTACTTTTTTTTGACAATCAATTAGAAAGTTCTATTTGACCGACTGTCAGTGTAGTCAATTTTAAGAATTTCAGTTCAACCTCTAATCCATATCTGTGAGTTCAACATACCATACGACTGACAGAAGTTAAAATAGCAGTCGAACCAAAAGTAGACGGAAAAAATTTTTGCGAACCAAAGTAAAAGTGTAAAATTGAATTATTTCTTTTGTGAACTACAAAAATGAAATTTAATAGTAACACCAAAATAGTGGGCACAAATGTGCTACTAGTTCCGTATGAAAAACACCATGTACCAAAGTAAATTCATAGATTCAATTATTAATAGGTTGGCCAATTTTAATTAACCACATAAAATACATTTTATCCATTTGATTTTATAGATATCACACTTGGATGACTAATAAGGAGCTCCAAAAACTTACCGCTTCTGAACCTCTAACACTTGAACAGGAATATGAGATGCAAAAATCATGGCGAGAAGATGATGATAGTAATGTTTCATAAAACTTCTATGCTTAATTTTTGTCGCATAAGACGGTTATTGCTCTTTCTAACTTTCGAAATAACTTGAAAATTGTATAAATTAATATATCTATTTCTTTCTTCCAGAGTGTACTTTTATAGTTTTGCATCGGGAGAAATTTAACGAAACTAATGATGAAGTAGGTTAGTTATAAAAAACTTTGTTGCTTTAAAATTTTTCGCTAAGGTAAAAAGAGCTAGCATTTTATCAATATCAGTCTTATATTTGTTTTTTATTTTTTTATAGAATCTATGATTGGAGATACAAATATATTTATAACAGACGAAGCTGAGGGAGTAGGTGAAATTGAAATTATGATTGCTGAAGATTGGGCTCGGCGACAGAAGCTAGGTTGGCAAACTGTAGTTTTAATGCTACTTTATGGAATACAACACATACACCTGAGCACTTTCGAAGCAAAAATTTCACTTTCTAATGAGATCAGTATACAAATGTTCAAGAAATTAGGCTTTGTCGAAAAATCAGTTAGTGACGTGTTTCAAGAAGTCACATTTGAGAAACCTGTTGATGATGACTGGAGAGCTTGGTTGCTAGCACAATGTGTATTTGAGATACAAGCATACCATTAAAATGTGATTTGACTGAATTTCTACAAGCTTGCAAGAACTCAATATCACCTGTTCAAAGTAAAAGAAAATGGAAGAAGTTTTCAGCTTTCTATTTTACAGTCCAAGAAGACCTAGACTACAATATGCTCTACAAGGTTAGACAGAAATAGCAATGATGTTCACAATATTAACTACTACGAGTCCTAACGTATAATTTTTGAATAAGATCTAATAAATATGCATTGTGGCTCGTAATATTCCAGTTTAACTTCTACACTACTGTATTATCTAAAGTAGGTGTAGCTTCGAGAGTAGGTAGTCACTGTTTGTTAGAGTAGTACATTGAAATAGTTCTAGATGCCCCCCAATCGCTTGATACTAGTTTGCTAACTCGCTTTGTAGTTATACAATAATTATGGACACCCAGTCTAATATAGAGAGTGGTAGGTACACTCAGCTTATCGATGCTTATCAATGTTTTAATGTTTTCGTGTAGCAATGTTACCAGCAGGGCTCCCCCTATCACAATTTCCTGTATTTGTTTGCCTCTCTCGATCTTGCTGGCATCTCATCTCGAATGACAAGGATCTGAAATTCTGACTAGAAGCCTGCAGAAACGCCTAGTGGCCTAGATATTACATGCTTTAAGACGTGTCATCAGGGCCGGATTAACCATCTCGGGGCCCCTAGGCACAGCTCGTTTCGGGCCCCCCTTTTTTTGAAATGAAATGCTTTTGCGCACCGTCACCACTGCCGGAGGACAGGGTGGTGTGTGGGACTCCCGGCGCCCTAAAAAGGGCGCCCTAAAAAGGGCGCTGCTCCGTCCTGAAAAGGACGGGGTATACCCCTAAAACCTCCGCGGCGTTCCGTCATATCGCCCAAGTCACCCCCAGTGTCGCGACTATCCAGCCGTAGCCTTAGACTTCCGCGACATCACCGGCGACAGCTCGCCTATACGGCGGACCCGCACCCCCGGCCTGCTGGCCTCCACCTGGGGGCTGAGCAGAACGGTCGTACAACCGCCTTCTCCACCCCCTTCTCCGCCTGCGGAGCGATGAGGCGAGAACATCGTACTGCCGCTCGCGCTCCGCTTCCTCCTTCTGAAGGATGACCTCTTTACAAAAGAAGGCGACCGCCATCCAACATCCTTCACTTCCCAGCATGGCGTTGACCAGGTTCGGAAGCGAAAGATCCCGGCCCACGACCGCAGTGACCGCAAGGGTGTGCTGCACCGTGTCATCCGCCGCGCCGCATTTGTGGTACAGCAGGGATTCCTCTCGCCCGATCCTATGCAGGTACGAACCGAAGCAGCCATGCCCGGTCAGCACCTGCGCCAGACGGAACGTGAGGAACCCATGCGGTCGTTCCAATCATTGGTCCAGAACAGGACCAATGCCGTCCAGAGTGCGGCGGCCAAACTGCGCGCGAGTCATGTCTTCCTTCTTTCTAGCTCCCAAGGAGGAGTACCAGCGAGGACGCACGCCGCAGCATGCCCTACCGTGCGGTAGGTCCTTGCGACTTTCTGCGCTATGGCCCGCTGGGGCCNTATATAACTGTAGCATTATGTTAGAGTAAATTTGTTTTATGACTGACTAGCTTTCCGCCCGCGGCTTCGCCCGCGTGGAATTTTGTCTGTCACAGAAAAACTTTATCGCGCGCGTCCCTGTTTCAAAAACCGGGATAAAAACTATCCTATGTTCTTTCCCGGGACTCAAACTATCTCTATGCCAAATTTCATCAAAATCGGTTGCGAGGTTTAAGCGGGAAAGCGTAACAGACAGACAGACAGACAGACAGAGTTACTTTCGCATTTATAATATTAGTTGGGATTTCCGAACTGTATTTGAAAAAAAAAACCACTTAATTGACATTGACATTAATGACATTAGTAGGTATTATTTGTCATCGAAAATCGTATTAGTTTTGGGAGCAAAGTTGTATTTATTTTTATTGAAATAAAATGTATAAAGTAGCATTTTATCTACTGTTCGTTATAACAAGGTGCATGAGTACAAGTGATATTGATGTAAAAACTGAAGAAGATGTAGGAGTAAAATATGCGAATAGATGCGAAGTCTGCAAGATTCTGGCTACGGAACTGCAGAGTCGGCTTGAGGAGACCGGTAAAGTCCACGAAGTACTCGAAATCGGATATTCACTGGATGATGTACAACCTAAGAAGAAAATGAAGTACCAAAAGTCGGAATTAAGACTCATAGAATCATTAGAAGGCGTTTGTAATAAAATTCTAGAGTACAACATCCACAAAGAGAGACAGGACAGCACTAGGTTTGCGAAAGGAATGAGTCAAACTTTTAAAACTTTGCATGGCTTAGTTGACAAAGGTGTAAAGGTAGATCTTGGTATACCCTTGGAATTGTGGGACAAACCATCAGCTGAAATCACCCAAATGAAATCTCAATGTGAAAGTCTTTTAGAGGAAAATGAAGATGCTATTGAGGACTGGTACTGGAACCATCAGGGTGATGTAGAGTTAAAAATTCACTTGTGCACCAAACATGCTCTGCAGGGCACTGACGACTCTTGTCTGTACGAGACTCTGAACGACAAAGACAAGGGCGAGCGTGCGGACAAGTCGGAACTATGAGAGTGAATGACAAATACTAGTTAAGATGAATAGACTGCAGTGATTTTATGCATTTATCATAAGTTTTTGTAAATGGAATATACATTATCAATATTTGAATAATATTGATTATTTAAATAAATAATGTTATTGGGTACAATGAAACCTCATCAAGTAACTCTTATTTATTTCTGACAATGTCTACCAATACCCAAGTAAATATGTAAATTTCTATTAAAACCATGTTAAATAACATAATTAGCTGATGACTAGGTTTATATTTTCAGTTTCCTACTTGATATATTTTTTGTCTTTTTATTAATATTCAATAGTGTAGTAATTTTAAGATTTTCTGTTAAAAGTACAAAAACTGTTAACAAGTATTTATAATGATGTGAAGTAGTTAATGTATCTTTCAATCTTCAATCAATAGTAATAGTAAAGAAATATTGCATTAGAACATTTGTCGTTTTATTTATTTTGTAGGGTAGGTATTTTATTATTCAGTAGGTCTAGGATGCGCGCTGCGATAAGCTTTTACCGCGACATTTTTCTATTTCACACGATAAGCTCATATACATTTTTGTCACCTAAAAACATTAATTTTTATCACGGCGCGCATCCTAGCCCCGATATCACTGTCGTAGTGGCTTTCATCTCGGCGGTCGAGCGCTTGAGAAATCTTTGAATGCTGTATCGCTCTTGCTAATATAAAAATCACTGATGAAATAAAACACATTTTGTACGTAAATAATAAGCACCTTTTTAATCAACTGTCAAAAGTATTATAGACATAATATCTATGCAACAGTTAACTGCACCTCTAATATCTTACATTTGTTGTATAACACGGTGCTAACAAAATTGCAGACAATCTGCAAACATTAATTTCACAGACAAAGATTACTTAAAAACATAAATAATGCATTATAAATTAAAACTAATAGGATTAAATACATTCACGCAATTGTACTCAACCAGCACTCATTCAAATTTTTAAAATGAAACTACATACAATAATTTAGCTCGTCGCCGTCAAACAGTCAAACTCGAGATCGGACGCTCGCGGTCCGCGGCTGTGAGTCGCTTCGATGTTGAGAATGGACGTTGGACATCGTATAAAAATACTATGCAAGTTCCATTGTTGTGGGTCTAGCACTAGTGGGCGGGAGGGGTCCTAAAGGTAGGGGCTGGTGTCCTGGTACTCCTCGTCGCTGTCTGAGCCGTCGTCCGTCAGCTGGCGCTGTGCGGCCGCTTCCGCGTCCCCAGAGCGCTCAGAGCCCGATGCATCTGCCAACAATACACTACGTAAGCAACGCGAGAAACGTAACTGCATTTCGTGGGTGAAAGTTATTTTTGGTTGTCAATCACGCATCAATGCGTAAACATATTATTTTCTAGTAATCATTCACTAATTGAAACTAATCTAATTTTATCTGTTAGTCTACATAGTACACTATTTAAAAACAAGCATTAGGATATTAATTGGTACAGGTAATAAGTATATGGATAAAAATAAACAACAATTGGATAAGTGCATTGTGCAATCAACAAACTGAAATCTAAGCACTAATCTACAAAAAATAGCCGAATATGCCGTGCAATAAAAGTCAATTGTCTTTCATTGTGTTTAAACAATTTTTGATTTTGAGACTGAAGAAAGTTAAAAAAAATCAGTATCGTTAATTTAATTATTTGTCCATGATTAGGAAAGAAGAGGTTGAAGACAAGTGATCTTGGAGGTATTAACATAGCAGTACAAGCATTGCATAATTACCCAGTTACCTGCTTGTGGTTCCCATAACGTTTCGTATCTCCGTGATTTGGGAGGGGGCGGTGATGCTGATCCTCTGTAACAAACGAGTTATTCTTTAATTTTTATTTTTACTTCCAATGTTACTTCGTGTTACTTCGTGTTTTATTTTTACTTCCAATGTTACTTTGAAAAATCATAAAGAAGATAGTAGACTACTTTTACATTAGACTTTAGACCACACATTTTGGTCTACATGGATCTTTTAAATTAATTCATAGCTCAAAATACAAAAAAAATAATCTCAGATTCAGTGACGTATCATCTCCTTAGAACAGATTGTTCTTCATATAGGAACTTCATTAGGTATTTGGATAGGTGCGAGTGCGACAGGTGTGGTGAGACATTATTCTGCCTGTAAAACCCATATTATGCAAATAAAGATTTTGATTTGATTTGAAAATTGACAAACTTCGCCTCGAATGACGTATCTCACTGGAAGAAATTGATGAGGACAATTTCAGTTGGTTGTCGTCACCTGGGGCGGCGGCGTGGAGCGTGCATTGTTCGCCATCACTTTATCGTACCCCTAGTGGCGTTTTAAAGTAACATATGTCGGCCGTTTGGTATAGTGGTTCAGAACGGACTACTATGCCGAGAGGTCCCGGGTTCGATTCCCGGCCGGGCAGAAATTGAAATGTTGAATTTTAATTTCTGTGACGATTCTGGGTGTATTCTATGTATATTTACAAAAAAAGCAAATATGTTTATATCCGTTGTCTAGTACCCATAGCACAAGCTTTGCTTAGTTTGGGGCTTGCGGCGCAGTGTAAAATGTCCAAGGATATTATTTATTATATTATTGTTTATTTCCAAGCTAAAGGTCACTTTAAAATAGTGTACAACTAGGGTGTAACTTTTTATTAATAAGGGGGTTAATGTAGGTATAAGACGCTAATAATGTATAAATAAGCTACCTGTGCGCGGGCTCGTGGTCGTCGCCGTTCTCGCTGGGCGGCGGCGAGGAGCGCGGCGAGGGCGGCTGGCTGAGCGCCTGCATGAGCCGGCCCTTGGACTCGTTCCAGATGCTGGACAGGCGCCCGTCCGGCCCGAACAGCAGAAGGAACGCGTCGATCAGCTCCCGCGACTTCTCCTCCCATTTGGTCAGTATGTCTACTCGCTTTTCACCTATGTTTGTCATCACCTGTAAAGAAACGAATTTCGTTAAGTTTGTGGAGCGGCTTTTAAAAAAGGAAACCTTTTTGCGCCCTATAAGCTTAGGATGCGCGCCGCAATAAGCTTTTATCAATTTTATCGCACCATTTTATCGATTTAACGCGATAAGCCCATATATTTGTCGTCTAAAATAAACGATAAGATTTTATCACGCCCGGTTGTCTTAATTGACAGACCATGTTCGTGTAAGGTCACATGACTGTCTAATTTTGAATCCTATTCATGTTCGGGAATGTCTATCTTAAAGCAACTTAAAAAGGAAACGTGCGCTAAACTAAAGTAAGTACCGCGGTCATTCCCAATCGGTTAGTGAAACTATGTCACCGAATGCGGGCCCTTGGCATGCGTCAGAATCTCCCACACTTGTAATGCGGGCTAGAACCACCAATGAAAGTAAAACATTCATCATATTTATAATTCTAGTATACTCAGAGAACATTTAGTAGATGTATGTTCATAATAATAATCTCTCGTAACACATTTTTAGCTAATTACGTCATTGATTCCACAATAAACACGTACTAAACGCTTTCTAAACAATCCAGATAACACGTAACACTCATTATTTACTGATCAAACGTGATAAACGTCGGAACAACATGATGTTTGATAATGGGAATAAACATTATAAGATAATACTTAAATGTCTGTTAAATCATGTCTTTTATTTTGACTTTTATTTCTACTTAAATAAAGTCAAGTGCGACTCTATCTTAATGATCAAATATCATAAAACAAATTCAGATGTAGCCTTTTTAAAGTGCTTCGTATTGGGTGGGGCTTTTCCTATGCACTAAAATTCTAGATGGTGTCCTCAGTGAGTTGCATGAGTTTAAGAACGCGGGACATCACTATCAGCGATTGCATTTAGCATTTGTAGCCTAGACTGAGACAAGAGATATCTCACCTTCTTCCCTTTGTCTTTGAGCTCGTCCATTTTGTTTTGTAGGCGGAACTTCTTCTCGTTGAGGAAGGACACGTTGAGCTCCTTGGCGGAGTAGCCTCGCGCGAGGTTCCGCCGCACGTAGATGTCGTAGTCGCGCACTATCCGCGCCACGATATCTGACGTTGAGACGCCTGCAACAAACATAAATAAACTGTTATTATACGTCATCAACATCAGGTCATTTAGTCTCGACTGCAGGAGAACAACCCTTTCCAATTTACCAGAGGCAGGTAAGTATTTAGCCTACATTTTCTACATCAGCCAGATCAGGTTGGAGAGGCCTGATGCTCGCGTTATGCCTTGGTCGCCTTTTGCGAGATCCATGACAAAGCGGCTATTCTGTTCTTCTAGAACAACAATTTTATTTACGTGAGTCACTACTATTGATTTGTAAAGGAGGAAAGCGTAAAATGCGCCAACTCAGATTCTGGGATGTGTACACGCAGAAGATAGCCAGATATTGTCAGGAAATCTATCAACTGGTGCCGAAACCAAGCTAAAACTTTAGCAGTATACATACTGCATGAATAAGGAAAATATACTGCACAAATTCTATTGATAAGGTTGTCAGTCATATCGTTTTTCATTTTAATTGGTGTGGTTTGAGATAGTATTTAAACCCTATTGTTTTGTTTTATCGTTACACATGGGTTACTAAAAATACTATTAAACAGCTTACATAAACGCAAGAGGTGCTCTACAGCAGCGCAGCGAGCAATTAGCTGAACAAACGTGCGTGTACAAATTACAGCATTGTTAGCTTGATTCTGCCTAAAGGTGAATGAACACATCTATCGAATTTTATAATTATTCCTATTATACAGCATGAAAAATCTCTTATACCCGCGTATAAGCCTGTATTAATTTAAGTTCTGCGATTTTATTTTTGCAACGCTTATTGATCAAAATAAAAATGAAACTTACATTAGTTATAACTAAAACACTGATTCACTAAACTAAAATAGGTAGCTAGTTGTAAAAATTCTACTTTTTTTTTTTACCTATCTTGCAATATTTTACAAGATACTTAGGTGTTAAGTTATTATTTTTATTGTTAATTTATGAAAACACGATTGCTATGATTGTAGGCACGTACCGTTTACGTGACAGATACCTATCTGGTAATATAGTGTTATTATATCAGTCAGTTTCATTGTCACAATGCTAAAATATTATTTTTAAATGTTTCACTTAAATTGTGAGAGCTTGTGTGTGATAATTTACATTACCTGCGTGACGGTTAGCTTTCGATTTCGAACGCTTAAACAGAGTCTAACTCGGATTGAGTGCTTAACAAACATTTAAAACGTTATCATTGTTTATTTTTATATGCTTTAAATTCGATACGCCTATCGCGTGGTTGAAATGATTAAATGTGTGCCCACAGCCCACTCACAGTGCTCCATATCCCAGTAATTATCTCAATGGACTCAATGGAGGCCCCTCGGTGTTGCAACGCTATTGAAGCCCGCCCTGGCGACCCACTGAACTAACCGTACGCGCACATGCGAAGGATTAAGATCTGTGTCAATGCTTTGCTGTTGTTTATGTAATGAAATCATATAAAGAGGTTAACAATATTTTAATTAATGTTTAATAATTTCTTTTCGAGTAGGTACGTTCTTGTAGTGTCACGTTTCAGTAAAGAAGTAGATACAGATTACACTTACCTTGTTTACATAATAGTAATTTCAAATTTACATTTAGTATTTCTATAGCACTTAACTACATAAGAAACAATGACTGTCTAGATTTTGTACATTCGTACAAGGCAAGGTCAAAGCAGGAACTAACATTGCATTTAAACAATAGACATACCTCAATTGTGAGATAAGAGATGAAGCTTGTATTGCTGCTTATTATCTCAGAAAAACTAATATAAAAAGAATTTGCAGTTTAAGTATGTATTATTATTATAAAGAGCTGTGGTTTTCTGAATAAAGAAAAATAAAATAAAATAAGGACAAATTTATGAGGCTATTATCTGTCTAAAGATCCGGTCTGACTTGTGTTAATAAGTTTACAAAAATATTAAATGGTATTTAAAAGCAGACGATCAACATTTGAGTGAAGAAATAAAAGATTTCTTGCCCTTGTAAAGGACGTAGACAAATTGCATTTTTTAGTACAGTCAACCAAGTAATATTATAAAACGGATGTCAAATAATTACAGATTAAGTACTTACTCATTTCTGTCACAAAAACGTAATTTATTTATGTACTATTAATAGAACAGTAATAAAGTTGAATGAAATGTCAACTTGAAGTTGATCACATTATTAATGTATCTGTTGACTTAACTACTGATAAAAGATAGACTTATAATGGCCGTCAAGCACGTGTAAGGTTAAAACTTAAAATAATTTTCGTTCGCTCACCCTCTGTCCTTTGTGTGGCCACGAACATGTCCTTGGCCTTGATCATGGCGTACGTGTCCTCGCAGTCCTCGGTGGTGTAAGGGATGTCGTCGTGCGCCACGAAGTCGATTTTGTGCTTCTCTAAGAACTCCTCGTCGTACTCCCACGGCGCGTCCCGTACTACCTGAAGTACGGGAAAACCAAACATTAGAACTGAATACAGTTACGAGAAATAAAATTTATAGACCGTAGGTAAATTATGTTATTTTCGTTGTAATAAGGTTTAAATTCTTAGTTCTAGCCCTAAAAACCATGTTCAATAAACTGTAAAATTCATTTTATTGTTAGATAGTCGTGTTTGTAAATTATAATTTCAAGTATCCAATTTAAACGTATTCATTTTTTAGTAATATAAAAAGTTTTGAGATGCATTTAAGATTATACATATTTATGTTTGAAGACGGTCTGTGAAGAGAAACGCTCGAGAAGTTAGACATTAGATGTGTAGACAATTTAATTGGACAGAACTTTGAGTGGTTCTGAAATACTAATATCGATGTATAATTATAAACAATAAGTATTGCCGTGTTAGATATCAATTTATTGTTCTTTGTTGTGTTGAAATAGAAAACGAAAAAAAGAAATGCTAACAGAGATGTTGACAGTATTAAACTGACTGAAGAGTTAAATGTTTCGAGTTTATTGATTGTTTTTGTAATTAATTAAAGTAGAATTAAGAGGAAAAGTATTTCAAAGACTTTTGAACTAAATGTGACTGTGTAATATAATGTAATAATTCCTGTTAGTAAACTACATATTATCCATACTGTGGTCTAATTAATGTTATGTAAGTGATGACGGGCCTGAAGTTTAGTTTATGTACAGACTACAGACTATGAATGACTAACATCCGGAAAAACAATGCTAATTAAAATTTATATATTTTAATAGTACCAGACACTCATGGTCATTGTTACCTACAAGCTAATATTGTTGTAACGAATTATTGTTAAATGCTCAAGCCTCAAATACATTTCCATAATCATTGTCCGTAAACTTGGAAGACATGTAAAAATATTTTACGTAACTATTTAGTTAATTTAACTCGAAATTTAACAGTCAAAGTCGTTAAGTGTTCATAGAAAAAGTTAAAATGAATATTGATAACGCGTGCCCATCTGTATCTTACAAACCTACCTATTTGAAGCGTAGGGGCACATACCATAACGATCTAAGTAATCAACTAGCATTACTCATAAAGTGCTTTGTCTATGATGCTGTAGTGACATCATGCATGAAGTCGACGACTTACACTTTTAATGATAACTAGCTTTCCGCCCGCGGCTTCGCCCGCGTGGAATTTTGTCTGTCACAGAAAAACTTTATCGCGCGCGTCCCTGTTTCAAAAACCGGGATAAAAACTATCCTATGTTCTTTCCCGGGACTCAAACTATCTCTATGCCAAATTTCATCAAAATCGGTTGCGAGGTTTAAGCGGGAAAGCGTAACAGACAGACAGACAGACAGACAGACAGACAGACAGACAGACAGACAGACAGACAGACAGACAGAGTTACTTTCGCATTTATAATATTAGTTGGGATTATAATACGAGTCAATAAATTGATTTCAAATCAATATAAATTACGAAACGGCAATTTGACTCATAGAAAGTGACTATTAAAATGTAAATTTAGATATTGGTTCGAATTTAAAAATAGTAATCTTTTTTTAAAACACGTGGGTTCAACAGTCGCATAGTCAAGTGCAAAAGTCCCCATTTCACTGCTTATCGCACAAATACAATGATGTAACAAACAAGGACTTTAAATAAACATCAGGCGATGTGACTCAGCCACGCCTGTATTCATATCACGTAATGACAAAATAACACGAACTTTCACTGCGCGACCATTAGTGATCGTTAAAATAAAGTTTAACTGATTAGAAGTTGACCTTTTTGGTTGTAAACTTGAATTTAGTTTAACCCACAAAACCGAGACACCCGAGTGAGTTCTTAAATGGAACGTTTTAGTTAGATAAACGAATCTGTTAAGGTTCAAAAAAAGAATTAATTATCAAAATAAAACACTAACATTCTCATCTAAACAACATTGGTACTATTTGGACAGTCTCCAGATTGTTTACCTGGCGCCATCTGATTCAATGCTACGATGACGCATGTACCAGATAAGATACAAGGGATCTTTTAGCTTATCATTTGGTTGTGACTAGAAAAAGTACATTACCTAATAACAATTTTCCGCTAGCTTGACTTCAGCCAGGCAATTCAAGGTGCCTTTTTATAAAGTTTTTTGATATGCAATTGTGTAACGATTTGGCCTTTGGTCGTATTTTTAGATACTTATTTCAGGATGTGTTTCGACGGAAATACTCGGTTCGTGTTGACGTAGTGGCATTTTCATGAGTTCAATGGATGGGTTAATGAAAATAGTTCAATTATTTCTTTTCTATAACCATATAAAACATTAGGTTCATAATACTTTGATTGAAAACTGACAATAAAAGAATCCCTAGCATTTATAAAAACAATAATTTTATTATGGTTTAAATTTAATTTAATTTAAGTTCAATTAAGTAGTTCCCCTTCGTGCGTTAAAATTTAAATCTACGATTCTTTGTCGGAAACCATTACTTTCACTTTCAACCGGAGCTCGTGAAGTGCAAGGACGTGCCATTACATTTAATTTTACAGTTCATTAAACAAGGTTTTGCTCCTAAAGATCGTAAGACATTCCTGAGCTATGTTAATCTGTGAGAGAAGGAAGGAAAAGTTCAATTACCTCATCGACGTATCTACAATGCCTGACCGCTTCGTACCTCTCGTCTTCTGTCATAACTGTGCGTCCTTTCCGACTGTGTGTCAAATTGTCACTGCATACTGGAAGAAAAAACAAAACACTGTCAAAAACGCCTTCGTAATCGGTTAAAAATAATATGCAGGTTTAAAGAGGACATTTCTTGCCACAGGACATAATTACAGACTTGTTCTTAATATAGTACGTTGTATGTCCACAGTAAATAGTTATCCGGGAAAATCATAATTAAAGTTATTATAGATAGTGCGTAAATGTCATTTCACAGCAGTAAACAAATGTATGCAATAGAGTAACTAGCACAGGAAACTATGTATGTTATTATAATATTTTAATGTTTTAGGTAAGAAGTATATCATTCAGGTGTCTCTGTGTTGCAACATACATTATTTATGAATACAAATAAATAATACCTAAACAAATAAGTCTGTTGCTCATTAATCTTGTAATCATCGTAAATTCTTAAGGCCTTCCGATATGATAGCGATAAGTTGCTTAATAGTTATTAGCTTTTATCCAGTCATACGTGTCATTGTCATTCGGCCGGCAATCTCCGTCACGTGTGACTAATTTGTAACGATAATTGAATCGTACGATGTCAAATCTCCGCCAATCCAAGTATTTCTGCGCGGGTGCTTTATCAATTTTATCAGGGCTATCTTTATTACGACATGTGGTCTATACAGTACTACGAGTATATCAATAAACTTGTATGTCTTGATCATTTACATACAAGGAGTCAAGAAGATGATCTTAATTCTTATTGTATGGAAACGCATTTAATAAAAGGTGTAGTAAGTTGAATACCGTTTTTACTGAACACATGCCAGGGTTAAAACATTATTTGATGACATAACATCACTTAACGCATTTGTTACATCTTAAAATCGCATACAGATCATACTTTTTTTAGCTGCTGCTGCTAAGTGATTTCTTAATGAAGTATTTATTTAGAGCAACACTTGAACTTGTATAATTAGATTAATAAAACAACCGATAAACCAAACAAATGGGTCCTCCTGTCACATAAAAAAAAAACATTGTTTTTCATTAGTAATGAGTTTTTCATCAGTTTAACAGACAAATAGCGTGCTGTGTACCGTTCAAGTCCCTTGCTAGCGGTAACCTACCGTTGATGATTACAGTAGAAAACATAGAACTGAAAAGTCGAGGTAAAGAAAGAACGCGTAAGGGATATTCATCATGAGTATCATGTCATGACCACCTCTAACAGCGAATTCCAACAGAATATTCGGATATTCCTAAAAGTATCTGTAGGAATTGAAACCCAGGTTGTATTTCTACAGCTTTATTTGTATTTACTCCAGGATAAACCACAAAAAATAGGAACGTCTTAGAACCGTCTTCATACTAATCGTCTTCTGTTTAAATCCCGTCGTTCTTCCTTCCTCACTCATTCATTCCGTCTCACTCACTCACTTGCGTTCCGTTACACACTCCCACACAAGGAAGTCATTGAAGATGACAGCGGATGCGCGTAGATTTTGGTTTGAGACGTCTTGATCAAGCATGATAGTTTAAATAGGCAAGTCTTTGAGCCTGTTGGTACTGCATTGCGTGCCCCTCGTGGAACATGACGTAGATATTGTCGTCGGAGTATGACAGTGAGCGCGCTAGTCTTGGAGTCTCGATAAAGCTTCCGGGCAGTCTTGGTAGAAGAGATAATGATGTAGTATACGAAGAGAAAAGCGTTAATATATCCCATTAGTTACCTCCTACAATGAGGTAGACGTTGGGAAAGACTGTTTTGGCCTGTTGAATCTGCCGCGCGTGCCCCTGGTGGAACATGTCGTAGATGCCGTCGGAGTATACGCGCAAGCGCCGGCCGGCCGTGCCCGCCAGCGCAGCCGCGCGCGGGATCCGCCCGTATTGGCAGCGCAGAGTAGACGAAAACAAAAGCGTTGATAATCAAAATAGTTACCTCCTACAATGAGGTAGACGTTGGGAAAGACCGTTTTGGCCTGTTGGAGCTGCCGCGCGTGCCCCTGGTGGAACATGTCATATATTCCATCGGAGTAGACGCGCACGCGCCGGCCGGCCGCGCCCGCCAGCGCCGCCGCGCGTGGGATGCGGCCGTAGTGGCAGCGCTCGCGCTCCGCCACCGCCGCCGGGTCTGAGCTGAACGGCGCTGCGGTTATTAACGACTGCAACAAACGAAAAGCGACGTTACTACTAGGGTTTTAACGTCAGTTGTGGCTAGCTAAAGTAAGTGGGCACGGCACCGGAGCAGAATGCCCTGGACCCTGGGATTTATGTATTTTTAGTAAGGGTTGCTCTTGATAACAATCTCATAGAAGGCACTGGAGCAGAATGCACTGGGCCCTTGGATCTATGTATTTTTAGTATGGGTTGCTCTTGATAACAATCTGACGACGACTGTAGATATTATCTATGGTACAGCGACATTATCTCACTCACAAGATGCCTGTTTAATTGTGCCTTGAAGGCTTTCGGATTTTCTGATTTTCGGATCTACAGAGAATTCCAATTCTACTCCAATATTTAAAGCACCCAATGAATAACTTCAGGCTGTGTCCTCCGAAAATAAAAGCCAAGGAAAGATGGTGCAGCTACTCTTTTTCAATGAAATGGATGCTCTATTGTATGTGAACTTATTCAATAAAGGATTTTAACAGCTCTTAATGTAGAAAAGAATTAGGCTACGAGCAAATCAAAATCCATCAAAGCTCTAACACAGCTCTAATAAATTACATAGTATTAATAAACACAAACATGCATTTTCAGACACCCACATAAAGAGGTACTTACACCTGAAAAACATGAGTCTCTTTTGACACTTCCTACACATAACCTGTAAGAAAGTACAGTTTTGCTATAAGGTTTTGCTTTCACCTTTCTATTAGATATAAATTAGAATAGTAGACTAGTTTCACGTAATTGGCAAAACGTTATTCAAACAATTAACTTGGAAGTTAGCGTTTCAAAATTCGCCCATTTCAAAGCTAGTTTGTATTGAAGTGTACACCTACAGAGTGAAAGGAAACGAATAATGATGCAGAATGCCTGTTCAAGCAGTCAAGCAACGAGATCGCCAAACAAAGCGTGTTTTTGTCGCCCACGCAGGTTCAGCCGACGCAACATTCCAAGACTAAAACTGCAACCACAACTGCAACGTTGCTAGATTCGTGAATTTGGACAGCAAATCTAGATAATTATGTAATTATAGTAATAAGCGCTTTATCATTATCAGCAAAAAATGCTTTAGTGGGTAAATACCTAATCGACTTATTGTTGATCAATCATTTATTTAGGGGTAATTTGTGTAATAGTTGTATTTTGATAAAAATAAATAAATCAATAAATATCTAATTGTTTGACAATTTTGTCTTACAAACCAACACTGCTATAAAATATAAGAAGTCAAACTTTGTTATGTAAATCTGTAGAGTAGGTAAGTAAATCTTAAATTCTGATCTTATCACATGTCGGGCCATGCTTCCAAAAGTCCAACGACCACATTGTTTGTACAATGAGCCGATGTCACCGAAGTCAGGCGCTGAGATGTCAAGGTTCAAGCGCCGCGATTACTCGGCTTATGATAATGAGGTGGCGTGATGCTACGTCACACGTTCCCGGACGTTACTCACGATGATTGGTGTATCTATTTTGCTAACAGTTAATAAACTTAGACCTAAGAACCTTCTAAATATAGGACAGTCGGCCTTAAAGTAATGCCACCACATTGCACATAAAAGCTAGTCATTCATTAGGTGTTAATCATTCATGACTCTTCCAATAAAACTTTAATGTACTATAGATCATTAATTGATGTTACTCATTTGCTATTAGATAAATCAGATCTTAAATCACTTGATCAACTTGTATTTATTGAATGTCCTTCTAGCCATAATCCTATTGATTGATTCTCAGCTTGACCGGTAATAAAACACAACCGTAAATTCTAGACAATAGCAGAGACAATCGATCAAAAGGTGAATGAGGACAAATAACATGTATTTGTTAAGGAAAAATCAGTAAAAGTAAGAAAATAGCATGAGATAGAAATGCAATCCAATCTAAGATATCATCGTATTGCAGTTAACAATTTTATTCTGCTGCTGCTTCACTGAAAATTCTATTATGTTTCATTGGTCACATCACGGAAATTTCCAACTACCCTACCCTTGCTAATCAAGAAATCCAATAATAGGTTTTAATGACCTATAACACGTGATAACGTAGAATGTGTAGATGATGCATGACCGCGACCCCTTCGATCGTAAACAGTTTTTATCAATGTAGGTACGCTGACTCAACATAGACAGTTCCTAATCGCTTAATATCAAACATAACCCTAATGTACAACAAACAAACTAAATGAACTTGTCTTTATTTACTAAACTAGGCAAGAATTCTTAATGAAACTTATAAGCTACAAAATTACAAGGTTTTGAAGTTGAAAATTTTTTTCAGTTTCAAGTGTATTTTTTTACACCATAATTTACGTAATCGCAACAAAGCTTTGATGGCCTATGTTGAAACAACAGCAATGGGATGACCGGATACAAGATAAACGATGCAGTTTCATCGGTCTGAAATATTCCACTATTGTAATTAATGTTAATATGACAATGTAATAAACATATTTTTCTGATTCTGTAGTCAAGCGGATTTGTAATCATGTTCCGACCGAGGCATTGACAAAATAACATCTTCTATTTTATTTAACCCAAAGATATTTTTATTAACACAACACAGTTCAGGAAATTTTCTTATCTACATTACAGATGAGCTAAAAGTAGAGGGAAGAACCCACCACCAACACTAACCATTTTGTCCATGACGTACGCGGAATACAAAATTATATGTATTTTCTTCAAAATAACACACACAAGAATACCATTTGGACTCGCATTGACGTCACATGACGTGAGCAAGAATCACCTGAGGATTCACGTAAATTTATGTTCTGTTTGAGTTTGAGGTCAACATGCCGACATGCCTACTTGTGCACACAAATACAACCTTCCCCATTGTTTTCTTAATGACGACCATAATAACTGCATAATATTAATTTACCTACGTGCAAGTATTGAATGAAGTTTTTAGCAGAATCGACAATAAATTACATCATCTGTTAAATATACTGAAATTATGAACAAGATAGGAAAGAGCCAACAATGTTCTTCAATTTCGGTTAAAAGCTCATTGCAAAACCAGTTGCAAATAAAATGTCTGGAATCGTTTGTATGCTCTTGGCTTGTGCAGTCGATTTGGCAAGTGGGCAAGCTAAAGTAAGAAGAAGCATTTACATACGAATGCCATTCACGCACCGAATTCTCTAGAAGAACTAATTGCACAACCACTACATACAGCCTTCACATTTTTATTTATCTAGTTCGGAATAACAACATTTATTTGCAGCCTTAATGAGGTGCATTGCATATTAGGCATCGCGTAATGGTAATCTGCAGCCAACGAGAAGGTGGTAATTTAAGATGGTAATTTAATATTTGCAAGGATTTCACTCGTATTTGGATATTGCACCTTGAGTTAAGCAACATCTTTGCGAACATGCTCTATGGAAACCCAAAATTTCGATCCTGATTCAAGATAGAAACTCTACAATAAAATTTGTAAATATCAGACAAGCTACGACTTTCAAATATTCAATGGTTTTGTTCGTTGATATCATGACACTGATTTTAATTAAGGAAAAGAAAATACAAATACCTATTATCAAACTACAAACAATTAATTAAAAGCTTATCCATACAATAAAATGTGGGACAAGTAAAGTAGTAAAGGCGATTAATGTGGCCGGTTCACGGCCGGCGCTTGACATAATACCGCATAACGGTCTTCTTCAATGAGTACACTAGCCGATACAGCACACGCAAGAGGGATAAACTATTCGTGTTCTAACTTCCTTCAAATTCAAGTACAACAAGCAAACATTACGAATATTCTCGTCAAATTACAAGGTCTAAGTTACTCTCTAATTAAAATCGCAGAGGTGGAGCAGGAAACATTATTATAACAAAACCAAACACGGTGGCCAGTTAAAATCTAAATCAGTACGAGTATCAGCGTTTTGAAAAGAGTGTGATTCTTCATTGTGAAAATGCTACAGAATTTTATAAATAAGAAAAGGATAAACTAGTTATTCTAGTGGGTATGAAAAGAAAGGCAAAGCTTTTGCTCCGTTTTCTAGCTTGAAATAATGGAGGTTGAAAGGCAAAGATTCTGCCAGCTAAATGGTGTGTAATTAGCTCCACACGGAAATGTGCTTCTTGACACAACCTAGTACACGGTATACGGTATGCTGGTCGACAGTTTTCGTTGGCCGAGGCGGTAACTGCACTTTCTCCCATACCGGCAAGAATGTTGTTTGTCTATCGATCGTCTACTAGATTTGACAGTTGTTTTCTAATCAAAGAGAAATTGGCTTTTACGCAAATATTATTATGAACTGTGATGATTACGGCATCGTACACAATACAATTTAGAAATCAGAATTTCAGAATTATTCGTTCTGTAGAATTCCTAAATAAAATTATATTGATTTCAGGAGATGTGTCTCAGCAGACTTAGTTTTGTTTACCCTTCACAACACATTTGCACTTATTAGCATATGTTTAAGTAACAACTCATCGTCAGATGTGGGCGTTGTTCTGTGTATTTCTTGACGACCTATCACTTTTGGGTTAGGGTTCTAGAGAATGTAACATGTAAATCTACTCACGGGTAGTTCCTGTTCCTTCTTCACATATCCATTTTTCCTGTATCCATTTAATCCTGTCTCCAGCTTCCCATTCGGCACGTGCCCGTTAGTGAGCGTCGTCGTCACCGTCACCGCTGACATCATTGACTAATTTCTAGTTTCTTTGAGCAAGCAAATCCGCAGAAAACAATTCCAAAATACTGGTCGTCACGAGCGAGTTACTGTTTCTCGCATCATTAAAAGTAGTAAATAACAGTACCTCTAATTGTACTGAATGACTAAAATGTGACGGAAAACACGATGTCGAATGTCAAGGATTCGAATAAAGATAGATGTCTGACCGATCTGATGAAATACAGAACCACCGATTTTACTACAATCGTAATTTAGTACGTGTATTCTCCGCGAAAAGAGGGCCGCGACTAACTAAACCGAACCACGGAATCGGTAGGATAGGAA